TGCAATAACCAGTGGCCATGCCGCCACTTTTCCTTCAGCTAACTTCCAGTATTCATAAAGCATGTTCACTATGTAGTTACAAGGTTTAAGATACAACTTGTTCAGAACAAGATCAGATGTCACATCCATGCTGTGTTATCAAAGTCTGCACTGTTTAGTTTTTACTGAATTTTAATATTTTACCTAAAAATTATGAATGGTATTGCCCAGATTGAAGGACGGACAAGTCCATTTGACATGTTTAGTGCACTAAGGGTTAACAAACACACACATCATTTTTGCAAGTTTTGTGTAAAAACAGTTAAATAAAAAAAAAGGAACAAAACACTGTTATATTTTGTAGAGAGCCCAGTTATAACCCAGTATGACAGTAAAGTATTGGTTGCCGATGGTGATGAAGCTGTATTATCATGTGAAGCTGTGGGTATACCTGCACCACAGATAAACTGGTATAAAGGTGATAGACAGGTATATATCATAACTGTTACAATCTGTCCTTAAACCAAGTTTAACTGGAATATTGAGAAAATTGCCCAAGGGAAACAACTCAAAATTAAAATATGAAACATCTTGGCAGTTACCTCCCTTCATACAGTTTTATCCAATAGTCTGCTATAATAATAAGGCCTTATTGACTTAAACAATAAGACACATTCATTACATTATATACTTATATATTTATTAATAAATAATCGAGAAATACTGATGAAATAAAATTCATATTTTCATTTTCTGTATTTTCACTGTAAAAATTTTATTTTTAACTGCTGTGACACATATTTTCCTTATTTTCACTGGTGTCTTGCCCGACTTTCTTCTAGATTCAGCCAAAACACACAATTTAAGAGAAAACTTTTTATCTTGTGGTTTGAAAATTATCTCTATGCATACAGAAATATTTTCATGAATAGAAGCTAATATTTTTGGTATGTATACACAGTCATATTTTGTGTGTTGAAATACTAGAATGTAATTTTTTTTATCATGTAACAGCTGAGAGCATTATCATACGTGAAGATCGGTACAAATGGAAAGCTGACGATATTAGGCACACAGGAACAAGATGGAGGAGAATATAAATGTGAAGCTGTGAATGAGGCCGGCAGTGATTCTGCAACTGTATTCCTAGAAGTTGGCTGTAGGTTGAAAATTTCACTAACATACATTACCTTATTATCGCATGCATTAACCCTTTCATTGTCCCCTACCGGTTTAACCGGAGGGGACTATAGGTTTACCCTCCGTCCGTCTGTCTGTCCGTCCGTTTGTCTGTCAGTGCGTCAGTCCATCTGTCCACAAAACTGGATCCCGCGATAACGCACAAAGTACTGAAAATATTTTTATGAAACTTGATATATGGATAGATGGCAGTATGGAGATTATGCACATCTTTTTCTTTTCTTTCTATGTTGAAAATTCTGGTTGCTTTGGCAACAAATAGTCTGAAAATATGGCAAATTTAACGCATAAACTGGATCCAGTGATAACTCAAAAAGTATTGAAAATATTTTTATGAAACTTGAAATATGGGTAGATGGCAGTCTGGAGATTATGCACATCTTTTTCTTTTCTTCCTATGTTGAAAAGTCTGGTTGCTATGGCAACAAATAGCCTGAATTTCAAGATTTCTGATTTAAATTTTTCAGCTTTTTCACTATAAGTTCTTTATTTCTGAAGGTGTTTACTTCAAACTTTAAATATAAGTTTCTGGTCATCAACCACATCATATGTGACAAGGTTTACAACTCTAGCACAAAAATTATCAGTATTATCTCCCTTGAACTTAGAATTTTTATGAAAAAAAATGTTGTCTTTTTTTAAATAACTTCTTTATTTCCTAATGTATCTACTTCAAACTTCATATATATGTTTCTTATTATCACTCAACATTTTTGAGAAGGTTAAATACTCTAGCAAGACTATTTCCAGAATTATGTCCCCCTTGAACTTAGATTTTTAGCTCGACTATTCGAAGAATATGAGAGCTATTGTAGTCGCGTCGGCGTCAGCGTCCGCGTCGGCGTCTGCGTTGGTTAAAGTTTTTTGTAAAGTCAAATATCTCAATTATTACTTGAGATATTCAATTGAAACTTACAATACTTATTTATAGTAACAAGGCACATCAGATTGACAAGTTGGATAACTCTGCCTACAATATTGACAGAATTATGCCCCTTTTTAACTTAGAAATTTTGGTTAAAGTTTTTTGTGAAGTCAAATATCTCAATCAATGCTTGAGATATTCAATTGAAACTTACAATACTTATTTATAGTAACAAGGTACATCAGATTGACAAGTTGGATAACTCTGCCTACAATATTGACAGAATTATGCCCCTTTTTAACTTAGAAATTTTGGTTAAAGTTTTTTGTAAAGTCAAATATCTCAATTATTGCTTGAGATATTCAATTGAAACTTACAATACTTATTTATAGTAACAAGGTGCATCAGATTGACAAGTTGGATAACTCTGCCTACAATATTAACAGAATTATGCCCCTTTGGAACTTAGAAAATTTGGTTAAAGTTTTTTTGTAAAGTCAAATATCTCAATTATTGCTTGAGATATTCAATTGAAATTTAAAATACTTTTTTATAGTAACAATGTACATCAGTTTGTAAAATTGCATAACTCTGCCTGCAATATTTGCAGAATTATTCGCCCCTTTGAAACTTAGAAATTTTGGTTAAAGATTAAAGGTCTTCAAAGATATTTACTTGAAACTTTACACATGCACTTACACAGGGTCATAATTGGAGGGTCATAATTGTATGTCACTGACCAAGTTCCATAACTCTATCTTGCATTATGGCTGATTCATATCCCCTTTTCTACTTAGTCTCTTGGTTAGTGTTTACATGCAAGTTTTACATATCTCAATAACTATTGAAGATATTTATTAAAAACTTCACATATGCATTTAGGGTCATAATTGTAGGTCACTGACAAAGATCCATAATTTTATCTTGCATTTAGGCTGATTTTTCTCCCCTTTTTCAACTTAGAAATTCGTGGTTAAGTTTTTCATGTAAGTTGTTATCTCAATAACTACTGAAGGGTTTGTGCCTTTTTCGGGACACAATTTTATGCATTCATAATAATAAAGCAGTGATGTACTTGATAAAACATCGTAATAACAAGCCTTTGTACCTTTTCTGTCAAATTTATTTATTCATAGGTAATTAGTATTATTATACTCAATAAAACACCCTTGTGACATTACCTTCCGAATAGTCAAGCCAATACTGTATAATAAGACTCTCTCTTAGGCCTATAACATGAATTTATAAAAAAAAATTAGCCCTTTTGTGAACTTAAAAAATTAAACAATATAAAGGCTCTTTTACTATCAAGCACTTAGAATAGTCGAGCGTGCTGTCCTACAGACAGCTCTTGTTTTTCGAGTAATTGGTATTTTTTACTCCAACTTCTTCATTCCTTATAGGATTTACTTTAAAATCCCACATCATAATAATATGACAAGGTTGTATAAACATAATTTCCTTACTAAGCAGGGAAACTTAACACATTACTGTGATATAGACAAACTTAGAACTCAAAAGATTTAAGGTCATTCATGTCATTCATTCACTGGTAAAATTGAATGGTCAATGGCCCATCAAAATGTTGCTGGGGTTCTAACCGGTAGGGGACTTATGGATTGCTTGCAATACTATGATAATTGCTTGTATTTGATATATTTTGCAAACAGAAATATTATTACCTTTGTACATGGATATCATTTAAATACATTTATAAATTTGACATCAGTGCATGTCTTACATGCAAAATGTTCCATGTTATTTGTTTAAAATGCTAATGATCGTAATTTATTTTAAGAAGAATGATTCTAATTTATAACTTTCTTTCTAATATACTGTATAGATAAAATTATTTTAATGTAGCTTTGAATATTATCATTTTGTTGTTTGGCATATTATAAAATGTATCTTTAAGTATTGGACTGCTCTTGGCAAATTTTCGTTAAATAAAGTTGAAGATATATAATAGAATTTAGAGAAACCTTGAAGAAATTAACCCGTGTGATCAGTGCTGACTAAAACCAACATGCTCATCTGATGTGTCTGATCAAAATTGATTGGTTAGATAGAGTGTTGCACTGTGAAATGGGCAGTCCAGGTTTGAATACCAGACAGTGCAGGTCACTTTAGTTGTTATTGATCATGTCATCCTTTCTATGGTCATTTGCACTGTACCTGTGCTCTAGCAGAGGTTATCAGTTCCGTGTGATAGTGTAGGCAGAGGTTATCAGTTCCGTGTGATAGTGTAGGCAGAGGTTATCAGTTCCGTGTGATAGTGTAGGCAGAGGTTATCAGTTCCGTGTGATAGTGTAGGCAGAGGTTATCAGTTCCGTGTGATAGTGTAGGCAGAGGTTATCAGTTCCGTGTGATAGTGTAGGCAGAGGTTATCAGTTCCATGTGATAGTGTAGGCAGAAGTTATCAGTTCCGTGTGATAGTGTAGGCAGAGGTTATCAGTTCCGTGTGATAGTGTAGACAGAGGTTATCAGTTCCTTGTGATAGTGTAGGCAACTTGTACTAGTAAACTGCTTGACAGCCATGACAGTCCAGGAACGATGGGCTGGCTGAATAGTGCTCTGGTTAATTCAGTATAGCTTACTGCCGTAATCCGGGGTGAAAACTACCAACACCACCACCACCACCAGTGTCTAATCATGGTCTGCATTTTTCCCTATTCAATCACTGCTTATTTTGAAAATTTCCCTAAAAATGATGAATGGTTCAGTTAATATAAAAAGATGGACTAGTCCATTTAAGATAATGAGCTCAGTAAAGGTAAAGTTTTAATTTCTTTTCTTTGTCATTGTTACTTAAAGCGGGACCAAAGATAATAGAGGCGCCGGAGAACACCGGGGAAGATATTGAAGGTAACGCTACCCTGAGATGTCGGGCAACAGGTTCACCGTTACCTAAAGTATTCTGGAAACGACAAGATGGTAGACCGCTTGATTCAAACAAAATAAAACAATTTGCTAGAGGAGATCTGTTCATTACAGGTAGGTCACATATAATACCTCATTATGACATATATTAGTTTAAACATATTTATTTTAGCTTGATTGTGAAAGAATTTATTGCAACTTATATTTATCACTTTAGAGTCCGCTTCCTGGAACTATCCAGTCCTGCTGTCAAATGAGGAAATATGATCATGTCTCGAGTAGGGCTCAAACCCAATAATTGCTCCCTGTGTTGAGAGGCAGACACTTTAACCACTAGGTCACTGCTCCCCTCTTTGAAATATATTGATAAATAAAAATTCTAATTTGACCTTAATTAGCCCTTAACCTGTTACAAATATTTTCGTTACAAATTTTTTCAATGATATTTGTTCTGCTTATAATTCACACATTAATGTTTTGTCTGTATTACTGCATTCAAGGGAGAGAATTTGATTAAAATGATTTTTTCAAAAAGTATAGCTTGGCAGCGAATGATAAAATACTAAGAGGATATTTTTTCGTTTAAGTGAAATATGGTATATATTTTCACAAAACATGATAAAATGACACATATTTTCACGAGTAGGGACGGCGAGTGAAAATATGTGGCATTTTATCATGTTGAGTTGTCATATTGTCTTGTTTTGCATGCGATATTTAGCGCTACATTGTGACGTCACTTAAACAACTCTAAACGTCTGTACAGCGTTAATGACTGAATTAAAGATACTGGTGTTTGGATTTATTTTCTTAGACCATTTTCTATCATTCTAGATAGATTTTAAAACAAAATTCAACGAAAAAATGTTTTGTATTTATCAAATTTTTCAAACAAAATGGCGAAAGAAGTCCCTTAAAATAAATTTTGACTCCGCCCACTTTCATATTTATATTTCATATTTATTTTAGAAAAATATGAAATATATTTGACTGATATAGCACCATATTTTATGGATAAAATTAAATAAATATTTATATTGTTTAAATATTTACATCAGTATGCATGTAATTTAGAGAAGATATTAATTTTGTTTACAGGGTAAATTTGATAAGTCTTTTAAATAAATTTTACTCTATGATTTCTTTTAGATCACTTCTAAGCAAGATATTTTCTATTTTAACCAATTTTACACCAAGCTGTATTTCTGGGTGATCTTGGCATGATATGCTACTACAAGATCACCTTTTTTCCTATTGACATGTGTGTTTCACTTGTTTTTCTATCATTTTGTTTTAAAAAGAATTATTTTGAAACATTTTGTATGTAGATTTAAGGAAGGCTGATGAGGGAAGTTATGTGTGTGTTGCCCAGAACCAGTTTGGAACAGTATCAGCATCTGCCTATCTTACTGTTACCGGAATAGGTAAATATGATCAGTCAGTTCATACAATGTGTATATCACTTGTGTTTGAACATATTTCTTACTTTAATTCTTAATCACATAACATTTTGTAACACCCGAGGCTAACCAAAATCATCTTTGCTATTTCCGCTCCTTGTGACTTAAATTGTGTTGATGTGCTGTACAACAAAACAAAATATTTCCACCAAAACATTTTAGTTAAGTTCAGTTTGAAGTCAGATCTCATTACATTTATAAGTTTACAATATTAATCTCATTTATGCTGCCATATAAGTAACGTTGTGTTTTACTTTGTTTTGTATGCCTAAGATGACCTTGTATGTAATAGAGATATACATGTATAATAAATACAATTTTTAAGGATAGTGAGATTATTTTTCTTTGGTTGGGTTTAACATCTCACCAACATTGCAAAGGTCCAAGGCAGTGATTGATGTTCCAGCTTTACTGGTGGAGGTAGACCTCAGGTGTCCCTCTGTACATTATTGTAGGCACAAATGGGCACCTGAATAGAACCGCTGACGTTCCGTAAGCTAGCTGGATAGCTTCCTCACATGAATCATCAAAGACACTGGAGCTGCTCAAATGAGCCGCGTCATGATAAAACCAACATAATGGGTTTGCGGCCAGCATGGATCCAGACCAGCCTGCACATCCGCGCAGTCTGATCAGGATCCATGCTGTTTGCTTACCAACTCTATTACAAGTAGAGAAACTGATAGCGAACAGCATGGATCCTGATCAGACTGCACGGATGCGCAGGCTGGTCTGGATCCATGCTGGTCGCAAACGCACTATGTTGGTTTTATCATGACGCAGCTCAAACCTACAGCAGTGAGAGGCAAGAATGGTCAGATGTCATTGATACATGGATGTATTGTGATTAACTCCGCTACAGTATCATGATACAATTCTGAGGTATCACTACACAGTGATACATTTTTCTATAGTATGATACTGTATCGTGATAGAACCAAGATATTGTGATTATGATACTGTTTGTACTGCAAACGAGATATTGTTATAATATGATGATGCTGTATCATGATAGAACCAATATATTGTAATAATATCATGACATATTTTAGCTCCAATTTGGTATTAAAAATAAATTGCTTTTACTTTTAAGTTCCACCACTGATTGGCTACATGGACCCTGTTATACAGGTCACTACAGGTGATTCAGTTGAATTAAACTGCCAGGTATTACTTGGAAATCCTAAACCAAAAGTCAACTGGTTATATGAAGGTCAGGCAATAACAACTGATGAATTTACCACAAAATCTGGTGATGGCAATGTTAACATTGATGATGTTCAGGTAAAATAATGTATGATGTTTAATTTATAATACAACACATTTAAAGGGTTCATTTACATTGGACATTCATAAGATTTCTGTAATCTTTATACACCACTGCTCTGGGTTTATGAAATAATTTTCATTTTAATTAAAAAAAACAAAACATTGTATAATATTGTAAATATATCATCAAGACTTATATTTTCAGTTAAGTTTATTTCAACATGTAAGAATTGCAATATATATTATATAATACACATATACCAGGTGGAACTAAGTATACAACTGTTTATACCTGTTAAATATCTGTAGAACTAGAATTATAGAACATTTATACTTGTAGTGTTTGTCTAAATATAAAGACCAGATTTCAGAAAGTTGTCAATTTACACCATTTTTATGCCCCCACAGAGTGGGAGCATATAGCGTTGCACTTGTCCGTCCGAGTGTCTGTCACGCCGTACGTCTGTCCGAGCAAACATTTGATATTTATGAGCTTCATTCCGTAGTTAAATAAAGAACAAAAGCTCATAAAATTCAAATTAAGAGCTATTTTTTTGATTTTATGAGCTGATTTTGCTTATGGACTTTGGTCCAGGTGTAGTTTATGAGCTGACTTACCTCTTAAATATCAAAAGTTGGTCCGTCCGTCCGTCTGTCCGTACGTCCCGAAATCTTGTGAACGCAACTCCTCTTAAACCGGATGGCAGATTTTGCTTAAACTTCCAGGGATGAACAACCTTAATGTGTAGATGGTAGTAAAGGAAGGAATTTTTGCTGCGACCAAATTTAACAGAATTATGGCCCTTTGTTGATTTTTTCACTATATACTATGTAGAAATTTTGTGAACACAACTCCTCTTAAACCGGATGGCAGATTTTGCTTAAACTTCCAGGGATGAACAACCTTAATGTGTAGATGGTAGTAAAGGAAGGAATTTTTGCTGCGACCAAATTTAACAGAATTATGGCCCTTTGTTGATTTTTTCACTATATACTATGTAGAAATTTTGTGAACACAACTCCTCTTAAACCGGATGGCAGATTTTGCTTAAACATCCAGGGATGAACAATCTTAATGTGTAGATGGTAGTAAAGGAAGGAATTTTTGCTGCGACCAAATTTAACAGAATTATGGCCCTTTGTTGATTTTTTCACTATATACTATGTAGAAATTTTGTGAATACAACTCCTCTTAAACCGGATGGCAGATTTTGCTTAAACTTCCAGGGATGAATAACCTTAGTGTGTAGATGGTAGTAAAGGAAGGAATTTTTGCTGCAACCAAATTTAACAGAATTATGGCCCTTTGTTGATTTTTTCACTATATCCTATGTAAAAAATTTTGTGAACGCAACTCCTCTTAAACCGGATGGCAGATTTTGCTTAAACTTCCAGGGATAAACAACCTTAATGTGTAGATGGTTGTAAAGGAAGGAATTTTTGCTGCGACCAAATTTAACAGAATTATGGCCCTTTGTTGGTTTTTAGTTTTCAACTTGTGGCACAATAATTGTAGTCCAAAAAATATTTGACCTAGAGTCATTATATTGACAGAACAGTGGCGTGTGGGGGCATCCGTGTCCTATGGACACATTTCTAGTTAGTTTTTAACTGCTGCAGAGAAAAATGAACTTCACTTGAAAACAGTCATATATGTGTACATTTCCAAAGACTGGTCTATATAGTGTATAGTAATCTTGAAGGGTTTACTGTTTTACAAGTTGAAGCAGTGATATAAGAATATATATATGTATATATGAGCCGCGTCACGACAAAACCAACATAATGGGTTTGCGACCAGCATGGATCCAGACCAGCCTGAGCATCCGCGCAGTCTGATCAGGATCCATGCTGTTCGCTATCAGTTTCTCTTCTTGTAATAGAGTTGATAAGTGAACAGCATGGATCTTGATCAGACTGCTCGGATGCGCAGGCTGGTCTGGATCAATGCTGGTCGCAAACCCATTATGTTGGTTTTGTCATGACGCGGCTCATATATATGTATGATTATTTCAGGCATTCCATGGTGGAGACTACCTGTGTCTAGCTTCTAATGTTGGCGGGAATGCTTCCTTTCTAGTGAGGGTTGAAGTTCAAGGTAATGTTTATATTTTTATAGTCTTCTGTTGACAAGAACAATATGTTATTTCAGCTTACATTGTAACTTTCTATCTTGTATACTAACACCATATATTATTCAGTAATGACCCTTGACACTCCCACTTTGCCACTTGTAATAATGTTTAATTTTATGAAATTAACGAAAATTAACACCTAAACAGACAAATGATTCCTTTAATTATTTACTGGTAACATACATTATATTATTTGTATTTTTCAGTTCCGCCAATATTTGGGTTTGACTCGCCGGAAGATAACGTAACAGATTTTAGAATTAACCAAGGTGATACTGTAGTTCTTCCTTGTAATGTACAGGGAGATCCAACACCTTTGATAACATGGTGAGTTAAATTCTTTCTTGAATGATTGGCGAAGTCCTTTGTTTTTTAGCCCATTTGTCACAAAGTGACAGGGTGAGCTTTTGTGATCGCTTTTCGTCTGGCGTCCGTCCGGCGTCCGTCCGTAAACTTTTTCTTTAAATGACATCTCCTCATAAACCACTAAGCCAATTTCATCCAAACTTCACAGGAATGTTCCTTTGGTGGTCACCTTTAAAAATTGTTCAAAGAATTTAATTTCATGCAGAACTCTGGCTGCCATGGCAACCAAAAGAAAAAACTTTAAATATCTTCTTCTAAAAAACCCAAAGAGCTTAAGCTTAGATATTTGGCATGAAACATCTTCTAGTGAGTGTCTACCAAGTCTATCAAAATTGAGCCCAGGGGGTCATTGATTTTTCCTATATGCATATAGTAAAAACTTAAAAAACTTCTTTTAAAGAACCCAAAGAGCTAGAGCTAAGATATTTAGCATGAAACATCTCCTTATGGGTGTCTACCAAGATTGTTCAAATAAAAGCCCTGGGGTCAAAATTGGCTTCACCCCAGGGGGTCATTGATTTTTCCTATATGCATATAGTAAAAACTTAAAAATCTTCTTTTAAAGAACCCAAAGGGCTAGAGCTAAGATATTCGGCATGAAACATGTTCTAATGTATGTCTACCAAGTTTGGTCAAATAAAAGCCCTGGGGTCAAAATTGGCCCGCCCTGGGGGTCATTGATTTTCCTTATATGTGTATAGCAAAAACTTAAAAAATCTTCTTTGAAAAAAAACAAATAGCTAGAGTTTAGATACTAAGCATGAAACATCTTCTAGTGAGTGTCTACCAAGTTTGTTCAAATAAAAGCCCTGGGGTCAAAATTGGCCCCGCCCCAGGGGGTCATTGACTTTCCCTATATGCATATAGTAAAAACTTAAAAATCTTCTTTTAAAGAACCCAAATAGCTAGAGCTAAGATATTTAGCATGAAACATCTTCTTATGGGTGTCTACCAATTTTGTTCAAATAAAAGCTCTGGGGTCAAAATTGGCCCCACCCCAGGGGGTCATTGATTTTCCTTATATGTGTATAGCAAAAACTTAAAAATCTTCTTTGAAAAAACCCGAATAGCTAGAGTTTAGATATTAAGCATGAAACATTTTCTAGTAAGTGTCTACAAAGATTTTTCAAATAAAAGCCCTGGGGTCAAAACTGGCCCTACCCAAGGGGTCTCATTGTTTTTTACTATATCTGTAAAGAAAAAATTCAACGAGCTAGACCTTAGATGTTTAGCATGAAACATCTTCTAATGGGTGTCTACCATGTTTGTTCAAATAAAAGCCCTGGAGTTTTAAACTGACCCCGCTCTGGGGGCCTATATACATGTGAGTGACTTCAGGGCCATCATGGCCCTCTTGTTTAATATGCTTTCCATAATATGGGCGAGGATAATCAAATCCACACAATTTAAATAAAATAGTGCATGTTTTATCAAGTTTTATGAATTATGAGCTTATATGAAACAAGGTTCCTGAAATTCAAGATTCTTAAATGAATATTATTACCTAGCTTGTTGTAATATTTATTACCTTACAACCTCTGGGAACCTGTAGAATTGCAAGATTTTATATACTGTTTCTGTATTCAGGTTCATGTTTAACATTAACTGGTTCATCTTTAACATACTGTCTCTGTATTCAGGTTTAAGTTAATTAATGTCTCTGCATTCAGGTTCAAGTTTAACATATTATTCCTGTAGTAAAAGTTAAACATACTGTTCCAGTATTTATGTTCAAGTTTTAGATATTGTTCCTGTATTCATGACTGTTCAGGTTTAACATAGTGTACCTGTTTTCAGAATCTAGTTTAACATATTGTTCCTGTAGTTAAAGTTTTACATACTGTTCCTGTATTCATGTACAAGTTTAACATATTGTTCCTGTTTTCAGGTTCAAGTTTAACATACCGTTCCTGTATTCAGGTTCAAGTTACACATACCTTTCCTGTTTTCATGTTCAAGTTTAACATATTGTTCCTGTTTTCATGTTCAAGTTTAACATACCGTTCCTGTTTTCAGGTTCAAGTTAAACACACCGTTCCTGTTTTCATGTTCAAGTTAAACATACCGTTCCTGTTTTCATGTTCAAGTTTAACATATTGTTCCTGTTTTCAGGTTCAAGTTTAATGTACCGTTCCTGTTTTCAGGTTCAAGTTAAACATACCGTTCCTTTTTTCATGTTCAAGTTTAACATATTGTTCCTGTTTTCAGGTTCAAGTTTAACATACCGTTCCTGTTTTCATGTTCAAGTTTAACATATTGTTCCTGTTTTCATGTTCAAGAGTAACATTTATTCCTGTTTTCAGGTTCAAGTTTAACATAGCGTTCCAGTATATATGTTCAAGTTTTAGATATTGTTCCTGTTTTCAAGTTTAAGTTTAATATTACTGCTTCTGTATTCTGGCTAATGTTTATCATATTGTCTATTCAGGTCAAAGTTTATCATACTGTTCCAGTGTTCAGGTTCAAGTTTTACATACTGTTCCAGTATTCAGGTGAAAGTTTAACATACTGTATCTGTATTTAGGTTCAAGGATGAAAGTCCCATTTCACTGACAGACTATCATTACTATATAAGAGAAGATGGGAGTTTAGAGATTTTCTCGGCCGAGGCCACTGATACTGGTGAATACAGATGTCAGGCCACTAATATAGCTGGAGATATAGAAAAGGTTGTGGACCTTTTTGTTCAGGGTAAATTACCAAGTTATTATTATCCGAACATTTTATCTAGATAACTAAGTAAAGATCAAATTGTAATTCTAGGGTTTTGCTCCCAATTTTAGAAACATTTCCAATTTGGAACAATTTAATACATTATTTGTCCATGTAAGCATTTGATACTTTTTTAATGAAGCCTGTCTAGGGTCTATGCTGGTGGTAGCATAATTTGTGTATTTTGATATTGAAAAAATTTAAATTTTTAACGGACTGTGTCAATATTCAAAACAATGTTTGTTTAAAATTTCAGAAGATTAAGGATTTAATTTGTTTTATGTTTAGTGAAACCAACAATAGCTGGAGAGCCTAATGAAAGATTGACTGTGACAGAGAACGAGACAGTTGTGTTGCCATGTGTCGGTAGTGGTGTACCAACACCTGAAATAACATGGAGGAAAAACTTTGTACCGTTTAATCCTACATCAGAAAAGTACCTGTTTGGAGATTATGGGTTGACAATTTTAAACTCAAAGATTGAGGATAAAGCCATCTACGAGTGTATTGTAACAAATGTGGCAGGATCTGAGACCAAAGTTATTACCCTTGTTGTACAGAGTAAGTTATCAATTAAAATGGTGGACTGATTGATTTGAAGAAACCCCCTTCTTGGTCAAGGTGTTGTGGTAGCTAATAATCCAGGGATTGCTGATCTGATCTTGGGCAAGGCAGTTTTTTCCAGAACATTGAGTCTAATGGTCATTTGTCTCTCACAGTAGATTCAGAAATCATGTGGGATAAGAATCCAGTCATTTAGCAAGAAATTGGTTATTACTTGTTAGCTATCAAGGACATGTGGTTAGGAGGAACTTCCACCAAGATATGAAAGAAAATGTAATGAAATCGGCTTAAAAACAAAACCACAAAATTACTGATCTCCTAGTCCTGTTACATGTTAGATAGCTATCAAGCTAGGGTAAGAAGGCTGGCGACTTAAAGCAGTATGTCTCCATATTAACCTTTTACCCCATGAGCATATTGCGAAAAATGGCCATTTTCATTGAAAAGCCTCCTGTAACAAGTTCAAACTGCTATGAAACTATGAAAAATGCTCCAATGCTGATGAAACTTGGCACAAATGTTGACTAGACCATAGCCTTTGTAACAGCATGTTTAATCGTAAATTTTCTGTTACCATGGCAACAGGGGGACGTCTCAAAATTGCCAAAAATCACTATTTTGCATTGTTTTTTCCCTCAAAACTGATTTCAACGTGCTGCAACTTCTCAATGAATTGAGATGGAGTAAAAGGCTTTTCAGCGTCCGTTACTAGTTACCCTAAGATCGACCTGAGGCCATTTGTCACTTCTTTTAACAACATTTCTCAAACGAAAACAGTGTTTGGGACCTAAACAGGGCATTTTTTCACTGTTTGAGGCCTCAAATAATTTGGGGGGGGGGTGGCAAAAAGCCGTCTAAACACGCTAATACAGTACACTCCGCTTATAACGAACTCATTGGGACATTTGAAATCTGTTCCTTATATCCGGAGTTCCTTGTAAGCATATAGCAAATTTGTTCCTTGTATTAGGAGTTTTTATAGCGAACAGATTTGCATTTAACGAACTGATTATTTACCATCGTCCATTACGAAAAGCATTTGTTTTAGAAAAATTAGTCACTCATATCTTTTATAGACACAATACCCGAGAGCGTCCTTTTTTTTAAATTTAAAAATCCTTTGTTATTTCAGTTTTAGTTTTACTCCGTTTCACAATTTCTCATGAAATACATTATTTTATTTCTTAACTCAGTGCTTTTTGTTTTCTTACCATGATTAAGAATAAACAAGATTTTCGATTTTTCTTCCTTTTGAATATCTTCTATTATGTTTTAAGCGTGACTTTTACTTATAAAAGATATAGATATCTTTTCATTTCAATCAATCATACTTTGTGTGATTATGTTGAAAACCGATTATAAATGATTATAATTATTTTACTTGAGCAAAACTATTTAAGAAAAGAAATAACAGAATAAAAGGAATAACCGTTTTTTCTTGGTTACAAGAACTAGTGCTAATAGAAAATAATAGAAAACTATTAAGTACTGCTATAAAAATTCATTTTTACAGCTGAATAGAAGTACATACAACAATAAACGGTACATCTGGCCGAGTTTTTATCCGTGCCATTATGAAAACGAAAGTTGAAAATGCGGGATCTATAATTTTACAGATAGCCGATATTTTAGAGTACGTTATAAAGGTGTAATTTTCCGTACTTTTAACTAAATTGGGACTAAGAAATGAGTTCCTTATAAGCGATAATTCCTTATAACCGTGTTCGTTGTAACCGCATTTTTTTTATATTAAATAAAGAAGGGCAAAATTCGGGCCGAAAAAAATTGTTCCTTATAACCGGAAGTTCGCTATAACCGTGTTCGCTATAAGTGAAGTTTACTGTATAAGGGAAAAGGTTAATGCTAATTTTGATGAATATTTTGAAAATGTATTTGAATGTGTAATATTGTGAAGTTACCAAAAGGAAGCAATTTACACATTATCAATGGCACTTTCAAACCGTGTAAATTACCAAAACATGGTCAAAGTATGCATAAATTGCCATTACTGTGTTAGTAACACAGTAGAAATTTGATTGTAAATACGAAAAAAAAAACCAGTCATTAATTGCACATAACATGAAAAATATTACTTGAATCTTGAAACTTTTTACTTTTCCTAACATCTTAGTAAGTTTGATTTTATTGAAATATTTTGACTCATCTGGAGGCATGTAGCTTTAACCTAGGTGCTGCTCTTTTCAGAAGCTTGTCATGTGACCTAAACAGTGATAATCAGAACAAAAAAGATTATTTGTTTTAGTATCTGGTATTTTCTTTTTACGCACACATTATTTTTGAATACTATTTTTATGTAAATGTACATTACTGTTTATTTTATTAATAGAATATACATGTTCATTTCAAATATATTCAGAAAAGATTTATTTAGTTGATTGATTCAAACATTTCAAACATTTATGTAGTATCATAGCATATCAAAGATTCATGCACAATTGTCACTTAAAAACTACTTGCAGCTGTATGAAATATGTCTATATTTATGCCACAGTTCCGCCAGTGATTCTAGACAAGGGTGCCTCAGAGATCACTGTTATCAAAGGAGATGATGTGACATTGCTTTGTGAAAACTTCGGTAACCCAGTACCTACAGTTGACTGGAAGAAAGACGAGACAGTACTTACAGTGTTTGATGAAGTCAGTGGATTTACAGAGTCCGAGAATGGATCGTTACTTATAGAGTCTGTTAGAGTAGATCACTCTGGTAGATATGTCTGTGTGGTAGAAAACAATGCTGGAATAGCTACAAGGGATTTTACTTTGAATGTATTAGGTAATACAACTTGACTGTAAAAGATGTTTCAATTTGAATGTATTAGGTAATAAGTTTAACAGTACATGTATTAGCTAAGTAAAAAATGACTCTATTAGTTGAAAATATGAATGTATTAGGTAATTAATTTATTAGTATTTGTATTACAGCTAAGCAAAAATTGATTCTATAAGGCTAAGAAATGACTGTATTAGGTAAAACAGTTATACTGTTACAGATTAAGGTTATACATTTATTATTATTATGCCCCCGCCATGTAATGGCCGGGGCATATAGTGTTACCCTGTTCCGTCATTCCGTCCTTCCGTCCTTCCATCCTTCCGTCCTTCCATCCTTCCGTCCTTCCGTCATTCTGTCATTCCGTCATCATCAGTTTCCGTTCATTATCTTAAGAACGGTTGCAAACATTCAACTCAAATTTGACATATGGATATGTCATGAGAAAATACAGGTCAAGTTCGAATTTGGTCATGGTTCGATGATTTTTGGCAGAGTTATGCCCCTTTTACTTTGAAAATGATATGAAATTTCAGTTTCCGTTCATTATCTCCCCAACGGTACAACACATTCAACTTAAACTTGACATATGGATATGTCATGAGAAAATACAGGTCAAGTTCGAATTTGGTCATGGTTCGATGATTTTTGGCAGAGTTATGCCCCTTTTACTTTGAAAATAATATGAAATTTTCAGTTTCCGTTCATTATCTCCCCAAAGGTACAACACATTCAACTCAAACTTGACATATGGATATGTCATGAGAAAATACAGGTCAAGTTCGAATTTGGTCGTGGTTCGATGATTTTTGGCAGAGTTATGCCCCTTTTACTTTGAAAATAATATGAAATTTTCAGTTTCCGTTTATTATCTCCCCAAAGGTACAACACATTCAACTCAAACTTGACATATGGATGTGTCAAAGGAATGGGCAGGTCAAGTTCAAATTTGGTCATGGTTCAATGATTTTTGGCAGAGTAATGCCCCTTTCACTTTGAAAATAATATGAAATTTACAGTTTCTGTTCATTATTTACCCAACACTGTGTTACATATTCAACTTAAATTTGACATATGGATATGTCAAAGGAATGGGCAGGTCAAGTTGGAGTTTGGTCATGGTTTGATGATTTTTTGGCAGAGTTATGTCCCTTTCACTTTGAAAATAATATAGATATATCTTAGGAATAAGCAGTTTAAGTTTGAATTTGGTTGTAGTTCAATGATTTAAGACAAACTTATCTTTCCTGAATGTTGGAAAAAATTTGAACTTTCACTTTCAGCACTCTTACTTTTAGCCATTATTTTGGCTACAAATATGCAATATGCTATTTTTAAAAGGTTTAGACTGAATAATTTCAGTGCCTTGAACATTGTATGAAAATGGTTTGTGTTAACATTGAAAAGTTTTAAGGGCTTTGAACTTAAAATGAAAAAAATTAATTAAAGCACCATCTGAAATTTTGGCTGCATGCGGGGGCATCCGTGGCATGATGACACATTTCTAGTCTTGTAATAAAATTTGACACTATAAGGTTGTAAAAATTTGACAGTGTTACATGTTGTATATTTTCTGTTTTAAGTAAAAGTGTGTTGGCCCTTTTTGTATTTTTGCATAAAAAAGGAGTGTGTGTTTTTTTGCATCTTTTGTGTATTAGAAAAGAAAATTACTCACCTGTTGTGTAATACTAATAGTTAAAGGCCCACTATGTCCCAGAATTGCTTCCATTTTTATTTCTTCTTTGTAAGAATCCAGGAGTTCTTTGTATGATTCCAGAAGTCCAACTATTTGAAAACATGTAGTTATTTGAACTGAGTTGAATTTTTCAATGCATTTTACATTATATTTAGATCCTCCAAAATTACCTTCAAACCTGACCAAGTATAAAGAAATAATAGAGGGCAGTCCGGTGGTTATCCGGTGCCCGGCCTCCGGTACACCTCAACCATTGATCACATGGTATAAGGATGGTTTGCTGATCACCGGAGATCATGGTGGACTGGCTATACTGGACGATGGTTCCCTGGAGATTTTAGATGCAGAAGCTGAGGATTCCTCTGTGTATACTTGTATAGCCGAGAACCAGGCTGGTGAAGTGGAGCATGATGTTGAAGTTAAAGTTATAGGTAAAAACGTTTAATTCAAGTGAGATTTTATTCAAATACAGTTTCACTAATGGTACTGAATTATCTTTTTGTTCTATAAAAATCCTTTGATATTAAATTGTGTTAAAATATTAAAGGAGCCAGGCTATGAAGAAAAGTTGTACAATCACATTATCACCTTATCCAGTCACATTGGCTGTTTCTGATATTAAACACAAATATCAGCAAAAAAGAGTAAAATGTTCTCTAAAACAAACAAAACATTTTTTTGTGGCTTTTGGTAAGGATTTCATACACAAAACATCTGCTTTCATAGGATTTTACAACTTTGTTTGTTTAATTTAGATATTGCAGAGAATTATTCTTAGACATCATTTAGATATTGCAGAGAATTATTCTAAGACTTACATTTAATTTTAATGATGAAAATAATTTTCTTTAATTCTGATTTGCTTAGAGCAGCACGCCTCCAGATCCACGCTAATTTTCATGAAATTTTAAAAATGTATTTGAATGTATAATATTGTGAAACAGGGTCTTTCAAATAGAATGGTCTGGAGACAGACCAGTTTTACGAAAAATGCTGTCTCGGTTGAGTCATGTTGAGTCATGTGATATAGCACCCTTAGAAATCAAATTATAAGATAATATTTTGTTAAATCAATAAAAAAATTACTAAAAACTAACTCTGACTACATTATATTATCAGTTTTTACTTTAAAAGTAACAATTTCATAGATTTGCAATGAAATTAGAATTATCTAAGGTAAAAATCTACTGCTCATATTTGAAAATAGGTCCGAGTTTCATGAGCTTTTTTAAATTTATGCATTGTTCAATGACAAAATAGAAATTGATTTTACAGAGAAAAGATGCTATTAAATTGTATCATGTAAAAATATTATAATATTTCACTATATTATTTGCAAATATTTGATGTTTAATTTGGTGCATTTTCAAAATGACGCCGATTATCGGCAAATATTCTGAACAAACAATTCTATTCGAAAGACCCTGTGTGAAATAACCAAAAGGAAGTAATTTGCACATTATCAATGGCACTTATAACCCACATAAATTACCAAAAAGTTGTCAAAATATGCATAAATAGCCCTTACTGTGTTAGTAACGCAGTAGAAATATAGTTGTAAATATTTAAAAATCAGTCATTAACCACACATAACATGTAAAATATTACTTGAATCTTGAATCATTTTACTTTTCCCAAAATCGTGGTACATATTTCTCAAGTTTGATTTTCTTGAAATATTTTGACTCATCTGGAGGCATGCAGCTTTAAGCACTTTGTATACTATGTCATATACATGTATACATATAAATTATACCATGAAGGACTGAAGCATTCACAAATAACTATATATTTCTACATTGTACATGGTTCAAACCATGTGAGTGCATTAAATTTATCATTGTGTTTCGTTCTTTATGGCATATTTTTTATTTAAATGTCATAACTTCATAATTGAGCCGAGTTGTGTCAAAACCAACATAGTGCGTTTGCGACCAGCAATGGATCCAGATCAGCCTGCTCTTCCGTGCAACCTAAATATTAGAGTGTCTGAACAAGATTGTTTTTATTACAGTTAAACCAAAGTTGACAGGGAAAGATCAAGGTCAGGATGGTGTAGTTGATGATAAGAATGTGATAATTGGTAACAATATAACATTGGTATGTCCAGTAGAAGGTGATCCTCAACCTACAATAACCTGGCTACAGTAAGTACAGATCATATATGTATTGTAGAACAATGTTCATTAATGATTATTTAATATTATAATCCATTAATTGGCTTCAAGATTGATGTAATTTGCTAATTTTCTTAAATTTCAGTAAAGAGTATGAAAGAGATGTGTTAATTACTCAGTTTAAAGTCTTTGACTTTTAAGCTAGAAGTGTTGTGATTACTTGAAATAATTTATGATTCTGCAAATAACTTGTTTCCTTAGGACATGACCTTAGCTGCTAATAATTCATAACATATTTTCATGAAACTTGATTATAAAATAATTTTTGGACATGAAAGAAATTATTTTAATTTGAATCCTTTGTCAGTATGTTTAAGTGTTACAAAAGGTAGCAAGAGTCATTCATTATATTTATGCAAGTTTCTATCCTTTTATAGCAAAGGTTTGCTTAATAAATGTCTTCCCCTTGGAAAAAAAATGCTTTAAAATCTTGCAGTTTTTCCCAAAGAGAGGGCGAAAACTGACTTAACATCAAGCTTTTTCTTTCCTTTTGCAAAAATGTTTAGTTTTTTTTTCCCCCTTAAATTAATAGGAAGAGCCCTGTCCTCTACATGTGAACACTGGCCCTGTTACCATGGCTACTGACATTAAGTTAACAAGTACATGTTGATATTACAGGAATGGATACGCGTTACAACGATCTGAGTTGGGTACAGTGTATGAAATATCATCAGATGGAATGAACCTGACTGTTTACTCCGCAGACGTGGACGATACAGCCAGATATACATGTATAGCTGAAAATATTGGCGGTGAAGTGGAGAAAAGTTTTGATCTTAATGTTCATGGTATTACAGTGATTTTTCACCTTACAGAACAGAGGCCTACAAAAGGCTTTTTCCCAATCGAAATTCTCTTTTGAATCATGCAGTTTTCCCAAAAATCTGAACTTGTACCAGCTTTTTTAATTCCCAAATTTGTTGAGCAATAATTCCTCCCAAAATCAAAATGCAAAGACCTCTTCCCAATTAAGAGAGAAAAACTACTAGGGTATTTCTATATTTGTATATGGACATTTGCTATATTAAATTGACTCACTAACACCATGTTATCAACATATATCTGTTACATTTTTAAATATTTGATTAAGAAACTAGTAATTTATGTAACACCTTTTAATTGAAAATGTTGGCATTTTGCCAAGACAATGGCTGGATAAGTTAATATACTTTGTTTTAAAATGACATTTATATATACCATTTTGTATGAATGACATATGTTCTTATGTTAATTTTCAGTGCCACCAAACATTGATCCAGACTCAGTGTCACCTGATGTTAACATTATAAACAAAGACAGCTCTCTCTACATAGATTGTCCTGTAACAGGAATTCCTAGACCCAATGTTCTATGGTATAGTTTACACATATATTTTACAATAATTATAATCTTGAACCTAACATGTATTCCCTTACAACAATAAGGAATTTCCAGATATTTTACCAACATATAGAATGTCTTTTCAATAATGTAGTATATGATTTTATATAGGTAAAATGTATAACAGTTAATTTTCACAAATGGTAAACAAAGAAATATAAAAGTAAATTCTGTGAACTATAAATATATCTTTGTAAATAAAAATATATGTGAATACAATATGTCATGTTTTTCATAAGGATGACATATTCGTAGAGACAAACTTTTGCGAAGTCTTATAATTCTTTCTATACACGTAAGACAAGATTCAGCATACAGTATTGACAAAATCTTTCAGTGCACACCAAAAATGTTAAAGTTTTCTTTGTTAAAAAAAATATTACCTATAAATAGTCTATTATTATAAAATAAATTTACCCATTCCTGGTGTAATTATCTTATACCTAGGTACAAGGACGGAGATTTATTGTCACCAGAAAATGACCCAAACTTACATGTACATGCTGATGGTCGTAGATTAGAGATCGTTGGGGCGCAGGTGTCAGACTCTGGGAAATACAAGTGTGTAGGAGAAAATGTAGCTGGACGTACAGAACAAGAATTTGATGTTGATGTACATGGTGAGTTTATTATGATGTCTAATGTCTTATATTATATATCTCATAGTATTGCCAAAATCTGTATTTAACTTTAACATTTAATTTTGAATTTAGTCAGGTGAGTTTGAAGGAATATAACAGATATAATGTTTGCAGAGTAGTATGATATAAATTTACAGCTTAAAGTTAAAAAAGTTTGACTGTTCTGTTATTTATTAACCTTGTAATGAGTGATTTTTGAAATTTTGAATGAACAGTTTCTTTAGAGACACTGTTAACTATTGGTTTATAATGATATGCCTTTAACATGCTTTCAAATAGTACTCTTTGATGATAAAATTGCTATTATTAAGTTTCTTACTTGTGATACTTTAACTCTGTATACTTTAACTCTGTTAAGTTTTTATTTTTAAATTTCTATTTATTAAATAGTTGGCCCTGTGATCGAGCGCCCCGGAGAGATTGAGAAGCCTGAGATAATTAGCAACGAATCTATCAGTCTTACATGTCCTGCCTCGGGTATACCATTACCAAGAATTACCTGGTATAAAAATAATCAAATAATATCAGCAAATACCAGTCGTATCACCTTGTTAGATGATGGATGGACTCTGAGAATAACCTCTGTAAATGTTGAAGATTCTGCCAGGTATAGTACATGTAATACTCATACAGTTATACTATATCAAGCTCATGTAAAGTTTTTAATTGTATAAATAATTGATAAAACTTTTCAATTTAGATTCATTAATTGCCAACTTGCCTTGCTTTGATTTTGGAAATTGTTACTGCTAATGAAGGAGTTCATAATTATAAAGTTGACCAGCCAATAGTCAGTATTTAGAATGCATGATAGCAAGGTCAAACCTGATTTGATACTCTAACCTGGACTCACCATTATGTATTGATGTAGTTCTCAGAGTAATTTCTGTCGCTTAGTTTAACAGTTGACATAGTCAAATGAATAGTACCGGTAAGTTTAGCTTATTGCTAAATGCCTTGTGTGGTCAATTTGATAAAAAGGTGATCTTGTTTTCTGCAATGACTTAATGCTGAAATAAAATAAATCTGAATATTGAGATTGCAATGTAACTATAAATAAATTTCATACATGTTTTCATGTAGAGCTCAGAATGAGGCTGGTGATTGCAATGTTACTATAAATAAACTATTCCTACAGGTATACATGTAGAGCTCAGAATGAGACTGGTGATTGCAATGTTACTATCATTACACTAGTCCTGTTGGCTCAGAATGAGGCTGGAGATTGCAATGTTACTATAAATAAACTTTTCCTATAGGTATACATGTAGATTTCAGAATGAGGCTAAGGATTGCAATGTTACTATAAATAAGCTATTCCTATAGGTATACATGTAGAGCTCAGAATGAGGCTGTTGATTGCAATGTTACTATAAATAAACTATTCCTGTAGGTATACATGAAGAGCTCTGAATGAGGCTGGTGATTGCAATGTTACTATAAATAAACATTTCCTGTAGGTTTACATGTAGAGCTTAAAATGAGGAGCTGAAGATTGCAATGTTACTATAAATAAACTATTCCTGTAGGTATACATGAAGAGCTCAGAATGAGGCTGGTGATTGCAATGTAACTATAAATAAACTATTCCTGTAGGTATACATGTAGAGCTCAGAATGAGGCTGGTGATTGCAATGTTACTATAAATAAACTATTCCTGTAGGTATACATGTAGAGCTCAGAATGAGGCTGGTGATTGCAATGTTACTATAAATAAACTATTCCTGTAGGTATACATGTAGAGCCCAGAATGAGGCTGGTGATGGTGAAAAAGTATTTGATCTTGATGTCTTAGGTGAACAAATACCTGCATGTTTTACTGCTTGAGATTTAAGTGCTAATTGATGATCTTAATTGTAACCTATCTTAGATTTTAATTATATGTTTTAAAATGTTTATCAAAACTAATTTATATACACTGTATTAACATTCATGCATTTTATCAAGCTTCATATTCTGCCTTGCTACTTAAAGCCCATGGCATGAAGCATGTTCTACATGATATACAAAATAAATTTACAAAAAAGGACCAAAGGGAGACAAAAATAATTACAGACCAATTTCAGTACTTCCCCTTATCTCTAAAATAATTGAAAAACATGTATCAGACCACTTAAAGCTCTATTTAGAAACAAACCATTTACTTTACACTGCTCAATCAGGTTTCAGGGCACATCATTCATGTGAGACAGCTCTTACAAATATAATTGATAATTGGATCAGTGCTCTGAATGATGGCAAACTTGTCGGAACTGTTTTTCTAGACTTATCAAAAGCCTTTGATTTAGTGAACCACCAAATTCTTCTAGAAAAACTACCTTTCTATAATTTCTCTTCACATACTATAGATTGGATAAGATCTTATCTATCAGACAGGTCACAAAAAGTCAATGTGTCTGGTGTTTTATCTGAACCAGCTGAAGTTGTCTCAGGAGTGCCTCAGGGCTCAGTCCTTGGGCCCCTACTATTTTTGATATACATAAATGACATCCATCTTCATGTTAAACAGTCAACTACCGATATGTTTGCAGACGACACTTCCCTTACTTCTACTGGAAGTACTTTAACGGAAATGAATTATAATCTTCAAACAGACCTTGATAGTGTTAGCACATGGTGTAGGCAAAATGCAATGATATTAAATGCACAAAAAACTAAGGCCATAAATTTCTCTTTAAAAAATACTAAATCAAAAAATACTGCTTCATCTACTCTGCACCTTCAAAACAAAGAGATAGAATTTACAGACACTGAAAAACTGCTAGGAGTCCAGGTTGACAAAAATCTTAAATGGAAAACACAAATTCAAAATATTATTAAAAAATGCAATTCACAGCTCTATTTGCTTCTTAGAATCAAACAGTACCTTGATCTCCACTCCAGAAAACTCTTTTTTAATGCTTATATTTTTGCCACATATTGACTACTGTTGCATTATTTGGGGAAACTGCAGTAGTGAATTACTTTCGCAAATTGTCAACTTTCAAAAAAGAGCTGCAAGAATTATTTTAGACAAAAGTTTTGATACCCCATCAAATACTCTATTTAAAGAATTAAATTGGATGTCCTTTGATCAAAGAATTATGTACAAAAAGGCAATCCTCATGTATAAATCTATAAATGAACCATCCTTTCCTATTTATATGAAAAATAAATTCCAAACAATAAATGACAAACATGACTTTAACTTAAGATCTATACAAAATGAAAAACTAACTGTACCCAAACCAAAAACAGAATTTTTTAGAAAATCATTTAATTACTCTGGTCCTGTGGTATGGAACAGCATACCAATCCATATTCGAAATTCTGATACCCTGAGGAAATTTCAATCCTCCTATATCCAGTGGCAATTTTCTAACTAATTGTTTGTACATATTGTTTCAAAAACATATACTTTCCATGCTGAAGTTATGAAAATGTCACTTCTCTATGTAAGAAGAAAAAATTGTTTACTTATTTATTGTATTGATATGATGTTTAATGTACATATTTTGTTGTCTAAATGTTGATTGTGATTGTATTTTATGTTGTTTTGTATATACTGAGGCCCGCATGGAAGATCGGGAAACTGAATGTGTTAGCCTCATAAAATAAAGTCGTTACTTACTTACTTACTTACTTACCATGTCTTATAAGCTTATGCAGTTCATTGTGTACCATTGATGGCTTGCGATTACAAGCAAGTGCAACTTCCAGTCACTATACCTGTGTGTAAATAGGAGTCAATATGATCCATATACTTGGACTTTTCTTGTGATAACTAGAAGTAGATTCGTTTCTCTTTTTCCATCGATTCATGTTGTAAGGTAGCCATATTAATGAGAACAGGCCTCTAGGTCATGAATCTTTTTTCTGTGATCAGTCTCGGATCTTGGGATTTTCATTGGTGAATGCACATTCAGTGCTGGTGTCTGGCCAATCAAATACCCGAGATCTGAGTTTGAGATTAGAATATTTCATTTTAACCTCCGGTCCCAGGTTTAAACTGTACAGAATCGTATGATTACAGCTAAAAGAAGATATGAATCAAAAGCAAAGGTTGACTAATGAAACCTCATAATTGCATGGCTAGAAGATCTAATAGACTTGATTTTAATTTTGAATTGGAAGCTCTTTTATTTTATGTAAGATTAGATATAACTAATACATGTACAGTGAATGATAGATTGTAAGTATTTGCATGGAGAAATGTTCATAATTTTTAGAAACATATATTCTTTATTTATACATTTCTACTCATTGCTTATTTGCTTTATTACAGTTTTATATCTGATGATTTTGACAGATCTTATTCTTCAAAAAATAATCTTTTGTAATTGTTTGAAGATAACTAGTGTAATGTCCACAGTGATCGACTTTTCTTTTTTTGCTTTGTAAAGCCATTTTTGTATTTCTTTATTTTAATGATATAAGTCACAAGATAATAAACAAGAAATGTAATATTGTTATTATTTGCTTTGATATTTTTTTCTTCAGTTCCCCCTATGATACAGAGAGAGAATTTGAACCTTGACCCTAAAGTTGTCCTCAATCAATCATTGATTATAAATTGTCTGGTAGAAGGTAAACCTTCCCCTACAATCATATGGTATAAAAATGGGATTCAACTAGATGCATCTGTACAGGTGATATATTTTATAATTACTCAGAGTTAATTAAATAAATATGTGTTAAATATGTTTGCTCCCCAAAAAAATTTGGTGAACCTAGGGGTGCATTATTTTATAATTGCTGCTTTGGTGTTCCATAGGTATGTCACTCTTTCCTATGGTTTAGGTATGTCATGCTTTCCTATGGTTTAGGTATGTCATGCTTTCCTATTGTTTAGGTATGTCACGCTTTCCTATGGTTTAGGTATGTCACGCTTTCCTATGGTTTAGGTATGTCACTCTTTCCTATGGTTTAGGTATGTCACTCTTTCCTATGGTTTAGGTATGTCACTCTTTCCTATGGTTTAGGTATGTCACGCTTTCCTATGGTTTAGGTATGTCACGCTTTCCTATGGTTTAGGTATGTCACGCTTTCCTATGGTTTAGGTATGTCACGCTTTCCTATGGTTTAGGTATGTCACGCTTTCCTATGGTTTAGGTATGTCACGCTTTCCTATGGTTTAGGTATGTCACGCTTTCCTATGGTTTAGGTATGTCACGCTTTCCTATGGTTTAGGTATGTCACGCTTTCCTATGGTTTAGGTATGTCACGCTTTCCTATGGTTTAGGTATGTCATGCTTTCCTATGGTTTAGGTATGTCACGCTTTCCTATGGTTTAGGTATGTCATGCTTTCCTATGGTTTAGGTATGTCATGCTTTCCTATGGTTTAGGTATGTCATGCTTTCCTATGGTTTAGGTATGTCACTCTTTCCTATGGTTTAGGTATGTCACTCTTTCCTATGGTTTAGGTATGTCACTCTTTCCTATGGTTTAGGTATGTCACGCTTTCCTATGGTTTAGGTATGTCACGCTTTCCTATGGTTTAGGTATGTCACGCTTTCCTATGGTTTAGGTATGTCACGCTTTCCTATGGTTTAGGTATGTCACGCTTTCCTATGGTTTAGGTATGTCACGCTTTCCTATGGTTTAGGTATGTCACGCTTTCCTATGGTTTAGGTATGTCACGCTTTCCTATGGTTTAGGTATGTCACGCTTTCCTATGGTTTAGGTATGTCACGCTTTCCTATGGTTTAGGTATGTCACGCTTTCCTATGGTTTAGGTATGTCACGCTTTCCTATGGTTTAGGTATGTCACGCTTTTCTATGGTTTAGGTATGTCACGCTTTTCTATGGTTTAGGTATGTCATGCTTTCCTATGGTTTAGGTATGTCACGCTTTCCTATGGTTTAGGTATGTCACGCTTTCCTATGGTTTAGGTATGTCACGCTTTCCTATGGTTTAGGTATGTCACTCTTTCCTATGGTTTAGGTATGTCACGCTTTCCTATGGTTTAGGTATGTCATGCTTTCCTATGGTTTAGGTATGTCACGCTTTCCTATGGTTTAGGTATGTCACGCTTTCCTATGGTTTAGGTATGTCACGCTTTCCTATGGTTTAGGTATGTCACGCTTTCCTATGGTTTAGGTATGTCACGCTTTCCTATGGTTTAGGTATGTCACGCTTTCCTATGGTTTAGGTATGTCACGCTTTCCTGTGGTTTAGGTATGTCACGCTTTCCTGTGGTTTAGGTATGTCACGCTTTCCTGTGGTTTAGGTATGTCACGCTTTCCTGTGGTTTAGGTATGTCACGCTTTCCTGTGGTTTAGGTATGTCACGCTTTCCTATGGTTTAGGTATGTCACGCTTTCCTGGGGTTTAGGTATGTCACGCTTTCCTATGGTTTAGGTATGTCACGCTTTCCTATGGTTTAGGTACGTCACGCTTTCCTATGGTTTATACAGCTTCTTCATCAATGACAGATAACCCCTTTAAATTTAGAAGTACATGTGGAGACCTTGGTAGGTCCTGTAACTTTGGATGGAGTTTTAGGTCTTTGGAGGTCAATGTCAAAACCAGTTCTTAAAAATAGATTTTACACTTGCTCATTCAGCCTTCATTTATTGACTGATATTTTTGATCAAAGAGAGGAAAATAGATTGGATGGTCCCTTACCATTAAGTCACCGTGTTCAATTTATTCACCAATACTGGCCCTAAAAATATTTTTTACAGTTTTACTTACACTGCTTTTAATAATTGTCTGATGTTTTTCGTACATTTTGTATTTGGTAGGATCATTTTTTGTGTTGGATTTGTCGAGGTCAGTGATACTAAAAATAGATTATTTACAATTTCTATAATATTTGGCTTGTAGTTCATGTACATAAACAAAAGTACAGTTTCTTACCCTCCATATCACAGAAATAAGGCACTTTGAATTCACTGGAGCACAGTTCAATCACCACATCATTCCTGGGCAGGCTGTCCAGCAGTTTACCAGGACTAGATGCCTTCACTTTCACAAGGAACTGCAAAATACTTCTGTACATGTCAGAGAAGAGGTACAATGCAAAAAAAAACCTTAAAATGGATTTCATTATCAATCACATTTAAAATGTTCTGCACTATTTGGGAGCTGAACCCTGGTTGCCTAATTCTAAGTCCAAAGCTTTTAAGTAACTTGATGAAGAGATTTATTATTGTAAACATTGTCGTTTATGTTTAATGTTTTAGCCTCGTTATGAAATTTTATCAAGTGGTCGTCAGTTACGTGTGAAACAAGCCCAGGTGTCGGACACGGCAACATTCCAATGTTTGGCAGAAAACAAAGCTGGAACAGATTCCGTTGACTTTAATCTTAAAGTTCTTGGTAAATATTTGAAATTGTAATGTATTTTGTCAGCTTATATTTAACATTAATAATACAAGTAATGTTTCTAAAGCTACATACTCTCCCGCACACAATGATTTGATAATAATACATAATCAAAAGTTAAAATTACACCACAGGTTAAATTTTTTACAAGAATGTAGTTATATCATATATTTTTATACATCAATTATTTTTTATATAATATACATGTACATGAATAGTAATATTAAAATGGCATCTTTTATCATTATTTCCACTATATGCAGTGCCAGCTACCATTGATTTCCGACGATATAATAAAAACCCGAAAGTTGTTGTCAACGGTAACCTAACAGTTCTGTGCCGGGTAACAGGAGTACCTGTGCCAACAATCTCCTGGTTTAAAGATGGTGAAGATTTAGATGTAGACAGTCTAGATAATGTAGAGGTAGACAACGAGGGACAGGAACTGACTATATACAGTGCACAGGTAATATATATCTGAATGTGTATCACATAATTCCTAACAAATCTTGTAATTTTTCATAGTATATTTTTGGCATTGCTATGTCATTTACTATGTGATGTTGTAATGATAATTTTTTATTTCATTAAAATGATTTTTAACCCTGATTGTTATATTTACGCTAATAATAACAGACTTAAACTACCAGCCATTCATATCAAACACTATACTGTTTAACGCTCAACTTTTGTTTTCTTGTTTAAAATCCTATACAAGTCAGGTCACACTTCATTCAAGTAATCGGATTGCTAGAATGGATTTTCTTGATGAGGAGTTTGATGCTGTGGTATAAACAACTGATTTAATTGATACTGCTGGTTCCCGGCCTCTATGGTTCCTTGTGTGTGTATATGAGTTTATTTATACTCGCAACTGGTTGCCCATATGGACGAGTCCTTCAGAAGAGAATTAGTCATTTTATATCTTGGAGGAGAATGCAAGATACAGATACACAAAGATGCGCCAATTCCTGAAGCTTCTGTTTCTTTATCGTGCCAAATGTTTAAGCACTCATACACGGAACCTTGATTTAAAGTCCCGTCCAAAAAACTGGTTAGTAATTTTATTTGGCCAGCCCGAAATCAAACACACAAGGCCGAGATTACAAGTAGCTCACTCTAACCGATTGAGCTATCCATGCTGGCTGGTTCCTTATCACTGCTAGTGGCTTATATATTGTTACAGTTTGGCTTTATATCAAATTCTAAATTCTGTTATTCTGTTTTATCCCATAATGATATATCCCATATCTGTAGACGTTGTATCAGTTACATGTTATTCACTGAATACAATATCATGTGGGTGTAAAATGTTATAAACATATAATATAATTTATACAGGTTGGAGACACAGCACTGTATACATGTAGAGCTGTGAATGAAGCTGGTGAATCTGATATCTCATATCAAGTAGATGTTCAAGGTAAGTTACTTGATGTTTTAATCAAATAACCAGTCTTATAAAATCGCCACAACTATGCAAATTAGCTAGGTTTATCATTTTTCTGATTAAAGCGGGAAACTGATTTGACCTGCTCTTGGATTATGTAGGTGATGTATTAGGAATCTGACCCTGACCAAATTTTGGCTTGAACAATTTTTTTTCACTTAATTTTTTTCAATGAAAATAATGGTACAGTCTAACTTGCCCATGCGACCACATGTATTAAGCGACTTTTGTCTTAAACGACCACTTTAAATTCCCCCGATCATTTTCTCTCTATATTTTTAATGTATTAAGCGACTTTTGCTCAACGTGACCAGCGACCGCTAATTAGTCACCTAATTGAGAGCAATCTTTTCATTAAACGACCACTTTTACCTGTCAAGTAATTGTGTTTTAAGAGAAGGCCCGGCCCCCTGGTAATTTCACAAGTGTCAACAATCAAAACACAACAAATAAATGTGTGAAAAACTCTATTTCCCAAACCGTTTTAGCGTAAGCAGTATACGCGTGACGTGTATTATCCAATAATATCGATTAAACAATGTAACGCTCCGCCCCTACTGATGTGGTGTATACGCTTCGCTTGTTGACAATTAGACTGCATTGATTGACCTTGAACTTGATAAGCAATTAAATTGGATGTATTTTGTTTATTTCGAATGAAAAATGCACGACAGAAAAAACATCCTCACTAATAGGTTTTTCGTGTTGGAGACAAGGAAAGGCAACGGAGAAGTTAAAAAAATCTGGAAATGTCAAACATGTACGTAATGCATCAAAACTGTTTTGTAAATAAATAACAGAAAGTTATTTTTTACAGATTATCGAGCGTACTAATTATTCAACATTTATATAAAAATGAAGTTGTTAAACATTCCCACCGCATAAGAAAGATTTCATTTGTAAATTTTGACTTTTATGTCATGCTTTGTCTTAAGAGACCGTTTCATTAAGCGACCATTTTGGGTGTTTCCCTTGCGCGGTCACTTAATACAAGTTTGACTGTACTTTAAATTCATAAAAAATAGGCCAATTTTCAAGAAAAAATGCACAGGTTAAGAGAAGAAGTTGGGAAAAAAACTATCCACTCTAAATTTGTTCTTGAAATTTTGCATATTGACTAAGATGAAGGTAAGCTTCATGAAAATAAGAAGAAAAAAATGTATTGTTTTGCTTCATTATTCAAAGGCAGACAACTCGAAAATGAGAACGGTGACCCCAATTTTCTTTTTCCATTTAAAATGTTTCTATTATTATATTCTAATAACATGCCAAGTTTAAAGAAATTCTATTGAACATTTTTAATTTTGCCTGTATGTTAAAATGAAAACTCAGGAAAACATTGAAAAGCATTGATAAATATGCACCAGAGGAGATATTTCTTGATTGAAAGGAGTTGCTCTTTTACCAAAGGTTCAGCTGTTATTTAAAATGATGAATTGTTGTTTTTTATCTTACAGTTCCGCCCACTATTGATGGAGATGAAGTAGATAATAACCCACATGTGGTGCTAGGCAACTCTATTGTATTAAACTGTCCTGCTAAAGGTGTACCCACACCTAATATAATATGGATGAAAGGGGGACAACCTATTGACCTCAGCACTAACTCACATCTTACAGTAGAGGTAGGTTAAATGTTTACATCACTCAAGTTGAGTTCTGTTGTTAAAATTAATCAAAATGATTTGGCAATGAACCAGAATATGAAAGAAATTTATGCCAGATAAAATTGATGCTTCTTTTTATGTTCAGGTTATTTTACATTCACACTAAATCACATACACTAATATTAACAGTTTCTTACTTTAAAGCAGGAAGGGCATTAATTGATAATTCTTACATGTTTTACATGGTTTCCTTATTAAAAGACTGAGCACCAATGTTTGTTATTAAAGGAAAATAGAATAAAGAATAAGTAATAGAATGTTTATATGACATAAGATGTGATATTAATTTTTCTTTTGTCGTTATATCAATAATGCATGGCTTTTGCTTTATAATGTAATCACAAAGACCTACCAGCCTTCAGGTGTTAGGAACAAAAACAATAAATTATAAGCATTTGCTCTCCTTTGACAATGAGTATTCTGAAGAAAGTATACGTTGCATTTTATAAATGTATGAAATTTCAAATTTTTGAATAATATTTCATTGGTAAATATATTTTCCTTATTATTTAAACATAGGCAGATGGTCAGAGGTTGGTAATAGAAAGGTCTAAGCTTACAGATTCTGATGTTTTCACCTGTATAGCTGCAAATCAGGCAGGCTCCCTGGAACAAGACTATGACTTAGATGTATGGGGTAAGTGGAACATTCTGTTTCCATAGAAACCACTAATTATTGCAATCGGGAAATTGATCATATTGTTCATGGTTGAGTCATTTTAGATATCCTAAATAACTAAAGGGATCATGATGATAGTTGTAAAGATAACTGCTTTATCACTTTAAACAATGTAAATATTACATTATTTTGGATGATTGGTTCCTGATGAGCAAAAGTCATCAGTCTGTGAATTGATTGAAACAAGAATAGTGTTTGATAATTATGCCCATTAATATAAGTGGTGGAATGTACACACCATTGTAAAGATGTAAAGTATAAATTTAGGATTTTATGTAAAAATAACTTACTTTTTTTCAAAATAATTTCAGTACCACCAGCAATAGACAGTTCAGATCTGAATCTTAACCCCAAAGTAAACAAGGGACATTCATCAGTACTGTTTTGTCCTGTTGAAGGAAATCCTGTACCAGATATTCTCTGGTTGAAGGTCAGTAATTAGACACTCAAACCTGCATAAAGGTCATCCATTGTAACAATAAGGCATACTCTACTTTGTCCCTATTTTATTTGTGCAAAATATCAGTTTCCTTAAATTTTTTAATTAGAATCTGAATAAACCTTAAATTATCTAATCTTCCTAAAGAATTTTGGAAAGTTTTCACATATGAAATCAATCAATGTTCCCAAATTTAAAACCTTAAACATGTTGAATTGAAATATCACTGCTACTGACTTTGTCAGGAAACAGGATGAAAATCTAGTACAGCCCACTATTGTAATATATTAATGAATTAATAGGAAATTCTAAGATTAATAAACATCATCATATAATCTTGTGGAGATGTAGTAAAATAAACAAACTGTCCAATTAGATGGGTTAGGGTTGATAGCTTCTAATCCAGTTACCTCTCTGGCATGGGTTCGATCTCCGGGAGATGCTTTAATTGGTAGTTTAGCAGGGAGGAAGGTAGTCTAGTACTGGTGTAACTCTTCAGGAACGATGGTTAGGAAACTACCCACCTATATGACTGAAATACTGTTGGGAAAAGGCGTCAAATGAAACAAACAAACAAAACAAGCAAACAAAAAATGGATTTGATCCTGTTACTCACTTCAGAATGAAAATCTGGTCGGGTGCAGTAAGCAGTACAACCAATGGGATGAGTTCTATATGAATTCTAAAGATACTAGTAGTTAAGATCATGTGACTGGATGAAGATCTAGTGCAATGTGCATTCAGCAATGTATAATTGTAAATATTATGATATGATTCTAAAAATAGATTTTTTTGTTTTAATGGGACAGGATGGTGATCCGATACAATTAGATGATAGGGTACAGATTGTACAGGATGGTATAGAATTGAGGATACTCAACTCTAAAGAATCGGACACTGGGAGATATACATGTGTGGCGAGGAACCCTGCAGGACAACAGTCTCTCTCATATGATCTAGAAATACATGGTGAGATAATGATTGGAGAATCATAGGGAAATTAGTCTATATGTAGAATAATTGATGAATGATGTAGAAGAGTTTCATGTTCATAATATTCTATTCATTTAATGTTTATTGTATTTTCATTTAGTTGCCTCTTTTTAACTGACTTGTGCATTTTTGCTTGTTTGTTCTGAAGAAAAAGTTGAGATATTATGACTGCTGTGTCGTCATTATCATCGTCGTTTACATGCAAAAACTTTTTAGCTCAGTATTAAACATTTTAACACAACTTGGAATACTTGCATATCATGACAAGCTGCAGTTGTAAGACAAAGGGCATTGTACAAAGGGGTACGGCTCATTGAATTCATGTTCACAAAATATGTATTTGATGGTAGAAAACATTTATCAAAGTCAGAAATGAATTCTAAGTCCATTACACTATATACATGTACTAATATAATGTTTTCTACCATCAAACACATATTTTGTGAACATTCAATGAGCCGTACCCCTTTGGCATTGTCCTGAAAGGTATGGTTTTAGGAGTTATGTCCCTTTTAACTTGTAATGTTTGTAAAAATGAAATTGTTAGGATTCAAAGTTTCTGTTAACTTCTTATTCTTAATAGATTTAGTATAAGAAGTTAGCTGTCAGTTACGTAACCTTCTCACTCAAAACTCCTTCAACCATTTTGACTGGAATTTTTTTCTGCTTTCAGTGGTGACATGTCAAAAAATATTACATATGTATATATATATAAATATCTGGGAACTAGTCTATATATATAAATATATGGGAACCCAAAGTAAAAACTATTGTGTTATTTAATCTGAACCTAATGTTTCTTCTTTTAAAGATTATTTAGAATGTAAAATATAGTTTTATTATCAGCAGCAAGGTAGAAGCCAAGTAATAAAATTATATAATATTAATGTAATAGATTGTATTATGCTCTGATTAATTCTTATACATGTAGCTTTGGTGTAAAGATGAATATAGAAGTCAATTTAAAACAGTTTTATTGAAAGGAGCTATAATGCAAACCTAAATTTTGTATTTATTTCAGTTCCACCATCGATAGATGAGTCAAATGTGGTATACTTCAGAAAAGTTGTAGAGAATAGAACTATTATCATAGAATGTCCAGTATCAGGTAAGAGTCTAGTCTTGTCTGAAATTTTTTCCACTTGGTAGTCAGCGAGACAAGAACCCTGATGAATTTTTTTTACCTCCCTTGCGAATGTGGACTTCATAAACTATTCAAGTACCTTTTTACTGGACGGTACATAGTACTCGAACTGTGACATGTTTAAACAAGATTATTGAATATAAAATTTTTGAAAATTTGTCTTAAAAATGCTTTTTGATTGGATAATACAACTTCTCTATCATTTAGATAGGTATAGTTATTGTTGTTTATTGAAGTGAATATACTTTTTAGGTCTTTAGGTAACTAAACCATATGTAGCATTGGAGTACTACTTTTAATTACAGTGCCTAAAATGATGGTAATTATGAACCAGCAAAACAAGCTTTTTTGACTGGATAATACACCTTCTTCTTTAAGGCAGTTAAAATAATTACCGGTATATAGGTGATGTTCTGTATATTATGACAGATACTATAATCTGTTAATTAAGAACTTTTTAATTTGATGAAATTATTGACAAGTCATTTCTGGTAATTGACATTGTATTAGGTAATTGACAGTATAAACCTTCAATAAAGACATGTATTTCTATTTTATTCTAGGTATTCCTAAACCCAAGGTAAGCTGGCTCATTAACAACAGCCCAGCTACCCCGAGAGAAGGCTTACAGTTTACCCACAATAATTACCATCTTGAGCTAGCTAGTGCACAGGTCACAGATACTGCTATATATACATGTGTAGCTACCAATGAGGCAGGAGAGCTACGCAAGAAATTTGACTTAGAAGTGCAAGGTTAGTTTTTCATATCTTAGTTAAGTATTGAAACTTTAAATCACTTGCCAGTATAACAAATGCCCCCATTTAAAAGGTGGGGAGGGGGAGTAATATAGATTAACCCTACTTTGTCTGCCCTGCTGTCACCCTGTCACTGACAAAACAGTGTAATTTACACAGGGGGGCATCATTGTCCACATTAACACATTTATAGTTTATGTAAATTTTGCTTAGTAAACAAAAGGGTAGTAGAATGAGGTATTTTGGTGATAAAGCACTGAACAAATTAATCACAAAGGTCTTGATATATAAAGTAATTATTTGCATATATAGTCAGTTCAGCTCAACTTGACAATGAAAAATTGAGCATAATGTCCATTTTGTGCAAAAAAATTTCCTCATTTGTATTACAGTACCACCTAAGATAGATTACTCCAAACTGGAGAAGGAACGGGATGTTATTCAGAACAGAAGCCAAGTAATAATATGTCCGGTGAATGGTATTCCGGTTCCATCTATTATCTGGTACAAGGACGGGGTACCGCTGTTAGACTGGCCTTATGATGATCTTAGTCTGACAAATGGTGATCTCAGTCTAGAGGTACTGAATGCACAGACAGACGATGCTGGGGTCTACACATGTCAGGCCACAAATCCTGCTGGTCAGGTTAAATTTGACATCACACTACATGTTTATGGTAAGTTTTATAAAGGTCACACTAGCTAATATCATAAATTGTGAATGTTAATATACTAAAGTGAGATGATGCCCATACTCATTAGAAATTAGAAATAAATAGTTTATTGAACTATATTAAATTTTGATGTAAAATGATTTATTTTCAGTGTAAGTGATATTCAAGGGAAATTATATGTTACATATCACTGTTCTACTCAGGTGCCTGTTTGTACCTGAAATAATTTTAGGAAGGGCACCTGAGGTTTTCTTCCATCAGCAAAGCTGCAAGGTCGCCCTATGATTTGTTTTGTGTTGTTTGGACATAAAACCCAACCAAAAACATTTAATTGATGACAAAACATAAATATCATATTAACCTATGAATTAATAGAGTAATAAAGAGTTTTATCATCGTAATTAATATATCAAATAACCCAAGTAGCTATAATAGATAAAGTTTAAGTACAGTGTAACTTCCGAATTCCGGAACTTCTGAAATCCGGAAACTTCTAAAAACCGAACAATTTTTTCGGTCCCGATTTTTTCCCTTCTATTTTCTATTAATAAAATACTTCTGAATTCCGGAACTTCTAAATTCTGAATTCCGGACGATATTTTCGTACCATTAGAGTCAAATCAATGCAATTTTACCGCCAAAAACCGGAACTATCCAAAGGTGTGAAATACATTGTAAAACCCTGCGGGAATCGATTGTTTACTAATTAGCGGTGATAGTGTAATTTGACACACGTTAAAATCACAAACTGTGAAATGGTATGTTTGAAGTGATGCGGTTAAGTAAAGTAATTTACGATGGTCAGTTAATTTGAAGTGTTTATTACATGTATTAGCGGATTAAATGACAATTAATTGGGACAAATTGTATGCATCAAACGTCTTTAGGGATTGTATTGCATTTGATGTAATAATTAATTAAATAGCATCGGACAATATGTAAGTTTATGCAATTTTAACAACATTTCTACAAACTGATAGAAATTCAAGTCTTGTCCACATTATCATAAACCTCTGAATTCCGGAAACCTCTGAAATCCGAACTTTTTGACAAGTCCCATGGGTGTTCGGTTTTCAGAAGTTACACTGTACAGTAAACACTGTCTGTTAATATGAACTATAAATTCTTGAATTTGAACTTTATTTCTAGTACCACCTCATATTGTGGACTCTGAAATTGTGAGTCATGTATCTCACACCGAGGGAGAGAATATTGCCCTAGAATGTATAGCATCTGGTCTACCAGAACCTCAGCTAGCCTGGATAAAAGATGATAAAACCATCGAGATACTGGAGAATCCACACATTACAATACAGAAAAATGGTCGTCTACTACAGGTATAATCTGTTCAAATCTTTGTGGTTAAATACTGCCAGTTCTGAAGATAAAGTAGATTGTAGGACACATCCATAATGCACAAACTTAAATGATTCCGTTTTGATAAATGTGGGATTTGAAGTACGTAAAGGACAACAAATGCATAATAACTTCACAACTCTAGTTTTCTGATTTGCTGCATTATAACAGTAGTTTTATAAAACTTCAAAATACTTCAATTTATACAAAAACTGAAAAAAAAGCGATATAGTTCTATAAATTTTCCAAATGAAATATAAATTAATTGTCATTGACTCATCAATTTTACATTTTTAGCTTGTATGTTTTGAAGAAAACTTTGAGGTATTATGATCTCTGTGGCGTCATTGTGATCGTTGTCAAGCAAAAACTATAATATAGCCCATTATTCAAACATTTTAAAAGTTATCAACATTAAAACTTGGAATACTTGCTTAATTGTTAGACAAGGAGCATAATTTTAAAAGCATTATTTTGGAGTAATGCCCCTTTTAACAGTTGAGCGTTAACACCTCATGTGGTGTTCTTTTTATATACATGTAATTAAATGATAAACTATGAAATACACAAGGATTCTTTAAAACATATGATGTTTTTCAACTTGCTTATATCTATTACAATTGATAAATGTACTTAATATCGTTTTATAGCTTATTTCACAATGAATGACATGACATTTGATAGTATGCTGATATCAAATTTTGCAATGAACTCTGCAAAAATTAGATCTGTTATTAGTAATACGAGGGTTGTTCAAAAAGTAATAGGACTGCAGTTCTACTGTTCACATTTTTTAATTTACGTGCTTAATTTTACAAAATAATAATATCGGAACATATCCTCTATATACAGTGAAAAAATCAATAAATTATGTTTAAAAATAAGGAGTTTGTGAAAATTTCAAATGACAAGGGCTTCGCGACCCGGCGCCGCTAACAACACAATAAATGACGTTTATGACGTCGTCAAATAAAAACAAAATTTATCAAGCGTCATCCCTTCTGAAAGAATTCTCCCTAGTGTTCTAGGTATCTAAATCATGTAACTTTGACCAGACCTCATATGTGGAGATGAAGCAAGAAAGAAAACGACCACATTCTCGTTCCACTCTTCGAAAAAAAGGCCCGATAGCCGGCCACTCTCCGCTTTTTCGCGTATTCTTGTATCTTATTGTAATCAATACAGATTAAACAGGCATGAACTTATGATTTTAATGAAAAAGCGATCAATACAATTATTTTACACATATCATCATACGTTCTTAAAACAATATGATTATGTAAGTAAAAATAAAAATAGTTATCAACTGAAAAGTATATTTTCCTACTAAGAACAGCGTATCATTTTTAAAAGAAAATCGGGGAAAAATATTAATAATTACCGTTAATCATTATTACATTAATGTATTGATAACACATATATCTATTAAATGAAATAGAATTTTGTTTAATAACAAATCGTTTAGGCAGAACTGAATCAATAGACCCAGTGCACGAAATCAAAACATGCCGGGGAGTTCGTGGACTGTTTACCATCGATCATTTTGTAGCGCTTTTTCATTTGACTTCACTAACGTCCCGTCAATTTCCCGCTATCATTCTCATCCTTTTCCAGTTTGTGATCTCGTATGTACAGTTTTTGAATTGCTTGCGCAAGCTGAGAACGAGTATCCTGATAGCTGATTAATTATACTATGTTAAGTTTATGTTTTCATATGTATCTGAAGGAGTATCGCCAATTTGTTGGCGAAGTTTAACGATCTCACACATTTTCAGTTTTTTAACCAGCGTCAAATTTCTACATTTAACGTTATGACCCGTGCTGTTTCAAAAACTTGATGATTTAGCCATTTCATGTCTGAAATGACGTCAATTTTGGACCATAATGTCACTTAAATATAATTAATTGTGTTGGTGGAATAATTTGGGAAAAAAAGAAAATAAATTATGAATAAAATAAAAGTTCAACTAAGCTTTCAATAACTTTTTTATGTGCTGCGCCCGGGCGCCGGTGTTACCCATGGTTTTATTCAATAACACAGGGAACACGCGTTAAGCACAATAATTCAATAATTTTATGCTTAAATTGAAGAAAACATTTTTCGATCGTTGTACATATAAAAATATTATAAATTGAATTAAATATAAAGGTGCAAGACACTTAGTCCTATTACTTTTTGAACAACTCTCGTATATTGCTAGTTTACAGCAGATCTTTGGCATTTCATTTTAACACTGACCGATTTTTACCATAAAAATATTTGACATATTGAATGTATGTTGTACATTAAATTCATCATTCAACAATTGATCATTATTTTGTTACTGTATTATATATTAAAGATAGCCAAGTCAGAAGTATCAGATGCTGGCAAGTATATTTGTCATGCAGAGAATCTTGTTGGTATAGCTGAACGAATGTTTGAACTGGAAGTCAACGGTACTAAATTTATGATCTACATTATTTACATATCTGCATGACTTACTTAAAAACATAATTAACATTTCAACTTTATTATCATATCAATTTTATTTCCATAGTTATTAACATTTACTTATGAACATAATTGATTTACATGTATCACCATGATATATATATTAACATTTGAGCCGCGTCATGACAAAACCAACATAATGGGTTTTGCGACCAGCATGGATCCAGACCAGCCTGCGTATCCACGCAGTCTGATCAGGATCCATGCTGTTCGCTTACCAACGCTATTTTAAGTAGAGAAACTGATAGCGAACAGCATGGATCCTGATCAGACTGCGCGGATGCGCAGGCTGGTCTGGATCCATGCTGGTCGCAAACCCATTATGTTGGTTTTGTCGTGACGCGGCTCATTTACTTATTAGCATTTTGTTTTATATACATGTATCAACATAATTAACATAATGTTTATTTAATGATTTTGCTTTTAAACTTTAGTAAATATAATGACATTATAAATATACACATGTTAGAGTTAGGACAGACTGCTGTATTTTTCCCTTTTGGGGCAGAAAACATTTTGATAGAAAAAAAACTTGTGTAATTGACATTTTCTTACTAAACCAGGGGAAACCAGGTATTTTTAAATGTGCCAAAATTTTTAAGTAAAAAAAATTTTTTTTCAAAAATTCCCCTTTGAAAAAAAGGGTTAAATATTCACAAATTTTTACTTTCAGTTCTTCTATATTTAGATTGTTCATATTTTGAAAACATTTATTTTTGTTTTCAAAATCTTTAATTTACAAAAAAAGCAAAATTTAAACCCACAAAAGAAATTCTTGTTTTACAGTGTACAATGACAATAACTTGATTCATTTGCTGCTTGGCTTCAGGCCTTATAATGTAAGATATAAAATATTTAATCATTCAAAATCTGTGAATTATATTTTTATTGTTATTCCAGTTCCTCCTATTATAAATGGAACATTTGACAGACTGAACAATGTATGGGTGGTTATTAACGACCCACTGACCTTAGAATGTCCAGCTACAGGTGTCCCTCCACCTGTGATTACATGGAAACGTCAGGAACAGTTCATACAACAATATGGTAGTCCTGGTATACGTCTTCTAGATAACGGCAGGAAGTTATACATTGTTAGTGCACAGTTAACAGATCTCGGAGACTACTCTTGTTACGTGGAAAATGTCGCTGGAAACACTTCTCTTGACTACTTCGTCAATGTTTATGGTAAGATTTTAGAATAGTGAATAAAAAATTAAACAGAATACAGCAGAGCAAAATTTAATGTACTAACATGTTGAGGAATTGTTTTGTGTTGTAATTACATGAATTATGATGATCAGTGATAAGAAAGATTTGATCTTTTTATAATAAAAAAAAAAAGAATGATGATACACAAATAATGACAGTGGGTTAAAGATATGGCCCTATGATTCTGTAAGAGTTCTTATATTATATATGATTAATCATATCCCCCCCATGAACAACAGTAAAACATTAGATAATGCTGAAGAAGTTGAATTACATGCCTGAAATTCTAAATCTAATACAAAGTATACAGTGAAACTTTCAGAGAGCAGCCCTCTGTTGATCAATTACCACAGCTATTTCAATTGTTCTGAAATAAAACTTCACAATAGATTAAACCATTCTACATCAAACCAAAATATTTGTCTCCCAAAGGTTGTGCTATACTGAAAGTTTTATAAGTAAAATGCCTACATGAACCACTACATGAACTGATTTCTGTGTTTGACATAAAAAGCTTGTTAGAATTTTGATGTAAAGAAACAGAACATTTTTTATTGCGATTAGGAAAGAGTATAAACATTTTATCATTACAGTACCTCCTACAATAGAGCGAGGTCTGGAGAGAGTTGAAGCTGTTGTTAACACTGGAGCTACGCTATTTTGTGAAAGTCTCGGACTTCCTGACCCAGTTGTTACCTGGGAGAAAGATGGTAAACCATTCCCTACCACTGGACTCCGACATCGTATGAGGGTATCCGGTACGATTGAGTTTACGTCAGTACGATTAGAAGATACTGGGACATACACGTGTAATGCTACAAATAAAGCAGGGACGGCAGCCAGGGTTATAAAGTTAGATGTTCAAGGTATACATGTGTTCTTGGATGTATGCTTTCTCTTAAAAAAAAAATAGTTCCATGTAGTATTAGTTTCATGCAATACTTCACAAAGGAAATATATTACTATTACAACAGTGTGTAATGTATATTCATTTTTTGCTGTATTTGTGAAACATCTACTAGTATGAAAATAGCATAGAGAAAGACATTACCACAGTACATTCCTATTAATAAAGAAAAAAATATCTCAGACAAGAATAACCCATACAAGACTGACATGATAAAAAAATCAATATTACAAACTCTATTACAAAAATAAAGATAAATTTACTTTTTTTATCAGATTTTTGAAAAATTAAAAACTCCTTTAGATTGATTTTTGTATAAAATTTGTGTTTAGAAATACTTGCGGCATGTAAGAGAATGAATTATTTATTTATTTTATTATAATAAAAACATATTTATTTTATCTTATAATTGCAATTAGAGTTCATTGTTCATTTAGAGAAAACTTTATGGTATTTAATCCTTAAATATTAAAAAAAATTGATTGATTTTACAGTACCACCAAGGATGGTAGGCAGGCAGCCGCTGTATTTGAACACTGCTGAGGGAAGATCTATTGTACTACCATGTGATGTTACAGGCACACCTGTACCCACTATTACCTGGCAGAAAGGAGCCAAGGTTGTCCGGGGTGGTCCAGGTAAAGTTTTCAAATATCTTTACAGCACCAGGTGTAAAACATGTAAAGCGTAGGTTTTAATCAATGGTTAATTTAATGGGAATCAATGTGTTCATAAGTCAGGTATTAATGTTATAGAATGTTAATCTAGACAGTAGATCACTTTTTGAATTTGAATAAAAAGATATTGCACGGCTGTGCATTTATTTTGACATGACATTATTTGCGTTATATAAACATAGCAATAAGACACACTTAATGTTAGCATTATACTGTAGATGCTTTAAAAATGGTTCTTTTTCACTACAAAATTAATGGTCTTTATTTTGGGATGTGATAAATAGAATATAATAGAATATTACACTTGTGTAAGTTCATAACTGACTTTATTAAAGTTATTGAATAAAGTAATATTATGCTCACCAGAGGCTCGCATATATATAATTTTTCAACTGGTTCAATAAATTCAGTTTTAAACTTACACTCATTCAATATCCTCTATATGTTAGTTATATTTCAGGTATTGAAGTTATAGAGAATGGTTCACTGTTGGTACAGAATACTAAGGAGGAAGATGCTGGGGTCTATCTGTGTATAGCACAGAATGATGCTGGGGCTGCATTTGGACAGATTATTCTAAGAATTAATTGTAAGTTACTACAAACATTAGGTCTTGTTTTTTTCTTATTTATTTCATGCACATGTTTTTGCTGATATTGTTGTTTGATATTTTAAAGCAGCAAGTCTCCATATTCATGCTAATATTTATGAATACATTTTGTATTTTGAAAATGACATATTAAAAGTAAAATATTGTGAAGTGAACAAAGAAAGCAATCTACACATTGCAAACAGCACTAGTTTTACAATCCTCATAAATTACCAAGAAGAGGTCAAAATATGGAGAGAAAAAACCCTTACTGCATTAGCCATGCAGAGAGAAAAAACCCTTACTGCATTAGCCATGCAGTTGAGATATGGTGATAAATACTTCAAAATCAGTCATTAATCACACACAATAGGTAAATTATTACTTTAATCTTGAATATTTTTTACTTTTCTTAAAATCTTAGTACATTTCTCCATTAATCACACACAATAGGTAAATTATTACTTTAATCTTGAATATTTTTTACTTTTCTTAAAATCTTAGTACATTTCTCTCAAGTACATTTTTCACAAGTTTGATTTTCTTGAAATACTTTGGCTCATCTGGAGACATGCAGTTTTAACCCTTAAGACTGCTACAAAATATACCTATGCGACCAGTGCAGACCAATCTTGGTCAGCACTGGTTGCATAGGTAGAATCATTTTCTTCCAGCAGACTTGGAGTTAAAGACAGTGAAAAACCAATGTCAACTTGTCTGTAAAATAACCTAGAAAATAATTAGGAATAAACAAATGTAGCTATGTCTGTAATGTATGTATATTCTGTGTGTCCATTTATGTTATTGAAAGTATTTAATGTTAATGTATTTAATTTTAAGTTAATGCAAGTCTACATGTTCATTTCATTTACAGTATGTACATTCATGTACATTACAGTAAACTTAATGTACATGTACAAAGTTTATTACTAACACTAAGTGAACATATTGTGATGAAGAGCTACTGTTATTTTTAATTTGTTTCTTTTATTTTCAGTGCCACCAAATGTGTATGTTAGAGAGACAGATTTTGTGATCAACAAGGGTCAGAAGATTGTACTACCTTGTATAGCGAATGGCAGACCTCGACCAAAGATTACCTGGGAGAAAGATGGTGTACCTGTACGGAGAAGTAACGCTTATATAAGATTGACTAGGACAGGATTGGCTATAACCTTTGCAAGGTGGAACAGCTTGTTTATATTTGATTTAGTTTTTAGGTTATATCACTTTGACCTTGATGAGTTTAACTAATAGGGTGATTCTAAATACTTGTGGTTGGTAGATTACCACTTGTCACTTCTATGTTTCTAGAGCCCTTATGATTTTGAATTATCTTAAGTGTTACCTGTCCACATGGCTTAAAGCAGAGAGCATACAATGTAGGACTTGTAAACCATGGGTCACTGGTTTGATCCTGGGGCAAGGCCATATTTTACCATGACAATTGATCAATGATATTGAATGTAAAGGTCATTTGTCCCTCACCTCTGATACATACATCATGTGGTATTACTAGTTGGTCACTTCTGGAGAGTTTGGAAATTATTATGTTTAGTTATTATTGAAATCCTTATAGGTGAATATTATACCTCATTTGCATACGCCCTTCTATATTTAATATGACGTCATCCGGTCCATAAACCGCATACAGACCGGGGGCGGTCCATAATTCTTATATGGACCGGATGACGTCATATTAAATATAGAAGGGTGTATGCAAATGAGGTATTATATTTTATTTTGTTGTTAAATGAGTCTTTTTTACTAAATTTATTGTTTTGTTTCAAATAAGTTTATTACATGTTGATCAAAGTCTTGATTTGTCTTTAAATTGATTATAAATTTTATTTATACAGTTTGTGAAAATCTGAAAGTTCGCCTGTTTAATTCGATTAACAAAAAATGAATAACAAAAGAAAAGCATGATTTTTTGCTGTATCGCTTGAAAATAATAATAAAAAAATCGACTAGGGTTTGAGATATTTCACACACTGAACAAATAACTTATTATTTGAAAGCAAATTATAGTAAAAATGACAGCAACAAAAGGGATGAAAGAATTTAGATTTGGTATAATATAACAAATAAAACATGGCCTTGAGGGCCATATACCTTCCTCAGTCTGACCAACCAGTCCGTAAACTTGCATATTGCCCTCAAGGCCATGTTTTATTTGTTAAATATACTGCAAAGATATATGATAAGAAATTGTGTTAAATTGGTGTCAGAAATAAGAAAACCAACAAAACCTTAAGTTTTAAATTATTTAACAAAGGTATCACATTTTAGAAGAAATCATTTTTTCACTGTATTGTTATTATATATTAGAATCCCTCATGACAATGAATTGCATACCCATAAAGCTATAATATTAGAAATTAAACAGTGATATAGAAATAGTTATGTGTCAGGAATTTTCTAGTGTCCTGCTTTTGCCTATTGCAATGAATGAATACACGACAGATCTGCTGAGGCCCCTCTTCAGCTGTAAAAAATTTTTTTAGTTTCAATGTGACTTTACTTACAGTAAAATCTGAAAATTGAATTGATACATTAAATACAAGTTTTTATTTCATGTGATGTACAGAGAGGAGGATGTAGGAACATATACATGTATAGCAACAAATGATGCGGGCACATCCAGAGTAGACCTGAAATTACTGGTGCAAGGTGAGAAAAAAAGTTCTATAATAAAGTCAAACCTGTGTCAAAGACTACCGCCAAATAAAGACCACCCTATAAATAAAGACCTTTCTTTGATAATCTGTCATTTGTAAAAAAATCAACAGAGTAAATTTCTAATAAAGTCACCTCCTTATATACAGTATATATTTTGATATATTTTATACCGGGGCCTCTTAATATATATATTTTGATAAATTTCATATAAGAGCCTCCTATTATATATATTTTGATATATTTTATATCTGGGCCTCCTATAATATATATATATTTTGATATATTTTATATCAGAGCCTCCTTTAATTATTATATATATATTTTGATATATTTTATATCTGGGCCTCCTATAATATATATATTTTGATATATTTTATATCTGGGCCTCCTATAATATATATATTTTGATATATTTTATACCAGGGCCTCCTAATATATATATTTTGATATATTTTATATCTGGGCCTCCTATAATATATATATTTTGATATATTTTATATCTGGGCCTCCTATAATATATATATTTTGATATATTTTATACCAGGGCCTCCTAATATATATATTTTGATATATTTTATACCAGGGCCTCCTATAATATATATGTTTTGATATATTTTATATCTGGGCCTCCTATAATATATATATTTTGATATATTTTATATCAAGAGCCTCCTATAATTATTATATATATATTTTGATATATTTTATATCTGGGCCTCCTATAATATATATATTTTGATATATTTTATATCTGGGCCTCCTATAATATATATATTTTGATATATTTTATATCTGAGCCTCCTATAATTATTATATATATATTTTGATATATTTTATATCTGGGCCTCCTATAATATATATATTTTGATATATTTTATACCAGGGCCTCCTAATATATATATATTTTGATATATTTTATATCAGAGCCTCCTATAATTATTATATATATATTTTGATATATTTTATATCTGGGCCTCCTATAATATATATATTTTGATATATTTTATACCAGGGCCTCCTAATATATATATTTTGATATATTTTATACCAGGGCCTCCTAATATATATATTTTGATATATTTCATATTAGAGCCTCCTACTATATATATTTTAATATATTTTATATCTGGGCCTCCTATTATACATATATCTGATGCATTTTTATATCAGAGCCTCCTACTATAGAAGAGGCTAGTCGTCTGCTCACTTTCACACTGGGTGAGATAGCTGATATAGATTGTGCAGCTACTGGTATACCTCCACCTAAAATACGCTGGTTCAAAGATGGTAGAGAAATTTCAGTACCTTCATCAAAGTATGACATCACTGATGCTGGAAAATTAATCATCAAGGAATTAACAGTAAGCTGATATTGTTTTAAATGAAAATGTTGAATCTTTAATTAAATGTTCATGATCCTTATTGTGTGTTTTTGTCCTTTATTATAATAGCCAAAATTTTGTATTATGAAGTTTGACCTTTGCATTTTAAAGCAGCACACCTCCAGATTCATGCTAAATTTCATAAAAAGTTTGAAAATGTATTTGTTTGTGTAATATTGTGAAGTTACCAAAAGAAACAATTTACACATTATCAATGCCACTTACAGTACCAAAAAGTGATCAAAACATGCATAAATAGCCTTTACTGCGGTAGTAACACAGTAGAAATATAGTTGAAAATACTGAAAATCAGTCATTAATCGCACATAATATGTAAAATATTACTTGAATGTTGAAACTTTTTACTTTTTCTTACATCTTAGTACATTTTTCTCAAGTTTGATTTTATTGAAATATTTTGACTCATCTGGAGGCATGTAGCTTTTAACATAACATTCAAAGACTTTTGTATTGTGTTGCTTGACTGTAATAAATTTTGTATTGTGTTATTTGACCTTTATCATAACAGTTGATAACATTTGTATTGTGTAGTTTGACCTTTGAGATTGTATTCAGTTGTTTGACCTTTATCATTCCCATCGATGACCTTTGACACCAATCAAAACAGTCAATGACCTTTATATTGTGTACCATGACATCACATATTGTTGTATATTTATATTTACAGGAAGATGATCATGGCAGCTATCTGTGTACTGCTATCAACGTTGCTGGACAAGCTACACAGGAACGCTTGGTTAGAATACAAGGTCAGTAATGATCCTCTTTATCATTAAATAGTTTGCCCACTTTTAAATAGTCTGTCTACTAAGCTAAATAGGGAGAGCACCAGCATTGCAATCCTAGGTCACTGGCTCAATCCTGGAGTTAGGTGAACTTTCTGTGAGACAGTTAATCTTGCACATTGAGTTACTGTATTCCTAGAAATGTTCGCGGATACAATATTTCGCGTTTTTTACAACGTCGGCATTTTCGCGGAGACGAACTTTCGCGGATTTGTAGTAACCGCGAATTCCGCGAATATTAAGTCGCTACGGCCTAAAGAGGCTACGTTTTTCATGCATGTCATCGCCTGTTGGGTACTTTTAATTCTTTTATTATTTTGTTTTGACAATACCTTTTCATCTATTGACTAGTCAAACACAGTTGTTCCGTGTTTATTTTATTGCCTTAACTTTTCACTATGTGATTAAGGAAGACATGGTCAGACCCGGTAGCTTTTATACTCATTTGAATCATAACTGACTTTATCTTTAAAATGACGATACGTTTGTTTTTACACAGTATCGGACTGTACATCGCTTTCATTATAACAACATAACAGCTGATTACAAATGTAGCACTTGATCGCTATTGTACTTTCAACAAAGGATTACACCTTCTCCAAGCAAATGAAATCCAAGCTATTCAATATACGCAAACTGTAAATGCTTTTGTATACGCCGTGACTACCGAATAACGTCAATAAGCATGATAATTACTAATAATTGACAAGTATTTTCTTCAGGATCCAAGCAAGTATCTATAACATACATACATAATTCTTTACACATTTCTATAGCACCTGTGTTTATATGTTTTTTGTGTAATTAGATCATAATAATATTCTGCACGTCTATGTTTATATTTGGTTGAAGCTAGAAATGTTCGCGGATTTGTTATAAGTGACATATTTGCGGCTATAAAGATTCGCGGAATAATGCCAACCGCGAAAAGCGCTAACTTAAAACGCGCGAAATCTTTTCTAGGAATACAGTATTTGTCTGGCTAGCTGACTACGCATTTAAACATGGATCCCAAGACTTAGCTTGGTCATTAAAGCAGCACGCCTCCAGATTCATGTTAAATTTCATGAAAATTTTGATAATGTATTTGACAGTAAAATATTGTGAGGGGAACAAATAAAGTTATTAACATATTGCAATTGGCACTTACAATCCATGCAAATAACCAAAAAGAGGTCAAAATGTGCAAAAAAGCCGTTACTGCGTTAGTAACGCAGTAGAATATGGTGATAGAATACTGCAAAATCAGTCTTAAATTGCAAATAACATGTAAACTTTAACATTGATCTTGATTGTTTTTACCTTTCTTGAAATATTAGTACATTTTTCTCAATTTTCATTTTCTTGAAATATTTTAGCTCATCTGGAGGCGTGCAGCTTTAAATGTTGATATTGATGTAATATTTATGAATATCATATATATACATAAAAATTGTTAATTCAAATTTATTTTTTGAATAGTGCCTCCATCATTCATTGTGGTTCCACAAATTAAGGAAGTGACACTGAACTCTAGACTTGAACTAAGATGTACAGCTAACGGCAAACCTACCCCAACAATTCATTGGAAGAGAAATGAGGTACCAGTACGATGTAAGTAATATATATCATAAATGTTATCTGTGCATTGTTTTTTCAAAACCATAATTAAGTTTTGAAAATTGGTAACAGTTTAAAATTTATCAAAAAGCTTATTCATATTTACCAATGTATGATCCAATTTGATATAACTATGTCATGTTTTGTTTTAAATGAAATCATTCTTTTACTTAGTTACTACATAAGTCTTGCACATTGTCCTTTTGACAGCTTTTGTTTTATCAGCTTTAGTACATATACATGTAAACTCATGCCTAAGCAACAAATTTTTGTTCACAAAATAAGCTTTTGTAGATATTTTTGCCTATAGTTTTGGTTTGTTCTTGCTCTCTTTTTTTTTCCACATAAATTTTGAGGGTTATTTAATGATATTGTAGATCAGCCAAGTGTGAATGGACGCAGTGTGTTTATAGTGCACAATGTTAGACGTGAAGATGCTGGAGTATACACATGTCTAGCTCAGAATCCTGCAGGTCAAGCAGAGGTCAACACCATGGTTACTGTCAAAGGTTAGTTTAGTTGACACAGAATTTATTTTAGTTTGATTGTGTAGGAAGATATAAGCTTACAGACACACTTTTGAATCTGTTCCTGGAACCAACCAGTACTAAGCAATGAGTATAATGTTTCTTGCTGAAGGAAACAACGACTTGCCCCTGATGGGGTTTGAACCCATGTGACTAGTGATCATTACATTACTAGTTGGACATGTTAAGCACTTGGCCATGCTGCCATTATATTTAACTTTTTGCGTTTTGTTTTGGTCACCAGGTCAAAGAAATATAGTAAGTTGATTTTGAATGTAATTTCTCTGTATCATAAATTAGGAAATACTTTGGCAAGTCCAATTATTGGATATAGTTTTTTAAAATTTTTGGTCTTACCTTTACCAGGAACATTCAAGAAAAACGCACAGTTTAAACATTAGAAAATGTGCAGATTATAAATTAACTTAATGTGTCTTGCAGTGTCAAGACAATATCATTGTAAAATGAAGCATTAAAGTTCAATGTTTGAAAAAGAAATACCTTGGTAATTATTACTAGGGATGTCATCTGGAGCCGAAACGGCCATCCGGATATCCGAATCAGACATCCGGATGTTCGGATAGTTGTTATATTCTTAGTTGGCTGATATGACGTAACCATTTTTTCGCGACCTTTTACAAAGTGTAGTATTTCGTTTCACTTCCTTTTTAAATTGAATGTTACATTTTTAAAAAAATTCTGTATTGATTTTATTTTTTTTTTTCTATGTAGAATATGACTGTAATCCATAATTAAGTGTGTATGATACTAACGATTTCAAATGAAATAAAAATGAAATTCATCGCCCATTGTCTCAATTCCTCAATTAGTGCTATAATACACAATAACACTTGCTCACATTTGTGAAAACAAAATAACACCTGTAAAAATTAAAAGTTTCCATTGTTCAATAACACGCATACAATGTACACATAATGACCTTTGACAGGTGTGTAGCCGGCTTTTCAAAAGAATCTGCCAATCTTTGATGTTTACCAACATTGTTTAATGCACATGTTTGATTAATACTAAAGGAGAACGTTATTTTGTCGGATAATTATCGTATCAATTTTAATAAAAGCTGTGATAATTAACATATTATTATTCGTAAGTGCATTTCTTGATTTGCTTATTTTATTTCTGCAAATTTTTCATTTTCTCAAAATAAGGAGTCGACGGGTCGGTAAGCCGAAATATATGTAAAAAAGATAGCCCAATTAAATATTTGAATTTGGACCTCAAAAAATGTTACATCGTTGCTGATGACAATCGCACAGGCTTAGAATATTCATCTTGAATCCTACAAAACTTAAATTTGTTTGGTGTTTAATATAGATTAACAACAAGTGTCATACCCGACTCGTAATTATTATAGTAATTATTCATTTCATTTTTTCATTTATTTCATTATTATTGATTTTTTGTGGTCTGCAGAGATTATAATGTGTATTGTCAAACTAAGGTACAATATACAAAATGGTGTCAACACCATGTCTACGTCGATTATCTCAACGCATGTATTTAACACATTTTCTCAATATTCTGAAATATTTTATACGAACATCCGGATCCGAAAATCGGCTCCGGACACCGAATCGTGATCCGAACGTTCGGATATCCGGACTCCGAATGACATCCCTAATTATTACCTTTCAAAATCTTACAACACAATTTATCTTTAGTGCTCGCCAATTTTTTTAAGCCAATCACCGACGAGGATTTTTCAAATTTTCAGGTTTCAAAACAGATTTTATATAAACTGGACGTTTTATATTATAAAACGCAAGTGGGCGGAGCACTAAGCCAGTTAGAGTGCATATTGGATGTTCTTCGTAAATAAGAAAGCTACAGTTGCTTCGCAAGCTCCGCTCCTTTTTAGCTTTCTTGTTTACGAAGAACACCCAATATGCACTCTAACCTATACGTAGCATGATGATTTTTTTCAGTACCACCAGAAATATTAGCATCACCTGGTAACAGAGCTGTCACTATAGCAGAGAGGGTTATCCTCACATGTTCTGTTGGTGGAGATCCCCCACCAGAAGTTATATGGATGAAAAATGAACGTCCAGTTAGACTTAGTGATAGAATCAAACAACTGAAGAATGGATCTCTGGTTATATTTGACTCTACAGTAAGTAATGGAAATGTCATTAACATTTTAAAGAATAACTATTTACATGTACATAGTATATAGAATGGATGTATGAAAATTAGTATTAATTGTAATTGCTAAGGTACATTATATTGAGTTATATTTATTTATTAAGATTTTCTCCATGTCTGCTGGTAAATCCAATTCATTTTCTTTGCCCCAAAAATGTTAATGTTATAAAACAAGTAACTGCCTGTTATGTTATGACACTTATAAGACGCTGTAACAAATTGTTACAATTGATGATTAATACCTACTAATTCTGCTGCCTCAACAATATATTTAAGCTACTTCTGGCCAAATATGTTACATTTTTAATGATCACTATAAAACAAGTTATAATACTATCTAACATTCTAACATTACAGAGTTCTGATGCAGGAGAATACAAGTGTGTAGCCACCAATGATGCCGGTATATCAGAGGGCGTGGCCATGCTTACTGTTAGAGGTTAGTTACAATTATATTGTTTTAATTATTCATTAGAGAAAGGTCAAGGTAACATGTTGCTATGACAATGTAAAGGTCAAGTTTATCCATGTCAAGTTTTTGACATTTATTGATATTTTATTGATTCGGTCAGAGATAATAGGTTTTTTTTCTTTAAATGTCTTTACATTTGTACTAGGGGATTTTTGTTCAATAGACATGCATTTGTATTTCTAGTAGATTTTATGAATAATCTGACTGAGTTTGAAGAATTTTAGTTTTCAATAGTAGTAACAGTTTTATTACATGTATGATTAGAGAAAAAAAAATTAAATTTCATTGTTCTTGATTTTAATTCATATAAATTGTATTTTTTGAGGGGTCAAAGTCATCATTGACTTTAAATCATTTTACCCTCGCTGCAGTCTGTTCCAAAAAGCACAATTGAAATTTATACATTGTTATTACTGTTGGAAACGGAATGTGTAAGCCTCGATAAATAAAGGTGTTACTTTGTAACTTACTTACTTACTTAGTTACTAAATAATCCATCGAGGAGCACCAGATAACTCCACTCCTAAGTCTTAATATGACCTATACAGTGTCCCTTCAAACCCAAACAAAAAATAATAGCCTTAGTAGTATTTGAATTATCAAAATTACCTTTCAGAACCACCATCATTCTTGTTGGAACCTCAGCATACAAGGGTTATTCACGGGGAGACTATTCTAGTAGATTGTTTAGGATCTGGAGAGCCAACACCTAAAATGGACTGGATGATAGGCTGGGATATACTGCAAGATCAGGGGAGATTATCTATACTTCCTAATAATACTCTCAGGTAAATATTTACACTTATTTTAACCTATACTCTACTGGCAGCAACTGCATCTATATACCTATGTGAGCAGTGCCATCAAAAATCAGCTGGCTCATTAGTGCTGTCTGGTCATGAGCTGCACTGTTTCTGTATTCTTTTGTATTCAATCAGTACTTTTTTTTGAATTTTCCTTAAGAAAGATGATGTTTATTTAAAGTTTTAGCATAGTGATGTTTTAATTCTATAATTTTGCCTACTTTATATTAGCTCTTTCATGTTAAAACTTTCTGGAACAGAAAAAAAAAACTTTGAAAGTTTGAAATTTCAAACAAAGCATGTCTGTTATGAAAATAAAAAAAATTGTAATTTCGATTTCTTTTTCAATTTTTCTAGTCTTATAGAGTATTAGTCATACAAAAACTTAACCCAGATAAAACATTTCGTTTTATTATTCAGGGTTAAAATTATTTACATGCAAATGACATTTTATAATACATATTTAAAGCAGTGTTGTGTTAAGATATATAATTTGTGATACATGTTTGATGTAACCAAATAATGCAACAGTGTTGCATAGAATGCTTAATTAATATGACTTTTATGTCAAAGAAAACTTCATGTGTGATTTATAATGAAAGTAAGTGAAAGATTGTTAATGTCTCTTAAATGTCAATATACATGTATGCGTAATTTAGTAAAATGAGTTATATGATAGGATAGCAATTCATGAAACCATTTTGAAAATCGTTTTTTTTTTTTTTTTTTTTTTTTTGACAGTTTGATTTTTTGAAAATATTTTTTGCTTCAATGATTATTGACATCTAAAAACACTTAAGACGAATATATTTATGCATTCTGTGGTGTATTCACTTAAGACGAATATATTTATGCATTCTGTGGTGTATTTAGAATAAAGGTGAGTCTTCTGTTCAATTTTTTTGCATAACCTTGTTATATTATCAAAAACTGAATATTTCAGGATACTTCTAGCCCAGCTGTCAGATTCAGGGTCGTACAGATGTTTGGCTAGTAATAATCTGGGTCAATCTTTTGTAGAGATAAATATCACAGTAGTTGGTAAGTATTTCCTGGTACTGGGCAGGAACCAGTTTCCGGACAATACCAGTTTCCGGACAAGTATTATAACGGCTTAATTTTGGCTTTATCGATGATGATCAGTATTATATGTTATGAAGATGCTTGGTTTGATTGTTTGAGAAAATAAACTTCCTTCCAAGTTGATACATCATTAAAATTTCGTGAGGATATCTTACCTGTGTTTTAAAAACAGCCTTATATCCCTTTGGGGCATGTAATTTGTTCTGCCCATGCGCAATTTTTTGTTTATTTCGGGATATAATTTTGGGTAGCAATTAATGCACAATGTACTTCATTCGAAGTTTATTGGGTGTTAAATGCCCCAGAGCTAAATCTGTGACGTATCGGAAAATGGTGTTTAGCTAGGTTTACTCCACTTTCTCACTTTGTTGCTGCCGTACCCACAAAAATATCCGTTTCACTTTTCAGTCATTCCGAGACCCATCACGTGATCGTTATTTTTCCTATCATAAACATTTTTCAGTAAATCAGCTTAATTATATAAGAAAGCTAATATGTGAGTAGAAATTTTTTGTTATATTAGAATAATTATCAGTTAAAAACAGATATGAATAGCAGCTTAATATATGTCCGGTCACTGGTTCTGCAAGAGTGAACAATTTACACTTTTGATGACCTAATTTAACCCTTCAGTTTATACATTGCTTACGTCACCAGGTAAGTATTAATTGTGTTATCGGACATAGTTAGAGCTCAGGTTTTTGGTATGTTAGTTTTATTAATGCATGTTTATTATTAAAAAATAGACAATTAAAAAAACTCGAATTCTGTCCGGAAACTGGTTCCTGCCCAGTAGAGGTGGTATAATCTGAAAAGTTTAAATTGCTCAGATGGTATAAATTGAATGTCAAATTATTTGATAAGTAAAAGTTATATTAAGGTTTTTAACAAATATTACCTTAACAATACCATTTACTCCTTTGTAATTCTAATAACTCATACATGTAAAATTTCCATCAAGCATTGACTTAAAGGAAATCCACTGAGGTAAAAAAGCCGAAGCACATGAAATTTTAATTTTTTAAATAGATCAGCTGGGACACTTTAAACAGAACGATGTGCAAAAGATAATTAAGAAAAATACCCGGAAATAAATTGAAAATAATAATTTTGTGCAGCACAATTTAGTGAAAAGTGTTACAAAATTTTTCGGTCATTTTTCATAATTAGAATAATTTTTTTTGAAAACTTTTGAAAGTTAGTGAATGTACTGAAATTTGCACACAAACTCTTGGTCTAGACCTTCATCAAATGGAACATTAATATTGAAAAATATTTCCAGTCCTATCATGTCCAAAAACCTCAGTGGAGTCCATTTAACCAAAACAAGTATCATTTAGTTTTTAATTTTACCCTATAATACGAATGAGAGGTTTCAGGATTACTCCATAATGCCAATAAAAGTCAAACCAAAGACTGTTACAAACATGGAACTAGAAAAGTCCTTAAAAGATAAATATCAAAGTTGATATGTTAAATTGTTTATTGTATCAATTTATTTCAATGAAAATGTTAATGTAATAAGTAATGCTCATTGCAGACATTCTTGCCAGTTCAATGAATTTTTTGTTGAAGAAGATGTTAAATGTCAAACACACAAATTTATGAATTTTGTAAGAATGAGAAATTAAAGAAATAAAAGTTTTTTTGACCTTTATTTACATTAAATCATACTAGTCTTAAACAATAAATTTGGTCTCAAGGAAATCATTTGAGCATAACTGAGGCTAATAAGTACCATACATTTATGAATAAGGTATTTAGTGTGCAAGTTTTCACTTAATCACTACTGTTGGTGAATATAAGGAGACATAGAGGATAATGAATGAATTTAACATGTTTAAGTTCAATATTGAATTTATTGCACGAGTTGAATAAGGTTTTATTATGCAAGCCTCTGGCGAGCATAATATTATTTTATTCAACATGTTCAATAAATTCAGAAATAAATCTACGCGAATATAATATTCTATTGATCACATTACCAAAATAATTGTTTAAAGTGAAAAAAACATTTTTTTCATTAACAAGCCTTTAGTGTAATCCTTAGATTTAGCGCGTCTTAATGCTTTGTTTGTATAACGCAAATGACGTCATATATCAAAATATATTCATAGCTGTGCAATACCATTTTTACGGAGCCACAAAGACGTCACGGGTATGTGATACAATATTGTATTTTTAAGCTATATATTATCAGATATCCCATTATTATTTTTTATATCATCAGTACATGGTGACTGGTCAGATTGGTCAGACTGGGCGTCATGTAGTGCTACTTGTGGTGAGGGACGACAACTTCGTCACAGATTGTGTGACAACCCGGAACCAGCCAATTACGGTGATGATTGTAGAGGGATACCAGTAGAGTCCAGGACATGTCAGATAAGACCTTGTCCAGGTTTGTACTTTAACAACTTTACCAGTAGATAATAAAAGATTGTGTTTTAAGAATTTTCAGTTGATTTAAACTTTTAAAAATATTTAAGTAAAACAAGTTGCAAGACATCCGACTTGGGGAATTATGAGTGTTTGTGTTTATCTAATTATGTGTTTTTTGTTCTCTTATAATGTCAGTATAATGATACAATATTTATATTTATACAATAATGAATATCCTATATAGTATATCTAGTTGAAAAACAATAAGCTTATGTCCATTTACCAGTACTCTGAGAATGCATCCAACTGACCTTCCTGCTTATCATTTGTTATAATTCTTTGTGGATGTTTGGCATATTCAGTAGTTTCATAGCATGCTCATATTTTAGTTTTACTCTTCACATATAGAGAGAGAGACAGGAGAGATTATTTCTTACTCAAAGCATATTATAATATTTAAGATCCAGTATTAGGTTCAAATAACTATTATACCATATACAGTACCAGGAAACTGGGGTCATTGGTCACCATGGGACCCATGCAGTGTCACCTGTAATGAAGGTACTAGGTTGAGACGACGACTCTGTGACAACCCAGCACCCCAAGCTGGTGGTGCGAACTGTGACGGCGAGGCTGTTGAGATAAAGTCATGTAATAAGAGAGGTTGTGCAGGTAAAATTGTGTAATACATTCATGGTATATCACAGCAGTTTCCTTTTTTCTCCATCTTATATATCATAAAAAAAAATACATAAAATCTACGATAGGAAGCACAGTACGTATAAATCATTTCTTATGTTTTATGAATAAATATTTTTTCCAGTTTTTATATTTTGTAAAATGAGATAAAATAAGATGTGATGTGAACAGTGGCGGCATGTGGCGGCATGTGGCGGCATGGCCAAGTGGTTAACATGTTGGACAAGTAATCTAAGTATGCTGACTGCATGGGTTCATGGCAGGGGCAAGCCGTTGTTTCCTGGAGCAAGAATCTTTACATTTATTGCTTAGTACTGGTTGGTTCCAGGAATTGTTTCGAGAGTATTTCAATAAGCTTAAAGCTTCCAACACAATCAAACTTAAATAAATTGGTATAAACTAACAGAAAGACCCGAAACATAGTGTCATTATATATCACTTTAATGAATATTTGAGACTGAAAGTTATAAAGGCAGGTGGAATTAATATGACCATTTTAGTGAAAGCTAGTTTTTGAAGTGTTGTATTTGGCTTTGTATAGTTGATGGAGGATGGGGCAGCTGGGCGTCATGGCAGGCATGTACAGTGACATGCGGGGAAGGTCTACAGGAGAGGATACGTAGGTGTGACAATCCTCCACCCTCAGATCATGGCGGCTACTGTCTCGGGGATGAGGACGAAACACAAAGATGTAAACTTAGAGAATGCCCAGGTAAAGTCTTTGTGCAAAAGCTTTAATGTAGCCCATTCATTACTTTAACAATTTTAAAGGTATCAATATTAAACTTGGAATGCTTGCTTATAATATCATGATAAGGGGCATAATTCTGAAAGCTAGCCTTATTCATTATTGAACCTGCACTCATTCAATAATACAGTATAGAATCTACATCTGTTCAATTTCCCCTATATCTTAGTCAGTTGTAACACTGTTTTACACTTTAATGATTATATAAAAACTTTTTTCTTTGTATGTAACACAACACTTTATATATCATTATGTTATTTTCAAACATTTTAGTTGATGGTAATTGGGGAAACTGGGGACATTGGAATCCATGTACGTTATCGTGTGGTGGTGGGACACGGACAAGGTCTCGAGCTTGTAACTACCCAGAACCTCTATATGGAGGATTATACTGTATAGGGACAGATTTACAACTTGATTACTGTAATAGTGAACCTTGCCCTGGTATGTGAAAAAAATTTGTGTTTGTGGGGGGGGGGGGGGTGTTGTTATTTCTTTTTTTCTTTTTTAAAGCAAGCTTACTTCAAAAGACACATATATAGTGAAACATAATATAAAGTATTCTATTGAATTAGTAGAAGCAGTGTGATTATAAGCACTTGTTGTTATAACATATTCATTATATACATGTACATGTATGTTAAACCGAAACAAATAAATATACATTTTGATATATTTCTCAATATTCATAGTACATGTATCAGAAAACTACCTAATTAGTTACTTTATTATCTTAATTTAGATTCTTAATATGATAAGTGTTTGTTATTAAGTTTAAAATTGAAAAAGGGTTAATATAATAAGCAGAAATTGTTATCTCAATTTTGTTACTGCTTCTAAGATTCATGATATTTGTTTAAAGTTTTTAGGAAAAACTGTAATATAGTTGATGTCTTCATTTTGTTTATGTATTTCATAGTTCATGGTGGCTGGGCAGATTGGGGTCTATTTGGGGAGTGTTCAGTCAGCTGTGGAGGAGGGTTGAAGAAAAGGTTCCGCACATGTTCTAACCCGTCACCTAGCAACAATGGACATCCATGTAGGGGACAAGCTGATGATACTGTGCCATGTAACAGGGATCCCTGTCCAAGTAATCGTTTCATTTTGATTATAGATAGGGGTAACGCGACTATAGACTGTTTCATAAAATGACTATAGACTGAAAACAAAAAAAAACCTACCGTATAAGTATTTTTTTCTGCGGGAACTTTATTTCTGCGGTTTATAACGACACCACAGATTTAAAAACCGCAGAAAACTAATCCTTTCGCTATGTCTACATGTATGTCGGAATATGTCAACTACCTGTATTGTATAATTACATTACCATGTACCGTTATCAGCTTTTGTAGATGGGAATAATTTTTCTTTATGTATCCGCCATGAATAAAATATTAGAAAAAAATAACTTCACTGGTTCTTTTTGTTTAAAAAAATATCATGTTTGTATGATTTGCGCTCACCATAAGCTTGATTTATTTCAAAAATAAAACTATTATAGTTTGACGCGTGCAATAAACATACCCTTTTGTATTTGTACAATATATTGTGTCTACGTGCGATATTACCATTGTTTATTTTTCACACTTCATATTTATACACATGCAGTATTACAGTTAATTGTTGTCATTGCACGTTGTTGATTTTTGTTTATTAACGTTTTGTTTATTGCGTTCATTGAACGCCACCTTTCCTTTTTGATCTTGTTTATCATATTTTATATACCGATACATGGTGATCACGATGAACACACATTATTAAGTCGTCTGCATGTTTAACGGAAGTACTGTACATGTTACATCAGCATATCTTGAAATGTTGTCTGTTTGTATCGGTTGATTTGTAAAAAATATCTAAATTAAAACGCAAAAACACAAAAATAAAACAACATCAATGCGAGAATGATGACACCGCAGAAATAAGATACGCAGAAATTTAAAACCCCTTATTTTAACCAAAATCGCAGAATTTTAAGCCCGCAGAAATAAGTACTTATACGGTAATTAAAATGTATTTAAATCTTAACTAATAGTAAATAGAAAATAACAACAACAAAAAGCTTTTTTTCATGTTGTATATATTTTTCTTAGGGTGGAGGATATTTTTTTGAGGTCTTTAAGATGTTGTCGTTTTTGTTTCTAAAATGAACTGACCCTTATACTTTATTTGTTAATATATTATAAAGCAATATAATATGGTTATTAACAGTTGATGGTGAATGGTCAGTGTGGTCAGACTGGAGTATGTGTTCTAGAACATGTGACCGAGGTACAAAATACCGTCAACGTAGATGTCAACAACCAAGACATGGTGGTGCAACATGTAGGGGAGATAATAAACAGATCATGGACTGCTATCAGGAACCTTGCTATGGTAATCAACTTTGGGAAGGATTTCACAGATCTCAATTATATTATATTTTGAAGCTTTGTGGGACATAGTGCATTCATTGTTGTTATTGCCCATAAAATTTAAGAATGAATCTGTTATCATCCATTGAATTGATGACTTTTGTTTAAGACAAGCAGGGGTTAACTTTTAATGTTTTTTATACATGTACATTAGAATAACAGCTCTTGTCACTTAACTCATGTAGAATGATTGTATTATTTTATCTATACCGGTGGAAGCTGTAAAATTATTGTATTATTTTAGCTATACCTGTGGAAGCTGTAGAATTATTGTATTATTTTAGCTATACCGGTGGAAGCTGTAGAATTATTGTATTATTTTAGCTATACCAATGGAAGCTGTAGAATTATTGTATTATTTTAGCTATACCCATGGAAGCTGTAGAATTATTGTATTATTTTAGCTATACCGGTGGAAGCTGTAGAATTATTGTATTATTTTAGCTATACCAATGGAAGCTGTAGAATTATTGTATTATTTTAGCTATACCCATGGAAGCTGTAGAATTATTGTATTATTTTAGCTATACCTGTGGAAGCTGTAGAATTATTGTATTATTTTATCTATACCGGTGGAAGCTGTAAAATTATTGTATTATTTTAGCTATACCTGTGGAAGCTGTAGAATTATTGTATTATTTTAGCTATACCAGTAGAAGCTGTAGAATTATTGTATTATTTAAGCTATACCTGTGGAAGCTGTACAATTATTGTATTATTTTAGCTATACCGGTGGAAGCTGCACAATTATTGTATTATTTTAGCTAACAGGTGGAAGTTGTAGAATTATTGTATTATTTTATCTATATCTGTCGAAGCTGTACAGTTATTGTATTATTTTAGCTATACCGGTGGAAGCTGTACAATTATTGTATTATTTTAGCTATACCGGTGGAAGCTGTACAATTATTGTATTATTTTAGCTTTACCAGTGGAAGCTGTACGATTATTGTATTATTTTAGGTATACCTGTGGGAGCTGTAGAATTATTGTATTATTTTAGCTTTACCAGTGGAAGCTGTAGAATTATTGTATTATTTTAGCTATACCGGTGGAAGCTGTAGAATTATTGTATTATTTTATCTATATCTGTCGAAGCTGTACAATTATTGTATTATTTTAGCTATACCGGTGGAAGCTGTACAATTATTGTATAATTTTAGCTATACCAGTGGAAGCTGTACGATTATTGTATTATTTTAGCTTTACCTGTGGGAGCTGTAGAATTATTGTATTATTTTAGCTATACCAGTGGAAGCTGTAGAATTATTGTATTATTTTAGCTATACCGGTATATGCTGTAGAATTATTGTATTATTTTAGCTATACCCATGGAAGCTGTAGAATTATTGTATTATTTAAGCTATACCTGAGGAAGCTGTAGAATTATTGTATTATTTTATCTATACCAGTGGAAGCTGTAGAATTATTGTATTATTTTAGCTATACCAGTGGAAGCTGTAAAATTATTGTATTATTTTATCTATACCTGTGGAAGCTGTAGAATTATTGTATTATTTTTAGCTATACCTGTGGAAGCTGTAGAATTATTGTATTATTTTAGCTCTACCGGTGGAAGCTGTAGAATTATTGTATTATTTTAGCTCTACCGGTGGAAGCTGTAGAATTATTGTATTATTTTAGCTATACCGGTGGAAGCAGTAGAATTATTGTATTATTATAGCTATACCGGTGGAAGCAGTAGAATTATTGTATTATTTTAGATACACCTGTGGAAGCTGTAGAATTATTGTATTATTTTAGCTATACCGGTGGAAGCTGTACAATTATTGTATTATTTTAGCTATACCAGTTGAAGCTGTAGAATTATTGTATTATTTTAGCTATACTGGTGGAAGCTGTAGAATTATTGTATTATTTTAGCTATACCGGTGGACGCTGTAGAATTATTGTATTATTTTAGCTATACCGGTGGAAGCTGTAGAATTATTGTATTATTTTAGCTATACCTGTGGAAGCTGTAGAATTATTGTATTATTTTAGCTATACCAGTGGAAGCTGTAGAATTATTGTATTATTTTAGCTATACCTGAAAGCTGTAGAATTATTGTATTATTTTAGCTATACTGATGGAAGCTGTACAATTATTGTATTATTTTAGCTATACCGGTGGAAGCTGTAGAATTATTGTATTATTTTAGCTATACCGGTGGAAGCTGTAGAATTATTGTATTATTTTAGCTATACTGGTGGAAGCTGTAGAATTATTGTATTATTTTAGCTATACCGGTGGAAGCTGTAGAATTATTGTATTATTTTAGCTATACCTGTGGACGCTGTAGAATTATTGTATTATTTTAGCTATACCTGTGGAAGCTGTAGAACTATTGTATTATTTTTAGCTATATCAGTGGAAGCTGTAGAATTATTGTATTATTTTAGCTATACCAGTGGAAGCTGTAGAATTATTGTATTATTTTAGCTATACTGATGGAAGCTGTACAATTATTGTATTATTTTAGCTATACCGGTTGAAGCTGTACAATTATTGTATTATTTTAGCTATACCGGTGGAAGCTGTAGAATTATTGTATTATTTTAGCTTTACCAGTGGAAGCTGTACGATTATTGTATTATTTTAGGTATACCTGTAGGAGCTGTAGAATTATTGTATTATTTTAGCTATACCTGTGGAAGCTGTAGTACTATTGTATTATTTTAGCTATATCCGTGGAAGCTGTAGAATTATTGTATTATTTTAGCTATACCTGTGGAAGCTGTAGAACTATTGTATTATTTTAGCTAAACCTGTGGAAGCTGTAGAATTATTGTTTTATTTTAGCTATACTGGTGGAAGCTGTAGAATTATTGTATTATTTTAGCTATACCTGTGGAAGCTGTAGAATTATTGTATTATTTTAGCTATACCAGTTGAAGCTGTAGAATTATTGTATTATTTTAGCTATACCTGTGGAAGCTGTAGAATTATTGTATTATTTTAGCTATACCTGTGGAAGCTGTAAAATTATTGTATTATTTTAGCTATACCTGTGGAAGCTGTAGAATTATTGTATTATAGCTATACCTGTGGAAGCTGTAGAATTATTGTATTATTTTAGCTATACCTGTGGAAGCTGTAGAATGATTGCATTATTATAGCTTTACCTGTGGAAGCTGTAGAATTATTGTATTATTTTAGCTATACCGGTGGAAGCTGTAGAAATTGATTGCATTATTATAGCTATACCTGTGGAAGCTGTAGAATTATTGTATTATTTTAGCTATACTGGTGGAAGCTGTAGAATTATTGTATTATTATAGCTATACCTGTGGAAGCTGTAGAATTATTGTATTATTTTAGCTATACTGGTGGAAGCTGTAGAATTATTGTATTATTTTAGCTATACCTGTGGAAGCTGTAGAATTATTGTATTATTTTAGCTATACCTGTGGAAGCTGTAGAATTATTGTATTATTATAGCTATACCTGTGGAAGCTGTAGAATTATTGTATTATTTTGACCAATACCTGTGGAAGCTGTAGAATTATTGTATTATTATAGCTATACCTGTGGAAGCTGTAGAATTATTGTATTATTTTGACCAATACCTGTGGAAGCTGTAGAATGATTGTATTATTATAGCTTTACCTGTTGAAGCTGTAGAATTATTGTATTATTATAGCTATACCTGTGGAAGCTGTAGAATTATTGTATTATTTTAGCTATACCGGTGGAAGCTGTACAATTATTGTATTATTTTAGCTATACCAGTTGAAGCTGTAGAATTATTGTATTATTTTAGCTATACCTGTGGAAGCTGTAGAACTATTGTATTATTTTAGCTATATCAGTGGAAGCTGTAGAATTATTGTATTATTTTAGCTATACCTGTGGAAGCTGTAGAACTCTTGTATTATTTTAGCTAAACCTGTGGAAGCTGTAGAATTATTGTTTTATTTTAGCTATACTGGTGGAAGCTGTAGAATTATTGTATTATTTTAGCTATACCAGTGGAAGCTGTAGAATTTTTGTTTTATTTTAGCTATACCGGTGGAAGCTGTAGAATTATTGTATTATAGCTATAGCTGTGGAAGCTGTAAAATTATTGTATTATTTTAGCTATACCAGTTGAAGCTGTAGAATTATTGTATTATTTTAGCTATACCTGTGGAAGCTTTAGAATTATTGTATTATTTTAGCTATACCTGTGGAAGCTGTAAAATTATTGTATTATTTTAGCTATACCTGTGGAAGCTGTAGAATTATTGTATTATTTTAGCTTTACCAGTGGAAGCTGTAGAATTATTGTATTATTTTAGCTATACCGGTGGAAGCTGTAGAATTATTGTATTATAGCTATAGCTGTGGAAGCTGTAAAATTATTGTATTATTTTAGCTATACCAGTTGAAGCTGTAGAATTATTGTATTATTTTAGCTATACCTGTGGAAGCTGTAGAATTATTGTATTATTTTAGCTATACCTGTGGAAGCTGTAAAATTATTGTATTATTTTAGCTATACCTGTGGAAGCTGTAGAATTATTGTATTATTTTAGCTATACCTGTGGAAGCTGTAGAATTATTGTATTATTTTAGCTATACCGGTGGAAGCTGTAGAATTATTGTATCATTTTAGCTATACCAGTTGAAGCTGTACAATTATTGTATTATTTTAGCTATACCAGTTGAAGCTGTACAATTATTGTATTATTTTAGCTATACCAGTTGAAGCTGAAGAACTATTGTATTATTTTAGCTATACCTGTGGAAGCTGTAGAACTATTGTATTATTTTAGCTATATCAGTGGAAGCTGTAGAATTATTGTATTATTGTATTATTTTAGCTATACCGGTGGAAGCTGTAGAACTCTTGTATTATTTTAGCTATATCAGTGGAAGCTGTAGAATTATTGTTTTATTTTAGCTATACCTGTGGAAGCTGTAGAATTATTGTATTATTTTAGCTATACTGGTGGAAGCTGTAGAATTATTGTATTATTTTAGCTAAACCTGTGGAAGCTGTAGAATTATTGTATTATTTTAGCTATACCAGTGGAAGCTGTAGAATTATTGTATTATTTTAGCTATATCTGTGGATGCTGTAGAATTATTGTATTATTTTAGCTATACCAGTGGAAGCTGTAGAATTATTGTATTATTTTAGCTATACCTGTGGAAGCTGTAGAACTATTGTATTATTTTAGCTATTTCAGTGGAAGCTGTAGAATTATTGTATTATTTTAGCTATACCGGTGAAGCTGTAGAATTATTGTATTATTTTAGCTAAACCTGTGGAAGCTGTAGAATTATTGTTTTATTTTAGCTATACTGGTGGAAGCTGTAGAATTATTGTATTATTTTAGCTATACCTGTGGAAGCTGTAGAACTATTGTATTATTTTAGCTATATCAGTGGAAGCTGTAGAATTATTGTATTATTTTAGCTATACCGGTGGAAGCTGTAGAATTATTGTATTATTTTAGCTATACCAGTGGAAGCTGTAGAATTATTGTATTATTTTAGCTATATCAGTGGAAGCTGTAGAATTATTGTATTATTTTAGCTATACCGGTGGAAGCTGTAGAATTATTGTATTTTTTTAGCTATACCTGTGGACACTGTAGAATTATTGTATTATTTTAGCTATACTGGTGGAAGCTGTAGAATTATTGTATAATTTTAGCTATACCTGTGGAAGCTGTAGAATTATTGTATTATTTTAGCTATACCAGTGGAAGCTGTAGAATTATTGTATTATTTTAGATATACCTGTGGAAGCTGTAGAATTATTGTATTATTTTAGCTATACTGGTGGAAGCTGTAGAATTATTGTATTATAGCTATACCTGTGGAAGCTATAGAATTATTGTATTATTTTAGCTATACCTGTGGAAGCTGTAGAATTATTGTATTATTTTAGCTATACCTGTGGAAGCTGTAGAATTATTGTATTATTTTAGCTATACCTGTGGACACTGTAGAATTATTGTATTATTTTAGCTATCCCGGTGGAAGCTGAAGGTAACATGATAGGTTACATCAACAATATAGATATTCCAGCAGCTACATTTACTGTACAAATGACACCGCTACCTGATAAAACAGCCACCAGGATAAATGCTACCATCAGAGGTGTGCCCAAACTGCTAGGTAATATAAATGTCATCATTATTTAGTCCAACTTCTTTATTATATATTACAGATCTTCCATTATAAACCTGTTTACTTTAAGCTAATTTATTGCATTTATTTAGAATGTTTCTTTTGTCTTACATTTTTGCACGCTTCACACTATGCCTCCTATCAAACAGATATAGCAATGAAGAGCTTTATAACATGATATCTGCACAGTGTAAATAACAAATGCCTGCACATCATATGTTGTCAATAAACCAAATGATGTGGGGGAAAATTACTTTTACCTGTGATGTAGTTCAACATATTTTTATTAGCATGTTAGAATAGAGTATTTATTGTTATAGTTCCACATTTCCGCCACTTATTGTCTGTTTTGAGTCCCGTATACTGGAGTACAGCACAGGAGATAGATGGAGCATATAATGGCTACACATTGACAGACGGACAGTTTACTAGAGAAGCTCAGATACAGTATGCTACAGGTAAACTGCCACTTATCATTATAGACCTTTATTTATTAACTTTTTAATATATGGCATGTTTTCACTTCAAATGTTAGGCTATTATGAAGTTCACCACTACATTATGAACACAAAACAAGGCAATTATGGAAAAAGTACGGCCTCTATGAGAAAACTCGGCTATTATGAGATTGGATAATTTTGATTGGCTCTTAAGCCTTTGGCCTCACGCTAATATGACAGTCTTCAGGCTAATAACAAGGCAATTATGAAAACAGTCTATCATTAACATTATAATAACTGTAATAACTATTTTGAATTTCAAACACTGCTGTCCAAAGTTTTAAGGGATTTCAATATTAAAATGAGTAGACCTTTTTCTAAAGTATATATGAAGTCTAGTTGTAGTCTTACAATTGATGACTGTTGGGTAATAGTTTGGGTTTTTTTAAATCATAATTTCTGTTTCATGTTACTATGATGCAGGATTAGAAATAATTTTGTTTCATCGGAATTATGAAGACTTGCGAGATATTGTCTTTTTAAGAACATCAATCAAATGTCAATATTTTGTCAGACTAGTATTTCAGCATGGCAAAATCCATACTGAAATTTTAAGTATTAAAAATAATAATAAGAAGAATAATAATTGGGCAGCCAATATGTATTGTATATCAACTGGTCAGACTGTACAGATGTCCAAGCTTAAGTGTTTATGATTATTATCTCATATAACCAACATATTTGATGATTTCAGGTGAAATACTCAAGATGTCACATTACTCTAAGGGAGTTGACAGTGATGGTAAACTTCAGCTAGATATTGTTGTAAGTGGAAATGTTCCAGATATCTCACCATCACAAAATGTCAGAATCTCACCTTACTGGGAACAGTACACACAGTCTGGACCAGGTAAACATAAGATCTAATATATATGTTGTATTAACAGTAAAACAGGTATTGTTGCAAAGAATAAAAGGGTTAACTGTTATTGTTTTGTTTTTTTAATGTGAAAATTAATTGATAAATAAAGTAGTTTTTGTAACCAGTTCTTATTATGATAAAATAATCAGATTATTAGCTGAACTTTTCAAGGAATAGGGTTAGCTATTGTAGTCTGACCAAGACATTTGGTTAAGTTTTGCGAGCAAGTTGGTTTCTTTAGAACAGTACTGAAGGAATCAGATTAAAACTTTAAACACTTATTTCAGAGTGTAATATGATGTAGCTGTCTAAGCCCCATAACTGTAATTTGGATTTCGACAGAATTATTGCCCATTATGGCCCTTTTTGAACTTAAAAAATCTACATTATCCAGGCCCTTGTTATATTTTCAAGCACTAAGAATAATTGAGCATACGCATTGTTGCTGTCCAACAGACAGCTCTTGTTTTCAGGAAAAAAAATCTGTAGACATACCAAGTGTATTTTATTTTATTTCAATTGCTTCTGATAGCTCTTGATTAACTTTTTAATAAAGATATATTGTCATGACCTAGATATTTTTTAACTAATTTCTTTTGGATTGAGAGGCAGGCGTATTTATATCTAGGCAACCTCTTTTTCCCCCTGACTTAAAGTGGGATAGTGTAAATGAATTACTTCACTTTATTATTAAGCTTTTTTCTTGTATATATACAGGTTCAGTACAGACACAGTCAAGGAGGTTATTACATGTAGATGGTCACATGTTACCTCATGCATCCAATCATAGTATAGTGTATAATAAACTAGACAATAAGATGCCGTTCCTGGTACAGAGAATGCATGCTAGTAACCTGTATGTAGATGTCTTCCCAAATAGAGAACTTGTCAACTATATCCTTGATACAAGCATTTCACCAGGTATATTGTTTGGAATTTAACTATTTACAGTGTTGGAGCAGTACCTCTAGATGTTTGCAGAAATCATGATCCTAAAGTAGGAGCAAAAAATATGCTGTTTTCGCCAATTCTTACATTTTCTATTAATGATAGTATATAAATCGGTGTAAAGAGATGAATTAGATGTTTTTAAGTGCAAATTTCAGCGGGTGAAAAGGCGAGATTTAAGTATTTAATCAGTAAAGCACCTTGTCCGGTATATACTGGAATACTGTATTTAATTTGGTGCTCCAAAACTTTTTGAAGTCTCACTCATATTTTTTTTGCTATTTGATTGACAATGAGGAGGCTTGTGTGGGTTTTAGGATAAATATTTTTTTTTTATCTTGACTGTAAAGAAAGATTTAAGCTTTTAGCCACCCTAATGTGTTTGCTTCCTCTAACCAACTAATACTAGTGTAATTAATGTCATATTCAGGTATTAAAAAAGTATACATTTTTTAAACTTAAAATATAATTTTTGCAACGAAAATATAGCGCTATATACGTTAATGACATTGTAAATTATTATAAGTGAACAATGTTTGATTACCACAGGTTCACCAAGTAATCAGTGTCCTGAAGGATATATTCTACATGAAGAGGGCTCTTACTGTCAAGGTATTTATTGTTTTACAACCTAGCATTTTAAATTTAACCCTGCTTAAATGTATGTTCTTATTCTGCCTTGATCTTGAAGTAGTACATAAATTGTTTAAGGAATTTCAATACTTATAGGCAGCAAAAGATTCTACCTATGTGACCAGTGGTAACATGTTTGAAACCCTTGTTTTATACTGCATGAAGAAATATTTGTAACCCATTAAATATTTAGAAAAAAGAATTGACTGTTCATTATCATATATGTGTGTTTACTGTGAAATCTGATACAGAGTTTAAGAAGAAAATTATTTGACGATCAAAATGTTTTAAAGTCACATTTTGCCTATGTCTAGAACATATTTATAGAAGATTAAATTTTATCGTTAAGTTTAATGAGTTGTTGTGTGGCAGAGGTGTTATGAAATATTTTATGAAAGATGATTTTTTTAATGTCCAGTCTTCAGTTTCCAATTTATTTGTTAAAACTTTTATGAATAACTATCAACTTATTTGATTTTAAAGGGGATATCTTATTAAGCATTATAATTAACCCTTCTGGTGTAGAAATTGCATTTGGTAATACATGTATAGAAAGGATCATCAACATTAGCATGTAATCTTTGTTTTATAGATATTGATGAATGTACAAGTACAGGACCATGTTCAGATTACTGTCATAATTCTATATTCCTTGTTTTATAGATATTGATGAATGTACAAGTACAGGACCATGTTCAGATTACTGTCATAATTCTATATTCCTTGTTTTATAGATATTGATGAATGTACAAGTACAGGACCATGTTCAGATTACTGCCATAATTCTATATTCCTTGTTTTATAGATATTGATGAATGTACAAGTACAGGACCATGTTCAGATTACTGCCATAATTCTATATTCCTTGTTTATATAGATATTGATGAATGTACAAGTACAGGACCATGTTCAGATTACTGCCATAATTCTATATTCCTTGTTTTATAGATATTGATGAATGTACAAGTACAGGACCATGTTCAGATTACTGTCATAATTCTATATTCCTTGTTTTATAGATATTGATGAATGTACAAGTACAGGACCATGTTCAGATTACTGCCATAATTCTATATTCCTTGTTTTATAGATATTGATGAATGTACAAGTACAGGACCATGTTCAGATTACTGCCATAATTCTATATTCCTTGTTTTATAGATATTGATGAATGTACAAGTACAGGACCATGTTCAGATTACTGTCATAATTCTATATTCCTTGTTTTATAGATATTGATGAATGTACAAGTACAGGACCATGTTCAGATTACTGTCATAATTCTATATTCCTTATTTTATAGATATTGATGAATGTACAAGTACAGGACCATGTTCAGATTACTGTCATAATTCTATAGGAAGTTATTACTGCTCCTGTCCTATAGGATATATTCTGGATGTAGATGGTAAACAGTGTAATGGTAAGTTCACTTTAGTATGTGCATTTATACTGTGCTCCTCTTAGTTCACGGTACTTTACGCTTTGATGCAAGAAAGAAAACAACACATAAAATATTATGGTACAAAAATTGTCATAAGCTGAAACATATAGGTATTTTCTGCTGTATGACACAAGGAAACAACAATAGAGCTAGACTTTGCATTAAATCAATATAACCCAGAAGAAAATATCTAACCTTAAAAACAAGAGCTGTCGGTAGGACAGCATGCTCGACTATTCTTAGTGCTTGATAGTAAAAAAAATGCCTGATACAGTTACCTCCTCCTGTTTACAGGTTGGGGTCATGATGGTGAACAAGTGTGCAAAGTTTCAAAGCCATATGTCAATGGACTTTGAAAATATTTGAACTATTACAAAAACTTTAACGTAAATTCTAAGTCGAAAAAGGGCCATAATTCTGTCAAAATGCTTGATAGAGTTACCTCCTCCTGTTTACAGGTTGGGGTCATGATGTTGAACAAGTGTGCAAAGTTTCAAAGCCATATGTCAATGGACTTTGAAAATATTTGAACTATTACAAAAAACTTTAACGTAAATTCTAAGTCGAAAAAGGGGCATAATTCTGTCAAAATGCTTAATAGAGTTACCTCCTGCTGTCTACAGGTTGGGGTCATGATGTTGAACAAGTGTGCAAAGTTTCAAAGCCATATGTCTATGGACTTTGAAAATATTTGAACTATTACAAAAACTTTAACGTAAATTCTAAGTCGAAAAAGGGGCATAATTCTGTCAAAATGCTTGATAGAGTTACCTCCTCCTGTCTACAGGTTGGGGTCATGATGGTGAACAAGTGTGCAAAGTTTCAAAGCCATATGTCAATGAACTTTGAAAATATTTGAACTATTACAAAAACTTTAACGTAAATTCTAAGTCGAAAAAGGGGCATAATTCTGTCAAAATACTTGATAGAGTTACCTCCTCCTGTCTACAGGTTGGGGTCATGATGGTGAACAAGTGTGCAAAGTTTCAAAGCCATATGTCAATGGACTTTGAAAATATTTGAACTATTTATAAAAACTTTAACGTAAATTCTAAGTCGAAAAAAGGGGCATAATTCTGTCAAAATGCTTGATAGAGTTACCTCCTCCTGTCTACAGGTTGGGGTCATGATGGTGAACAAGTGTGCAAAGTTTCAAAGCCATATGTCAATGAACTTTTGAAAATATTTGAACTATTACAAAAAACTTTAACGTAAATTCTAAGTCGAAAAAGGGGCATAATTCTGTCAAAATGCTTGATAGAGTTACCTCCTCCTGTCTACAGGTTGGGGTCATGATGGTGAACAAGTGTGCAAAGTTTCAAAGCCATATGTCAATGGACTTTGAAAATATTTGAACTATTACAAAAACTTTAACATAAGTGGTTACGCCGACGCCGACGCCGACGCTCGGGTGACTGCAATAGCTCTACTTATTCTTATCGAATAGTAGAGCTAAAAATGGTGAACTTATTTTAACAAAGGAAGTGGTGTACATAGATGTATTAGTCCTTTGTTGTTGTATATAGGACACATTCAAAAATGTGCTAGTGCAGTATCAACATTATTTATTTGTCAGAATTCAATTTATTGGCCTGTACTGGCTATTAGTACTTTTGGTCATTTTTAATAGGACTTGTGTAAGGGTTTGTCCATTGAAAGTTCTAATTAGACCTCATTATCAAAGGAAGACTTATATATAAATATAGGAAAGAGTACAAAATCACCTCTTTAAATTCAGATTTTAGAAATTATGCAAGTTAAAATCTTTTAGTACTTATATTTTATCTATTGAAAATATACTTGTTTCCTAGCATTTTCCAATACAAAAAGTCGCCCTTTGTTACAAATTAAATAAGAATCTATGGCAGGATGAGTACACAACTTTGACAGAACACAGTTAGGTACCTTTCCAACATTACCATGCTTCCAATATTGCTCCTTAACTTTACTTCTTAACTGAAATATGGGCCTGAAAAACAATATTGGCCTGAAATTTAACACCTTTTCTCATATTAAAAATTTCACATCAGTTTTTCAGACCTTTTTCATTTTGAATATAAGTCAGTACCAGTAGTTAAAGCAATGTCAAAGAAATTTACTTTTCCAACTTTTTCCGTGTTGTCTGCAAATATATTGATTTACCTAGAAGCTCAGGTTTCAATTATTGCTTATAAGCTTTCAAACTGGAATGCCCAAGTTTTGCCTTTTTCTATATGTTGCAAGTCCTCTAAGGTAACTTTGAATGACAGGTCAAAGAACATATAAACCGCTGTACTATTTTAACTTCTTTGTTGCATTGAAAACAAATTTCTCTTTGATTTCATGAAGTATAACATATACTTTATTAGGGGTGTGGATCGTCAGATAAGTGACGATCAGATCCAATCCACGATTCACCACTTGCGATTCACAAATCGAACCACAAATCTATTAGTCTCAAATTGTTATTAAGAGATTCAAGACAATCATAAAAAGATGAACATTATTACTGAAAATGTTTTTTTTTTTTAAGTTATACTTAACATTAATTTCATTAAAAATATATGCAAATATAAACTAGGTTTAAAGGTTGAAAACGAGTCGGGCAAATATAAAATTCCACCAGCAAAATTTAATTCCAATGTTTGGAAATACTTTCAAATTTGGTATTTCAACTGTATTTCAACTGAAAATGAGAAAAAAGCAGTTTGTAAAACATGCCACGGCGAACTGATTTATACCGGTTGTACAAGAAGTTGTATAATCACATGAAAAGACAAATATTAGAAGGTAGAATTGTATATCGGGGCGACTTCTTTCCAGCCATTGTTTCAGACAGGATGTGTGACATTACTTATTAACTTGAGTTTCTCAAATTTTGGATTATTAAAAATAAAATTGTCTTCAATGCATGGCACGTTATTATAAATCTATAAATAGCGACTAAAATATTTTTTTCATGTAAAATCATAGTGCTCAATAAAGATAAAGTAAATTCCTCTTTAGCTCCACTTTTTTTTTTTTTTTTTTTTTTTTTTTTAAAGTAGAGGTATTGTTATAGTCCTGATGGTGTTGCCATTGCCGTCCCCAAACTTGTACCTGGATCATAACTTTTTAGCTCACCAGAACGAACATTCAAGGTGAGCTATTAGTATCAAAGGGAGTTGCTCCGGCATCCGTCGTCATGCGTCAACAATCGTCTTCTTCTCTTAAACTGCTGGGCAGATTTACCTCAAATTTGGTCTGTAGCATCCTTGTGACAGTCACACTTGAATTTGCTCTTGTCATTTCAATAGGCCTCTTTTAGGGGTCAACAGAGCTAAAAATAGAAAAACCTTTAAATATCTTCTACTACAGAACTAATCGATGGATGATCACCAAACTTTGTCTGTAGCATTCTTGGGTAGTCTTTTATCAAGTTTGCCCATATTAATTTAATTGGCCCCTTTTAGGGGCCGCTAAAGCTAAAAATAGAAAAACCTTTAAACATCTTTTACTACAGAACTAATTGATGGATGATCACCAAACTTTGTCTGTAGCATTCTTATGTACTCTTTTATCAAGTTTGCCCATATTAATTTGATTGGCCTCTTTTAGGGGCCACTCAAGCTAAAAAAAATAGAAAACCTTTGAAGATCATTTTCCTACTAAAATAATTGATAGATGATCACCAAACTTTGTAGCATTCTTAGGTAGTCTTTTATCAAATTTGCTCATATTAATTTGATTGGCCCCCGTTTAAGCTAAAGCTTAAATGCCCCAGGTCATGGCATTTCTTCAAATTGTTGTTTTTAAACATATTCTATGCTCAAATTTAATATTAGAAAATATTGACAATGGATAATTTCCAACACTTAAAAGCAGTTGTTTCTGGTGAGCGACTCAGGGCCATCATGGCCCTGACTTGTTTAGTTCTTGGTGTATTGTCTTCATACTTGGCCACAACAACCCTTGGGAAGACCACACTAACCTTGACCTTCATCCATAGTTGACCATGACCTTCAAGGTCAAATGTTCAAATTTTGCTTGTTCCTGTAACTTTGTTATTCTTGAATGGATTGCCTTCAAACTTGAACATAATAATCTTCAAGGATAGCCCTTTAAAAGAACAAGACAGACATTGACCTTCACACATAAATGTCTGATTTTGAAGGTCAAATTATTGAAATTTTCATTTTTTTGGTTGTTAACTGGCTGTAACTTTGCTATTATTGAATGGATTGACTTCATATTATAACAGAACATTCTGGAAGGACAAGACCTTTATGTTTACCAACTCAAATAAATTGACCTTGGCTTTTTTATGACTTTGACCTTGAAGGTTAAATTATTGAATTTTTACTGATTTATGCATTAAATGACCATATATATTTATAAGTGTGTATGTATATATATGTATATACAGTAAAGACTGTCTTAGTGAGCCCTGTATAAAGCGACGTTCTGTCTTTTAAGTTAGATTTTAAACAGTATTTACTATATAAATTGTCTGTATGTTACGCGACTCCCAGTCTAGTCCGTACAACGACCATGATTTAGCGTCTCTTGTTATGGTATATTATAGCCGTGCAAAGCAACTTTTGCAAGTGGAGTAACTCAGGGAATGGGATTACTTAACAATTAAAAGTTTTTAAGAAATTAAAATTAAAGCATATCTGAGGCATAATGGGGCTTTAAGGAAATAAGAAAGTGAAATGAAAAGATGAGGGAAGCAAGGCAAAAATAAAAGTTAAGGACATAAAAAGGTAAATATTACAGTTTGGGAAACCAGAATAATTTGTACATAAAAAGTTTAACTAAAGTTTTCAAACAAATTAAACACCATTTTCTCCCAACAATTATTTATAAAAGTACATCAATCCTAAACCTTTATTCATTTTCATTCTACTGTATGTGTTTTATTGTAGATAGTGTATCTTATTAGTTGAATTGAATTAAAATGAACAATTTTTTTTTTACAAACAGATTTATCAATATAAATAACATTTTTAATCAATATGTAACTTTTAAATACTAATGTAACGGTGTAGTTCACAATCTTAACCAATTATACATGCAATTTGAATACTATCTTGTTTTTATAAATGATATGTGGTATGTTTAATATATGTTTAATATAAATAAAAAATATAATTAAACCCTAAGTATGGTACTATCCTGCTTTCAAACAAAATATTGGCAAAATATGTTCATATATCCAAATTCTGTAGAGACTGTTCAAAGTGACTGCCTGTCTATAATTACTCTTTTTCTTTATTCCCATCTTAGGTCACTGTAAACAGTTTTTTCTGTGTAGATTGTATATATATATATTTAATAACATAATGTTAAACCAGCCCTATCTACCTTAAAGTTTAACAATTTAGTAGCGAATATGAATAAACTTCCATATAAAGTGACACTGTGTGCAAAGAGATATAAACGCAACTTTGTTAAGTTAAACCCAAAGTAGGTCAAATCATTTTGATATTATTTAGCCAAAGGAAAGGATTTATATAAGTGAAAATAATATAATGTAGAAATTGATATTTTTCCAGGAGTATAATGTAGAAGAAACTTAAGGATTACAGTTATCATAATTATAGAGTACATCAATGTTTAAAATCTAAAATAACTGTGAAAAAAATAGAGAAATTTCTATCGATTTTACAATGTAAATAGATCTACTAAAAAACCTAGTTTGGAAAAAGACAAAATGGCTGCCAGTCGACAAATTAATACGGATATTCTTTCGGATGAAATATTTGACGTATTATGTTCAATGTTAGTAAATGGAGCAGGAACACTGAAGGTGAAAAATACTGCGCTGATTGTCACGATTATTCTGTGTTAGTTGTGTCAAAGTTCACAGTAAAGTGCCTGTATTTAGCTGGTCACAAGGTATTGGATAAATCTCAAGTTAAGTCAGGAAACCAGTAAAGGTCTGCGAGGGCACCAGCAGAGAGATGTGAAAGACCACAGTCATAAACACATTGATATGTTACTGTCAGAACCATGATAATGTTGGCTGTTCTACATGTATGGCAGTTGATCACAGGTAAACAAAGATATTTTTTAAGTAAGCATATGGAATGTTTAGTAGGTACTTTACATAATATTCTTAGACTAACTTAAATTATATAACACTCAATAATATAGATTCAACTCCTAAGTCATCTCATAGCCTCATTAACTATCTGAATTTTTTTTTCAGATTATGCAAGGATACATTCTACATACCAGAATTTATTCAAAACAATACTTACCAAGTTGAATCGAGAGACATTCAAACAAAACTCAAGGAAATAGCCAAGACCCTTGAAAAACAAGCTAATACATTTAAACAAGATAAACAAAGTCTGTTAAAGAGGAAAGCAGAACTACTCGCTAATATCAGAAAATTCCGACAAGAAATCAATGGCCAACTTGACAAGCTGGAGAAAAGTTCTATTGATGAGATAGAAAGTAAAGTCAAATGTCTTGAAGACAAAATCGAAGACGGCTTAAAACAGCTACAAGCACACAAGTCCAAGATTAGATCAGCTAATGATAAGTTAGCATCTACAAACACAAATCATTCTGAAGTGTTTGTTTATGTGAAGATGGGAGAAGATGCTGCAAATGTTGCCAACAAATATATGGAGCATGCCAAAATAAAAAGTACAGTAGATGACATAGAGTTTCAACCTGACAGAACAATTCTTACACAGTTAGAACAAAGGAAGGCCCTAGGCACACTATCAGGGAAACCTACAAAGCCTGCTGTTAATTTATTTCAGATTAAAGGAAATCAATCATATAATGTAAAAGTAAAGTCAGATATATATGATTGTAATATCGCTAGTGCCTGCTGTATGGAAGATGGTACAATAGTTCTAGCTGATCGCGACAACAGCAAACTTAAACGTTTACACAGTTATAACTATACTGTCACAGACTACTGTGATCTACCTGGAGAGCCATCTCAAGTGTGCCTGATCAATAACACACAAGTAGCAGTAACTATTTCATTAGAAAAGAAAGTTCATTTCATTTCTCTAGAAAGAAAAATGAAAACAACAAACAAGCTTAAAACTGATTTCAATTGTTATGGTCTTGCATACTCCAACAATAATTTATATATTGCAGATAATGACACATCAGTATATATGTATACATTGTCAGGTAGGAAACTTAATCAGTTCAGTAAGGATCAATCAGGACATAAGTTGTTCTCTGACATAGACAGTTTAGCTGTCAGTAAGGATGCTACTAGGATTTATGTTGCTGATTACAAAAATGGACTGATAGTACTGGACAACAATGGTCTGGTTATTACATCATTTAATGATGATGAACAATTAAAGGGGGCTGGATGTTGTTATCTCACTGAAACAGGTAGTGTGCTGGTATCTGGATATCACTCCAAAAATGTTTTACAGTTTACATGTGATGGTGAAGTGATAAGAGAGGTTATAAAAGCTGATAGAAGAAAAGGGAATACATGTATTAGATCAGTCTGTTGTAATCAACAAATGACTAAGATGTGTATAAGTAGATTTGGAGTGAACAACATTGAAGTGTATGACATTTAATCAGTTAAACAAATGTTTCACAAGAGTAAAATAAACATGTTTTTAAATATATGCCTCAAGCAAAATGTATGCAAAGAGTATAACATGTTTTATTTATTATATGTGATAATTTCTTTTGGAATTCCCATTTTCGAATTTATCTGGTTTAATTGTTATTTGTTATATTACAAGAAAACTACTTAATTGTTTGAACAATATGAAATAAGTCATATGATGTGAGTATTTAGAGATTTAATGAGTTCAATAAATTTAGAAATAAATAAATTATAAATTTTTATTTATTACGGACCCAAAATAAGAATGGTAAACAGTAAAAAAGAGTCATTCTTTTCATTGATGCACATATAGTGTAATGCTAATATTTAGCCTATTTTGATGTCTGAATAAAACAATGATGTCATGTTACATTGTGGTTATATTAGTGTAATATTCATTTTCATTTAATGGCTTTTTTATACTTCTGTATATATATAATGAAATAAAAATATTTTATTAAATCCCCCTTTAGTATTACCCAAACCAGAATGATAAAATCGGTTATACAAAAAACAAAAAGCTAAAATAAAGTGAAAAAAGTAACTGAAAAACAGCACGCCTCAGAGATAAAGAAAAACTATGTCTTACTTTAAAATTTCAAAATACCCAGTTGAAAGAAAACAGATGACACTTCAAAATGTTTATACTACTACGTAATAAAAGCGCGTTCTGATTTGTCAATCGCATGAATAATAATGGGAAAAATAAAATAGGAAATCTTGATTTCGGTGTTTAAAAAAGTGTTGGGTGTTGACACCCCTTCTTTTAAATTTGCGTTTAACGGGAATTGGTTGTAATTTAGTGTAAAAAAATTAACGACCCGCGGCGTTTAAAAAAGTATGACGGGAAAAATTTTAAAATCGGGCGACTCAAAATTCTTTGAACTTGAAGCAAAGGGGTTGATCCCAAGGCCCCTTTTTTCGCCCCAAAATGTTACCTAGTTCAAACTTTCCCCTTCTAAAGTCGGTTACTCAAATACCCAAAGGGGACAAAAATGGTCGTTGTAGGGGCTAAAAGGGAGCGCTAAAACAGGGCCATTTTTATGTAAATACTGTTCGGGACCAAAATATGGGCCTAAAAACAGAACGTCGCTAAACAGGGGGCGTAAAACATCTTTACTGTAGTTTTAAAATTTTTGTCTTTAAAAAATAAAGTTCCCCTTTTCCAAAGGGAAATTTTTTTTTTCCTCGGGGAAATTTTTTCATCCCTTTTTCCTTAGATGCTATGTGATGGTACGAAAATCATAATCGGACCTTTATTTAGAAATTTTGGAAACAAACATATCTAATAGGGGAAAATAATAAATTACTTTGGTTTTGATATTTGTAATAATTTGTGATTCTAAAATTTACGCTTGATTAATCATAATAATATATTTAATGACTAATATAATCAGTTAAAGCTTTAGCTTGAAATATGATTAGGGCCTACACATTAGGTAACACATGAACATTAGGGCCTTACAGATATGCATAGCAAATTAGCAATTAGCTCTAAGTTTGGCCTTGACCTTAAAACTGGATCATGTATGAAGCAATACATTTAATAATGGTGAATCTTTCTATAAAGTATCATAAAAATTCTTCTATGCATGAAGAAGATATGCTCTAGAAAAAATCAAGATATTTCATCATTTTTAGTGACCTTGACTTTGCATAAATTGATCTCATATACAAGTGCAATGGTGGTAGTCATGATGATGACAATTTGTGTTACAATCCCTCAATAAAGACAAAAATGGTCCCTATACACATCTATATGCACCTAGGAGATATGCTCCAGAAATAATCCAGATATTTCATCATTTTTAGTGACCTTGACCTTGCCTAAATTGACCTAAAATACAAGTGCAATGGCGGTAATTACGATAATGACCAATTGAGTTACAATCATTCAATAAATGATGACTAAATGGTCCATTTACACATCTTCATTTTTTTATCTGAACTTTGACCCCTATGTGTGACCTTGACTTTAGCTGTGGGGACCTGAATTTAGCGCCTGACACACTGCCTTACATTAAGTAAGGGTGAGCATCTGAGTTAAGCAAAATTTAAATCCCATAATGCATTTAGAAATTTTGCTCAAGATAAGCATTTTACAAATGACCTCTATAAGTGACTTTGACCTTTGACCTACAGACCTGTTTCATTGCAGTCCCTTAGCTTCTCATAGAAGTGAACATTTCTATTAAAGTTTCATAAAAATCCTTGAGACGTGTAGGAGATAGGTTCAAGACAAAATCCAGATATTTCATCATCTTAAGTAACCTTGACCTTGCATATATTGACCTAAATTACAAGTGTCACAGATGTAGCCATGATAATGACCATTTGTGTTACAATTCCTCAATAAATGATGGCTCAATGGTCCCTACAGACATTTTCATATTTTTATTTGAACTTGAATTTTTATTTGAAATTTAGCCGATGGGACCTGAATTTTGTGCCTCACAATGATGAACATTTTGTGGGAAGTAAAATAGAATTGAAATCCCTTCATACATCTAGAAGTTTTGCTCCAGACAAGCATTTTTCAATGACCTGTACATGTGACCTTGACCTTTGACCTGGAGACCTTGTTCATGCCCGCGACACAGCTTTTCATAATGATGAAAACATTTCTAAAATCCCTCAATGCCTGTAGAAGATCTGCTCTAGACAAAAAAGACACAGAGTATCTAATGGATTCTATTTGGATTTAGAAAATGAAAAAGGGGCAAGATGGAAAATAATATTATGGAATTTTTGGATTGGCAAAAGGAAAATGAGGCTAAATTGATAAAATTTAATCTTATTAATATTTATACTAAGAAATAACATGCTCCAATCATGGGAATTTCATTTGTTTCATTTTATAAGGTGTCAATGAAAACACTATTTAATAGTTATATTGCATCATATAAGTACACTATATGATTCCATAATTGAATTTTATTATAAATTTCATACATATGGGTCCATATGATATAATACTAACTCTATGATAAAATGCTTATTAGAGTTAATCAAATCTTTAAACAGATGAATTTTCCTTTCTTTTAAAACTCTGAATATATAAATCATACTGGTTTCCTTGCAGACAGGCTCTAGCAGACACTTTATCATTTTCGTCCAGTACACTATATTTTGACCGATAAAGTATAGGGCTGGGGCAAGTATCCAAGTACTTGGATAATCACAAATGAAAAATGAAAAATCGATTACGAATATTTGTCAGTCTAGAGATCATGGATCGCGATCTTATTTTTTGTGTCGCCTCTACGGAGTAGTGGCGACATATAGGGATCACTTCTCCGTCGTCTGTCTGTCCGTCTGTCTGTCTGTCCGTCCGTCCGTCCGTCACAAAACTTGTCCGGACTACTCCTCATAAACTACTGGTGCAATTTCATCCAAACTTTACCGGAATGATCAGTATCAAGTCTAGTTGTGCATATTGTCAGCATTTTCTGGTTCAATGATTTTTGTCAGAGTTATGGCCCTTAATAATTTTTAATTTTAAAGTTTGTCCGGACTACTTCTCTTATACCACTAATGCAATTTCAATGAAACTTTACAGGATTGATCTGTAGCTCAAGTCCTTGCGCATATTGCAGGGGTTTTCCGGTTGAATGATTTTTGGCCGAGTTATGGCCCTTTGATAAAAAGATTTCTTTTTCTGTGTGTTGCCAGATACACATAAGCTTGTCCGGACTACTCCTCATAAACTACTGGTGCAATTTCATCCAAACTTTACAGGAATGATCAGTACCAAGTCTAGTTGTGCATATTGTCAGCATTTTCCAGTTCAATGATTTTTGTCAGAGTTATGGCCCTTAATAATTTTTAATTTTAAAGTTTGTCCGGACTACTTCTCTTATACCACTAATGCAATTTCAATGAAACTTTACAGGATTGATATGTAGCTCAAGTCCTTGCCCATATTGCACGGGTTTTCCGGTTGAATGATTTTTGGCCGAGTTATGGCCCTTTGATAAAAAGGTGGGTTTTTTTGTGTGTTGCCAGATACGCAAAAGCTTGTCCAGACTACTCCGCATAAACTACTGGTGCAATTTCATCCAAACTTTACAGGAATGATCAGTACCAAGTCTAGTTGTGCATATTGTCAGCATTTTCCAGTTCAATGATTTTTGTCAGAGTTATGGCCCTTTAATAATTTTTATTTTTAAAGTTTGTCCGGACTACTTCTCTTATACCACTAATGCAATTTCAATGAAACTTTACAGGATTGATATGTAGCTCAAGTCCTTGCCCATATTGCACGGGTTTTCCGGTTGAATGATTTTTGGCCGAGTTATGGCCCTTTGATAAAAAGGTGGGTTTTTTTGTGTGTTGCCAGATACGCAAAAGCTTGTCCGGACTACTCCGCATAAACTACTTGTGCAATTTTATCCAAACTTTACTGGAATGATCAGTACCAAGTCTAGTTGTGCACTGTCTGTCTGTCTGTCCGTCTGTCACAAAATTTGTCCCAACATGAAATTGGCCATCATTAGGCGACACATGTGATTACTGATCGCTCTTGTTTCTCATACAATTGCTGTTTCTCACACTAAAATTTTACTAGCATCATATGAATTAATTTTCTACCTTTATTAATATAACAAATTCTTTACTCTTTTAATTTGCATAAACAAAATTTTAGCAAGTTAAAATGACAGTTAGTGATGACTAACAAACTTTTTATGCTCCCCGAAAAATTTTGGGGGAGCATATAGTCGTCGGGTTGTCCATCCGTCAGTCCGTACGTACGTACGTACGTCCCGAATTCGTGTCCGGCCCATAACTTTGTTATTTGAAGTCGGATTTTAAAATTATTTCACAGAAATGATCACCATATTGAGACGACGTGTCGCGCGCAATATTTAGGTCGCTACCTTGAAGGTCAAGGTCACAGCATGACCTTGCAGCAAAATCGTGTCCGGTCCATAACTTCATTATTTGAAGTTGGATTTTAAAAATATTTCACAAAAATGATCACCATATTGAGACGACGTGTCGCGCGCAACATTTGGATCGCTTCCTTGAAGGTCAAGGTCACAGCATGACCTTGCAGCAAAATCGTGTCCGGTCCATAACTTTGTTGTTTGAAGTCGGATTTAAAAAATATTTCGCAGAAATGATCACCATATTAAAACGATGTGTCGCGTGCAACATGTGGGTCGCTTCCTTGAAGGTCAAGGTCACAGCATGACCTTGCAGCAAAATCATGTCCGGCCCATAACTTCCCTATTTGAAGTTAGATTTAAAAAGTATTTCACAGAAATGATCATCATATTAAGATGATGTGTCATGCACAACATTTCAGTTGCTACCTTGAAGGTCAAGGTCACAGCATGACCTTGCAGCAAATTTGTGTCCGGCCCATAACTTCCTTATTTGAAGTCAGATTTTTAAACTATTTCACAGAAATGATCACCATATTAAAATGGCGTGTCATGCGCAACATTTGGCTCGCTACCTTGAAGGTCAAGGTCACAGCATGACCTTGAAGCAAAATTGTGTCCGGCACATAACTTCATTATTTGAAGTCGGATTTTACAACTATTTCACAGAAATGATCACCACAATGAGACATTGTGTCGCGAGCAACATTTGGGTCTCTACCTTGAAGGTCAAGGGCACGGTATGACCTTGCAGCAAAATCGTGTCCGGCCCATAACTTTGTTACTGGAAGTCGGATTTAACAACTATTTCACAGAGATGATCACCATATTGAATCGACTTGTCGCATGCAATATTTAGGTCACTACGTTGAAGGTCAAGGTCACAGCATGACCTTGCAGCAAAATAATGTCAGGCGCATAACTTTGTTATTTGAAATCCGATTTTACAACTATTTCACAAAAATGATCACCATATTTAGACAATGTGTCGTGTACAATATTTGGGTTGTTTTAACACTTTGAACTTTGTCTATGACATAACTCTGACACAACAAGAGGTATACCTTCCTGTGTCCAAAACCTATTCGGGGAGCATCACCCGGTTCAACCGGCTCTTGTTTAACTAATGTGATTAATGAACCATATACATGTTCATCATCGACGGACAAATAATTTTAAACACCAAGTATATAACATGTTTTTTTTACCAAATCACCATTCTACCAAATGTGCCTTGCACCATTCATAAAATTCAAGTGGTCTGACGGACCAGTGGCTTGTAAAAGGTGGTTCATGCCAAAAGCCGGTCAGGTCTCGGATAAAATTCCAAGTTTTAGCCCTTAAATTTCTTTTATGTACCCTAAAATTCCTAATTTTAGCCCTAAAATTTCTTAATTATTGTCCTTAAATTTGTCCTAATTTTTTGTCAGAAGGTGCTGGACAGTTTAATGAACTCATTTACCTTCTGATTTAGTAAAACAGACTTCTCTTACATCTAAGTTAAGAAATAATTTAACCCAAATACTATGCTTGAATTAAATGTTATTAACCTTTGCCAACAGTATAGAGTCAGGCCAGCCTGAAAGTCCAAGTTAAGCTCGAACAGTCTCTATACTAGTGGTACTATTTGGTAGCTAATATATGTATTTTATTATTAAAGTCCCTTTAAATTCTAATAAATTTATTGTTTTATAATAATCCATTTTACAAATTTATCAGATCAAGGGATAAGGGGTTCCAGTTTTATATTACTTAAGATAAGCAGTCAACAATATATATGTAGGCTGACTGTATTAATAATGATAGTAAAGCTATGTTTTAATAACTAGTAGTTGCTTAGAGATCCAAGAGATAAATGCTCAGTTAATATAAATCAAACGATTGTCTTAAATAACAAATATTTCAGATGTAAATGAATGTAATTATGTGCCATCAAGCTGTCCAGTAGACAAACAATGTACAAATACAGTTGGGTCGTTCATCTGTCATATAAAATGTCGTAGAGGTTACAGACCTTCAGATAATGGACAGGATTGTATAGGTAAGAAGTTACCTTCATAACTCATACACTTTTTTCTCAGTGTTGCTTTACTTCTTTCATGTTTGAGATCTCAACTTAACTTATACCAACAAGTATGCCAGTTAACAAGACAAGCTTTGAACAGTTGGTCTAGAAATAACTAAGTCATACAAGCAGTAACATCACATATTTCCAGGACTACCCAGGGAATCAGGTAGCTTCCTGCATGGCAATGATTTATGTCCTGGTAAAAATAAAAATCTGAAATTATCTCCTTTGCAGCTAGAAATAATAAATATTTTTCTATGCAATGTTATTTTATATAAAATATTAAATTATTCTAGAATGCAGATAACCTAGTAATATGGCATGTATGACTTAATGTCTTTTTCATTTGAAACAGATGAAACATTACGTATCAAGTATGACTTTCTGAAACTTTAAGACTGGCCTGAGTTAATGATATCTGTTGCCGAGGTTCACTGATTGTGGCATACATGGTGTCAGGGAAAACCTCACTGCTATAATGAGTGTCCTGCATTGAAACACTCATGCTGGTAGGATACTGGTTTATGAGTTCATGTATCAACATCAGCCAGTATGTCATAGTGACATATCTGAATACATTAGTTTTCAGTGCTTTGATAATTTATTGAAAAATAATCTTTTTTTGCAATGGATGCCCTGTCTGTCTTCAAGATGTTTTTAAATGAAACTGTGCAGTAATGAACTTACCTGTAGATCACTTTAAAGGAAGGCTGTGTTTGTTATTACATTATAAACTGAAAGGATTTTTGTGTTGCCTCTAAGGAGTAGTGGCGACATATAGGGATCACTTCTCAATCGTCTGTCTGTCTGTCCGTCTGTCCGTCACAAAACTTGTCCGGACTACTTCATAAACTACTGGTGCAATTTCATCCAAACTTTACAGGAATGATCATTACCAAGTCTAGTTGTGCATATTGTCAGCATTTTCTGGTTCAATGATTTTTGTCAGAGTTATGGCCCTTTAATTAATTTTATTTTTAAAGTTTGTCCGGACTACTTCTCTTATACCACTAATGCAATTTCAATGAAACTTTACAGGATTGATCTGTAGCTCAAGTCCTTGCGCATATTGCAGGGGTTTTCCGGTTGAATGATTTTTGGCCGCGTTATGGCCCTTTGATAAAAAGGTGTTTTTTTTCTGTGTGTTGCGAGATACACAAAAGCTTGTCTGGACTACTCCTCATAAACTACTGGTGCAATTTTATCCAAACTTTATAGGAATGATCAGTACCAAGTATAGTTGTGCACTGTCCGTCTGTCACAAAACTTGTCCCAACATGAAATTGGCCATCATGAGGCGACAGGTGTGATCATTGATCGCTCTTGTTGTATTTAAAACATTACATTTTAGAGTCAGATAACAGTTTGTAATTATGTTTAGATATAGATGAATGTGAGGAGACACCAGGTGTATGTAATCAGATCTGTGAGAACAGGAATGGTGGTTACAGGTGTAGATGTATGCCTGGATATAGGCGTATCTCTAGAGGAGTTTGTGTTGGTAAGATATCCTGATATCTCTACATGTTTTACCCCTCACCCTGCTGTATATTTGTAATGAACTTGTCCTTCTTTGAATTTGGGCTGTGATGCCATATTACATTTAGATTATATACAGGATATTGAATGATGATAAGTTTAATACTGAATTTATTGAACAAGTTTAATAAAAATAAATTATGCGAGCCTCTGGCAAGCATAATACTATTTTATTTAACAAGTTCAATAAATTTTGTATAAGCTTACATGAATTTAATATTCTATTTATCACATACAAAAAATAAAGAACATTAGAAGTGAAAGAGAACCATTTTTCATTGATGCGCTTTTAGTATAACACAAATATTAAGCGCATCCTAATGCTATGTTTATATAGTTACAAATGTAATGAAAATGATGTCATGTCAAAATATATGCACGGCCGTGCAATACCATTTTTACGGAGTCGTATAGGCGTCACAGTATGTGATAAACATATTTATTAAAGCTTGAAACTTAAGTTCTTGCAACTTATATTAAACGTTTTCTGGAACTAACAGGTGTCATTGAAGAAACGTTGTGGTGACCCCAGTAGGACCCAAACACATTAACCCTAGCTTGAGAGGCAGACACATAAACCACTAGGCCACCGCTCCCATATTAAGTTTAAAGGGATAACAGTATTAAAATAAAAAATGAAATAGCAGCAAACAGTAAGAGTGTGATGATGTATAGGCTGGTATGGTCCACAATGTTTGAAGTTTTTCATTTGTTAAAAATTGCAATTGAATTACTTCCAAGAATATGAGGTCTGTGAGTGTTCGTACAGTCTTAAAAAGTGCTGATATTTCAATACCTTTCTTAATAATTACTTGAATAATTATAGTCTTCAATGTTTTATCATTTTGACTGTTTTTAGTTATCATTGGTAACCAGTGTTCTATATGCAACAAAACATGCTTGAAAAATGAGGGGGGGGGGGGGATTTTTTCGAAAAAAGCTTGAATTTTTACATTGAATGTCTGTATGACCCCTGTAGGTGATGATTGGCTTATTTGAGAGGTCATAAAAAGTTGACCTCCTATTGATGTTGGTCAGATCCTAAAACAGTAGATTTATTTTGGAGATAATTTGATTTTAATCAGATTTGATAATGTAGAAGTTATGTTTCAGATATTGATGAGTGTGAATTAACTACTCCGCCGTGTGAACAGGTGTGTGCCAATGCTGCTGGTAGCTATCTGTGCAGCTGTAGACAGGGGTACCAGCTTGTATCTAGAGGAAGATGTAGAGGTGAGTAATTCTGAAAAGAATATCTTATAACTTATATATAATCTTTCAACAAAATAAAGGGAGGGCTCAATGATATGAAATATTAAAGACTGCCAGTGTTTTAGGCCAATGCCTTAAAGGTTCATTATGCCTCAGAAATGCTATTATTTTTATTTCTCAAAAACCTTTTTTTAGGTAAATTGTTAATTTTTTATAAAAAAAAAATACCCATTTGCCATGTACATAAACTATTTTTGGCTGATTTTGTTATGTTGGCAGTTGGTATAATTATAGTGAATTAGTATCTTATATGGAAGTCAAAATACTATGTTTACATTTTTCTACCTTTATGACGTATTACTCCATGTTCAGTCCTTCTTCTTCACTTGTTAAACATGTAACATGCTCTTAATTTATTATCAAGACATTATAAAACACATGCTTGGCATTTTAAAAGAATTAAAAAAATATGGATTTCTGAGGAATAATGTGGCTTTAAAATTATTTTTTTCTGATCATATTTTCAGACATTGATGAATGTAGTACAGGTGTAGTGTCTTGTAGTGCAGGTCAGAGATGTGTTAACTCTGCTGGAAGTTATGAATGTATCACAGTCTGTCCTAAAGGTTCAACTTTACATCAAGGAATATGTATAGGTAAATTCACTAAATTGCTAAAAAAACAGTAAGGAATAAAATTGGTGTAAAGTCTCACAAATTACTGCAAAAGAACAATGCAAATAAATCTTGGGATAAACCCTAAGGTTTCATCCAGGGGTGTTTAGTAATTTTATTCAATATCTGTAGTATGATATGGCATATGCACACATGTGAACTCTCCCACTTTTAGCATTTGTCTTACACTTTCTGCTGCCATATTTATAAAAATAAATCTTAAAATAAGAGGTATTTTCACAAATTAAAGAAACCCTCTTTTTGATGTCAGAACTCCCTCCTTTATTGCAAATTCTAAAATATCCCTCTTTTTGAAGAAAAATCTCCCACTTGATCATTGAAAAAAGTTCACATGTATGCATATGCACTCCTTGATGGATGGATTTCTGTATCTCACAGATGTATAAGTATAGTTAAAACGAAAGGATGATGCATACAATGTCATACTAGTATATAAATCAAGATGTTGTATACAAAAGTTTATGACCACTTTAGATATATAACCTGTGAACCTGGCATATAATCCTGGCCATAACCATGTTAATTATTGTATACTATGTTGCCATTATTTCAGATGTTAATGAATGCACAACTGGTAAACATAGATGTTACCACAACCAGAGATGTGTCAACAGCAATCCTGGTTATAGATGTATATGTCCACGAGGTTACAGATCAGCCGGGCCTGGTACACCATGTCTAGGTAATTTCTTATTATAATTCACATGTCAAAATGTAACACTGTCCTTGTGTTAGTTACATTTAATAATGTTATGATTCAATCATCATTCATCAATTATGTATCCAACAAACAAAAAAAAGTCATCTTCAATATAAAATTAAGCACTTTATGAATGTAATATAATTTAAATTTACATTACAATTTCAATTTTTAAAATGTTTTTTTAAAACTTTAACTAATGAGCCATTTATCATAAATATATCAATTTAAGTTTAATTTTAAAAAAGTGGCTGTATTTTCAAGTAGTTATTGGGTCTGACTATTAATCTAAGGATTCCTAGCTGCTTTGGTTCAATTAAACCCCTTCAGGGGCAAGCCATTGTTTCTTTGAGAAAGAAACTGGTTGGTTGCAGGAATTGATTCAAGACTGTTTCACTATGCTTAAATCTTCCAGCACAAGTGAACTAAAAAAAATTAGTATAAACTAATTAAATCTCACATGTCCCTAGTGAGCTATCTTGATCACCTTAGTCTGTGGATATGTGATATTTCAATAATCTGTTCATCCGTCATCAACAAGGTTTGTTGGGCAAAAATCTTCTTTGATGCTTTTGGAATAAAACCTGTGTTTTGCCAGTCAAGTTTCAGTGAAACTTGTTAGTTTTGAAAGTTCTTAAATAAACACAGCTGCAGTATTTTTAAACTATATCCACAAATCTATAATTATTGTTGCAAACTTTTTGGGTAATTTTGCAAAATAAAAAAGATTATTATTCTGGAAAAATGGGGTGAGGAAATTATCTGAAAATTTGCACACAAGTTATTGGTCTAGATCTACATCAAATGGTACATTAATGTGAGAATAAATATTTCCAGTTCTGTTATGTCAAAAAAAAACACCTCGGTGGAGTCTTTGAATCTGCCACATTCTCATTTGAAAGGAAAAAATGTAAAAATGTACTGGATCTTACTTATCATATTAAGGCAAAATTTTAATATACACATGCATGCAGATATCTATATGTATCAAGATTGTACTGTGTCTCAGTGATGCATGTCATTTATTGTACAGTAGGATTATTCTCCTCTTAACTTTTCAAGATTTTTTCTCCCACTTATTTCCATCTACATAGGAGCGTCCATGGCCGAGTGGTTAAGGTCATTGACTTTAAACCACTTGCCGCTCAACACTGTGGGTTCGAATCCCGACAGGGACTATGAATTTTTTCATGTGTGGAAGCTATCCAGCTAGCTTACGGAACGTTGGTGGTTCTACTTGAGTGCCAGTTCGTGCCTGAAAAAATGCACAGAAGGGCTCCTGAGGTCTTCCTCCACTTGTAAAGTTGGAATGTTGCCATATGACCTATACTGTGTCGGTGTGACGTATAACCCAATCAAACAAAATTTCCATCTACATTATAACAAAGTAACATATTTTATGCAAGTTTTCTGCCAATTTTATGCCAGCTTCAAAGTCCTTGTTCTATATTCTGTTTTATTTTCTTTCTTTTTCCTTCCTTCTTTTCACTAATTATTATACCAACTTTCTGTGGAAATTGACATTTTCCTGTAGCAATGGTAATGTCTATGTGAGAGATTGCCAAGGATGACATTAAATTACATCACAAAAATTACATTTACACCACGAAGGTTAAATTTACATCACAAAGGTTAAATTTACATCACACGGGTGACATTTACATCACAATGGTGACATTTACATCACAATGGTTACCTTTACATCACAAGGGTTACATTTACATCACGTGGGTGATGTTTACATCACAAGGGTGATATTTTCATCTCAAGGGTGACTTTTACATTAATGTCAGGGACAGACTACTAAAGACATTCCTAAAATTGCAAACATATCGTATAATTGATAAAATACGTCAACCTCTTGCTAAAATAAAGCACTTAAACACACACTGGTACAAATCCTAACATTCAAACAATACACAAATACAATTGACATTTATATATAAAAATAGAGTCTTGAAAAAAGTATATACAAAAACAATTCACTAATAAAAGTCAATTTAAAAGCTTAAACATAAAATAATTTGTTATAATTTTAGATATAGATGAGTGTTCAGAAAATCCTTCTTTATGTTCATACAAGTGTGAGAATATATACGGAGGGTACGAGTGTATATGTGCTCCCGGACAAGTGAGGCTAGCTGACAGAAAATCATGCGCTGGTTAGCCTTTACTATTAATTCTTTATTTCAAACTATATTACTTAATATTCTGAGGAACCTGAATTTGTGTAATGGATTTGCCCTGCTTTGAATTTGGAACAGTCCATTCCAAGTTAAAGGGATTTCAATATTAAGACTTCAAACAGTACAGACCCTGGTCAGACTTCATAGAGGTGCAGGCTGACCTGGCTTTGTTCTGGTGGCAAATATTAGTTTTAACAGTCTGGTTAGGGATGATAGACACTTTAATATGCAGGACCTTAAATATTGTCATTAATTTCTAAATTTTATTCTTAAATTTGAATCTATCCAGATATGGCAAGAGTTCTTCCTATAAATCAATTACCATCAATTATAAAACATAAACCAAGTTATCTTTATTGAATACTTTTTTGATAAAAAATTGCTCAAAAAATAGGTTTATCATTGATATTGACTCAGTGATATAATTTAGTAACCTAGCAACAGAAACATATATAAGACAGGACAGTATACATGTTATGTTACAGGTCTAGAGTATCTTGAACCAGCTAAGATCATTGACACAAATACATTACAGTCATCTTACAACAGAAATAAACGTGAGACACAAGTTTGTCCTCTAGGCTGGCAATATAACATAACTAATGGAAATTGTATAGGTAAACAATATGTGTTATTTTATCTGTAATTACAACATATATCAAGATAATCAAGGCTTCATCACATGACCAAGGTTCTCTTTCTTATTTGTCTTGTCTTCCACATACTAACATACCCTTCCCCCATCTGTCTGTCTGTCTGTCGTCCTTCAGAATTGTTTCATAAATATCTGACTACTTTAGCTGTAAGCTAAATTGAAAAGTAAAAAGGTGATTTCTTTGTGAGTACATGTAGTATTTGGCTTTCTGTTCGATAGAAAAAGGATGACTTTTATTTTAAAGCATTTGCATGTTTTTCTAACTTACAATTGTATATTTTATATATAAGCTGTATCTATTTTTAGGCATTGATGAGTGTAAGGATGATAAATTATTTGAGCCACGTAATGACAAAACCAACATAATGTGTTTGCGACCAGCATGGATCCAGACCTGGATCTATGCTGGTCGCAAACACATTGTTGGTTTTGTCATGAATTGATGCAGCTCATTTCTATTTTTAGACATGGATGAGTGTAAGGATGATCTTATATATAAGTTATTTCTATTTTTACACATTGATGAGTGTAAGGATGATCTTATGTATAAGTTATTTCTATTTTTAGACATTGATGAGTGTAAGGATGATCCAGGCATATGTCAGCACAATTGTACCAACACTGTTGGCTCCTATACATGTACATGTCCACCAGGATACAGAGTGTCACGAGACCAGTCTACTTGCATAGGTACAGTCAGATATCTTACCAAAATTTTCTAAACTATGAGGACTCTTTTTTTTTAATCTGAAAGGCCTGTTGTATGTAGTGTTTACTGTAGGTTATGTAATTGTAAATGTTATTGGCAGTGTTCCAATAAATATATACCCAATGGGGCTGGAGGGTTGCCTTTAAGGGTTGAGGCATCAGAATTGCAGCCACCGTTTATCCCTAGATGATTGTAAATGTTTTTGAATAACTGGTACCTATGCATCTCTTAACTCCAGCATCTGAGGTGGTTTTGCTTTAATTTTGTAACTCCTGAGGTTAGCCAAAATCATCTATCCTGATCGGCAACATATGACCTAACAAAACACCAGTATACATCCAGACCTGCCTACATATCTTCAAGTATAGAACCAGAACTGTTTGTGGTTAAGAGTCCCACCAGGATCTTTCGATGTGAGGAAGCTGTTCAGTCAGCTCACAGAACATCTGTTGTTCTACTGAGGTGCCTGTTTGTGTTTAAAGTAATGGGGGGGGGGGGCACCCAAGGTATTCTCCTTCAGTAAAGCTGGATGGTATACATATGATCTTAACAGTATTGGTGCAGCATTTAACCAATCCAAAAATACATCCATAGAGTAAGACCTGCCTGCATATCCTTACAGTCTGTAAGAGAATTTTTTTTTAATTACATTTATTGATTGATTTTGTAGATATTGATGAGTGCATAGAGAATTACATTGACTGTGGAAAGGATAAAATGTGTTTTAACACACTAGGGGAGTTTACCTGCATTGAGACGCCATGTCCAGAAGGTTACCAACGTGACCCTGTCACAAAGTAAGTTAATTCTATGTTTTAATTGTGAATTTTTAGTTTTCCATCATGTTAGAGTTACAATCTATAGAAATATGTTTTCATTTAAACTATGAAACAAGAAAAGCATTCGTCATTTTAGTATTTACCTTTTTCATTTAAGAGAACAATTTTACTGCTTATTATGGTAAAAGAATTTTTTTTTAATGTTTTATATGTATTCTTCTAAAATTCTATCTTCATCTATTATTTTGTATGTACTTTGTCAGATTTAAAAGAGGCATGAAGCCTCATTGTTGTTCTACTGAATAATTTCTCATATGACTAAAGAAAATTAGTTTTTTTGCCCACACCATAGAATGTCCCTCTGTCAGTATGTCAGTAGACAGTCTAATGTGGGGGCACCTGTGTCCTACAGATACATATCTAGTTTTAAGTTACTGACTACTAATCCAACATGTCTACATGTCTATACATGTCAGTGATATAAATGCAACCAATGTAGATATGTGTAATGATTTTGCCAATTTGACAAGAATAAATGCAACCAATGTAGATATGTGTAATGATTTTGACAATTTGACAAGAATAAATGCAACCAATGTAGATATGTGAAATGATTTTGCCAATTTGACTTAAATTTTCTAAAGGTTTTGATACTGAATTTATAGTTGATATTTTACTTTACAGTAACTGTGTACTTGAGTGTATAGATGCCGAGGTTGCCTGCCCTGAAGGTGCAAGATATGCTGATGTGATCGAGTTCCGGACACTAGCGCTACCTAGTGGCGTTCTGACCGAACAACGTCTTATCAAATTGACAGCTTATAATCAGAATAACGAGATACTACATAACACGGAGTTTAAGATAATCGAGAACGATAAGACATTGGCGTTTTTTATTGAGCTAGAAAATGGTATAGGCATAGTGTACACCCAACAACCATTAGAAGATAGTCACAAGTATAAAATAATGGTTCGAGCTAAATCCTATGATAACACACAGGTGAACATTCAGTATCAAACCACGTTCCTTATACACATCGCAGTGTCCGCATACCCATATTAATTTTTTTTTCACATATTCTGTTTTGTATGTTTTGAAATGGTGTGTAAAAGATGGAGGGGGAGAACATCAAAAATGTCTATATGAACACGTTTTTAAGTCTTTACATTGATCATATTTTGATTGAACATATTTTTGGAAACATTCTTTATAATACAATTACCTTGCATGATTTTGATGTACTATATTGGTTTTTACATAACTTGATTTTACTTTGATTGACATGTACTATTTTTTCATAGTATGATTTGGGTAAAAAAGTGAGTAGCAGGCACTGGTTTGGTTGTTATTCTTTGTTCTGAAGAAATTGAAATTAGTTTTAATTTTAGGTGCTATTGACAAGATAGGTTGGTTACTTTTAGTTGTCATAGATTTAGAGATTTTTCCTGCTGTTGAATATTTGTGTTTCCTTTGATGCTATACTGCTATAGCTTGAAATTCAGTTGCCAGGGACCTATAATTTTACTGCCACCTGCTGAAAAGATAATTACTTTGTTTATACATGTAGTTAATTGAAAAATGCTTGTCTGTAGATCTTATGACTGGTGAAGCATAAAAGTACATTTCTGGATATTTAAGAATTTAAGCATATGTTGTATTTCATATTTCAGATATAATCACTATTTTCTTGGATAAATATTAAGTATTTCCTCTGTATAAAATTTATGATTTATATTGACTATTAAGCTTTTAAATACATACCTTAATTTTTTAACTAAAATCATTGACAGTAATATTAGGGATCAGACAAAAACACTTTCATTCCTTGCATACATTTGTGTATATAATTATTAATATCTTCATACTTTCTTTAAGCATAAGCATATTTCCGGTTATTTGGTCTCTCATGAAATCAACAATTTATATATTATAAATGATTTTAGTAACACTTTAGACATTGAACCCAGCAATGAATTTTTAATAGGATGATATTTATCATGGAATTAATGGATGCAACTCATTGACTGGAACAGTATAAATTAGCATGTATATCATCATTGCTTCTGTATTGTTTATACATTAAGATTATTTACACGCAAATGATGTAAGATACTGCAAGCATTACTCACTAATGGTTTCAAGTCAAATTGAAAAAGGAAATAAAAGACATACATTCACCAGAATGTTTGAATTCAAAGTTCTAATATTGATAATATAGATATAAGTGTTTGGTTCTGTTGGTAATATCATTTCTATGGTTGTATGGGGATATGGCAATAGAAGCAGTATTACAAGCTGTCGGAGATATATATGGAGTTTAGCTTTCAATGATCTGGTGTTACTGTTCGTGCTAGGAACAGAATACATATTGTGCCAGTCCAACATTGACCTGCAAGGAACCAATGTAATAGTTTGTAAACTTTCGATATTTTTAGGCCTGTTCTTACCTCCAGTATCTGCTTGGATAACGGTTGCAATTGCATTTGAACGAATGTTATGTGTATGTTTTCCTATTCGGATGCATCGGATCAGCGTTAAAAGACGATCAACTTTCACAGTATGCCTTATCGTGTTACTTTCATTCGCACTGATTTGTTTTGAACTGTTTTCATCTGTAACACTATGTACTTATGTTACTCCTTATAACGGCTCCGAACCGTTGGACTTATTACCAAACGCATATACTCAAATGGTTTTGATTTCATATGGATGTTTTACATCTCTACTTCCTCGGTACTTTTAACAACGAGTAATTGTGTAACGTTGATTCGGGTATTAAAACGTCAAGGCAAAAGACCTCAAAACTCGATGCAACGAAGATATCGAGGGAATATAACAAAAGTTGTCATAAGTGTAAGCTTGTTACATTGTATATCAACCAAGCCATATACTATCTATAACTTTATTTCTGCAGAAATTTTTACGCATCAATTATCTAATATTGCAATATATTTTATGAGAACCAGTTTTTTCCTAAACAGTGGATTAAACTGTATCGTATATTGCGTATTTTGCAAGTTCTTTAGAACAGATTTAAAAGAGCTATGTTCATGTCTGTCAGGGTGCCGCCAGTGTTTGACCAATAACACAATGTCCACAAGAGAACGAAATGTCGGCCGTGGGATAGTTGCTATTTGTAAAACAGTAGATCAGTACAGAACAGAAAATCCTAACTTTGTAATTGAGGTGAGTATTCACCAGGTTAATACAGACAAAGACAGCGTTGACGGTGATGAAGTTGAAAATAGTGAAATTAAGCTAGAAAACGTTAAAGTTTATGACACCGGAAAAGAAGAATAAAACCAGTGCATAGTTAAAAATTTTAAAGACAAGCACCTTATTACCATTACATTTTTCCGACAGAAGTAATTATATCTTCACAGAATTCGGCTTGATAAAACAATAGACAAATGTTCATATATGTATGAATATAAAATAAAATAAAAACTGTTGAAATATAAATGACAACGAAATGAACTTCAGAGTTAACAGTACGTTATTTCTGTACATCAGATTGTTTGATATATTATCTCTTGTTCTGAAAGTTTCTTCTGACTGTTTAAACAGCTGTCATAGCTAGGTACATGTATAACTTATTTTGTAATAGTCAAAAAAGGTTTAAAGCGAGTACCTTAAACAGTTAACATATAACAGATATTGCTCATCTGTTGCTGATGTGATAAAATACATATAAGTTTTAGGGAAGGCAATGACATAAGTTTCTGTAAAAACACTATTTTGTACTAAAGATTTCACATAAAATGAATACAAAGAATAAAAAATTCTTTAGCGTATCTGAATTTCAAGTAATAATGATGGCAATAACCTTTCGGTTTTTGTTCTGTTGCCAATATGTTTTCTATGATGGCATGGGGATGCGCGGTATTGCAAACTATCTGAAATTACGGATCTTAATTGTAATTATGATCTGTGCTGATATATATTTTGAGTTTAGCACTTAACGAAATTTGTGTTATTGTTGGTGATCGGAACAGAGTACAATGTTTACATACAAGGCATCAATGTTATAGCATGTAAACCAAGTGTATGCCTAGATTATATTTGCTATCGCATTGGAATGAATATATGTTTTTTATTCTGAGACATCAAATCAGTGTGAAAAAATATTCTTAATTAATACTCTGCCACATGTAGTGCAGTTCCATTCGAATTGAACTTTATAAACTGTTTTAACCTTAATCAATTTGTCCACATACAACGCCTTCAAATAGATCCGGACTACCAAATTTTGATCACTGTTCCGTTTAACAACAAGAACATGTATCACTAATAAGTCAAGGTAAAGCACTTCAAAACTGACACAACGAAGAAATCAAAGAAATATTTAAAAAGTTATCATAGGTTTTCCATTGTATTTCAACCATGATATAACCCTCTCTATATACGCAATTTATACCCATATAAAGCGGAAATGTATAAAAAAAAAACTGCGATATACTCTGCTGTTTAAATCCCTAAAGGGTTTTACGTCACACAGTATAGGTCATATTGCGACGTTCCAGCTTTACTGGTGGAGGAAGACCTCAGGTGCCCCTCCGTGTATTATTTCATGCACGAAGGGGCACCTGAGAGGAACCACCGACGTTCCGTATGCTAGCTGGATAGCTCCCTCACATGAAAGAATCCAAAGTCCCAGTCGGGATTCGAACCCGCAGCGGTGAGGGGCAAGTGGTTTGAAGTCAACCACTCTGCCACGGACGTCCCTATATTTTCAGTGAAAACTGTTTTTCTGTCCTTCGTGTTTCAATTATAATAACGTGTGATGGAAATGTGATTGTTTTACTTCACAGTATGTTTTATTCCTTTGATAATAATTTTACAATCCCATCAACCATTTACATAAACATTTCCCTATAGAGATGAACAAAAAGATTCCATATTGATTGAAATTTAACGCAAATGCCCTCTTGTTATCGTGCTTTAATAGTAACGACATAATGTACTGTAACCATGTAAAAAGTAAAGCTACGAACAAGTGCGTTTTTCAGGTAGCATAAATTGAAAACTTTAATGTAGATTTAAAAAAAAAATGATACTCAGAACTTTAAAGTTCCCATTCACTTCCAGTTCCCTCAGTATAATTCCTGATGGAATAAAATAAAATTATGAAACAGGTAAATAAAAGAAGGGACACTTCATAAGTCGAGATAAAGTTTGGTTCTGGCACAGATTTCTTAAACATTATATTTTTTAGACAAAAAACAAATTGAAATGACTGTCATGTTGTTAACCATTAGATGCACGTGATTAATGTTTACTAGAGTACTAATTCTGTTTCCTTTAAATCACATCAATTAATAGAAAAATTCAGTGTGCTGAACTAAGATATTTTGTCTGTAGATTGTGGCATCTCCGATAATTTGTTTCTCGGACATGTATTTCTATTGTCAATAGTAAGAAAAGATTACCCCGTCTTTTGCTTTGATTTTAATTTAAGAACATAACATTTGTTATGTGTAAAGAGATCGATTTATAATAAACAAGAAGAATTCGGATAATGAACAAACATTATTACGTAAAGTTCCACAATAACCACGTGCACATTGTAACAATCATAGGCTGTTAATTTGCGTCTTTATTTATGGAATATGTTTCATTGCAAGTGAATTTGCCCCTTTACAGCAGAATATATGCCATGACACGGTAAAATATTATGTGAAATACAGTCGTTTCTAATACAACGTCAAATTATCAAAACTTAAAGCTACTGTTTACTCTTTTTCAAAAATATCGTTTCTTTCATTTTATATTGAAATTAATTAGCATTCGTATGTATATGTATGATAACAGCAATATAGTTATGTGCGAGTAGTACATTTAAAAACAATTTGCACACTGTACCATTTTCTTGCTAAAAGGCGGGTATACTCGTTCACACTCACAAAACTATCGATTTGTATTTGCTAACAAACCGATATATATGCCCGTTTTCGGAGCAATATCTTTTAACATAGAACTGTTGGTTTGTCGTTGTAATCGTCATTAATTTTTCTTCAATAAACACATACATTATTTCATATTCACAAAGTGATAACTATTTTTTTTTTTTTTTTTTTTCTTTTTTTTTTTCGCTCTTTCGTATTACATAATATTTTTGTTATAACATATTATAACAAGAACTTTTTTTGAATGATGAATGAAGTCTGGCCTGAATCCTTCACTCCAGCTGTTTTCTCCATACATCACCATCTACAACAATCTGGCTCTCATCAGAGAATATATAACATTCTTCCACTGTCTCTCAACAGTCCACCACCTCTTCTGAAAACATGTCTGTTCTATTTATGGCTTGCTACCGAAGTTCAGCTTGGAACCTAAAACTGCATATGTGATTACATCGCTTTAAGAATCGTTACTCTCTTTTGCTAAATATTGCAGTTATTGTCCTTTGCAACTGTTCATACTTTATTTTTGTTGAAACATAATACATTGACATATTAAATATTGACGCATTGATAATGGGGGGGGGGGGAGGTACTATGATCCCAAATAACGGTGATATATCACAAGCTAGCGGTCAAGCAAATAGACGAGGTATATACGGACGATTCGGATATTTCCATCAATGTCATAGGCGTTCCAGTACGGCATGAGGAAAATTTCCTTGAAACAGCACAGCAAATCGTTAAGGCATTAGGCGAGGAAGTGTCGTCAAATGTAGCTATTACTAATTTTAAAGCATTCATGTTTTAATCACGTTATAACCATAGCGACCAGCGCCAGTGAAAAATACCTGCTGTAATCTGAATGAAAAAAAAACGCAACAAAATGACTGTTAAGAACACAAATAATTACATAACAGTGTATCTGAAAGGGTGCAAAAAAACATGCTGAACGAATCATTTTAAACATAAAACGATACAATAAATGACATGTAATGTCCCTTGATTATTTTGATATTGTATTTCTTTCTTCATTAAACTACTGCTGGAACAATTTTTAATTTAAGCATTTTCAATGAAAATTTACAGGATTGATCTGTAGCTCAAGTATTTGCGCATATTACACGCGGTTTCCGGTTGAATGATTTTTGGTGGAGTTATGGCCCTTGAATAAAAAGGGTTTTGTGTGTTGCCAGCTACACGGACTACTTCTTAGAAACCACTAGTGCGCAACTTTATCGAAACTTTACTGGAATGGTTAGTATCAAGTCTAGTTAAGCACATCATCGGCTTTTTTTTTTTGGTTCAATGATTTTTTGTCAGATTTATAGCCCTTATAATATCAAAGTTTGTCCGGACTACTTCTCTTATACTACTTGTACAATTTCAGTGAAATTTTACAGGATTATAATTGGTAGCTTAAGTACTTACGCATTCGTATTACACGGGTTTTCCGCTTGAAGGATTTTTCGCAGAGTTATGGCCCTTGAATAAAAAAAAAGATGTTAATAATTTTTTTACCGGAATACTCCTCTTGTACCACTAATGCAATTTCATTGAAACTTTACAGGATTGATTTGTAGCTCAAATTCTTGCGCATGTAACACACGTTTTCCGTTTGAATGATTTTAGGCCGACTTGTGGCCCTTCAATCAAAAATGTGTTTGTTTTGTGTGTGTGTTGCCAGCTACTTGTTAGGATTACTCTTCAGAAACAGGAATGATTAATACTATATCTAGTTGTGCATCACTTCCAATAAATGATTTTTGTCAGAGTTATGTCCCTTTAATGATTTTAACTGTTAGTGTACTTATAAAGGGGAGTAATCGCTGCGAGGAGTTTGCTGGATTGTGTCGTCCGGACTAGTAAGCAAGACGGCATTTAGCTAGCGCAATAAACAACATGGAGGACAGAGACAACAAACTGAAAGTTACAACAGAAGATAAACTATATTCACTCCATAACGAAATAAAGGCATTGACAGATACTTGCCATACTAAAAACATATCATATTTCCAAATTAAAAAATCGGCTAAGTTGTTTCTGAGGTTCGAGAGAAGGAAGAAAAGTTCTCGGTCAAGTGTTGCGCTAACGCTAATTGCTATTTGCGTTTCCATTGTGGCTGTTTTATTTAATGTTGAATCTTCAAAGAGACTTATAAATTCTTACGGACGACATGCATTTATTAAGGTAAATAGTTGGTTTAATTTTTGTGGGGTATAGTGTTCACCTTTAAATTTAACAACCTGTATAATTTTCTATGATGTTGCAAAACTAGTCAAAAAAAGTTAGAGATTATACTGTACAGAACTGTTCACTTTTTAGGTTATTTAGGTGAGAAGATACGTAAGCAGCCAGATAGCTCAGTCAGTAGAGCCACGGTACAGTATTCAAATGGGCCGGGTTTGAGTCCCAGTCTGGTTGCACATTTTATCTCACCCCGTGATATTTGTCTTCCAACGGGGGCCCATGAGTCATGGAGAGTTTTTATATTTAGGTGAGCAATATTAAGGGCCATCATGGCCAATTTGTCCATTTTGAATATTATCAATAAAATAAATAATCAAACTGACTTGTCACTCATGAAAATTTTGGCCAAAATTTGCCTTTTACTCATGAAATTCTGACCCTACTAAGAGCCTGGAGTTCTACTGATGTCAAAATAGATGGACTTTAAACAATGTTGGTGATAATTGAGAATAAATGTATAAATTATTAAACATAAACAATATATGTACTTATTTCAGGTGTTGCCATTATTTGACTGGACATCACTACATGGTATGAATTGTATCATACCCAATGTTTTTAACTCTGATGATGATAGACTTCTGCTCAAAGAAGATTGCCAGGTAGACATTTATGTTCAATATCATTATATCTATGAGCCATGTCACGACAAAACCAACATAGTGCGTTTGCGACCAGCATGGATCCAGACCAGCTTGCACATCCGCGCTGTCTGATAAGGATCCATGCTGTTCGCTTTCCAATCTTATTACAAGTAAAGAAACTGATAGCGAACAGCATGGATCCTGATCAGACTGCGCGGATGCGCAGGCTGGTCTGGATCCATGCTGGTCGCAAACGCACTATGTTGGTTTTGTCGTGACACGGCTCATTATATTATACATATATGAAATCAGGGCTTCCATTTATTTTCGAAATTAAGGAGTCAGAGACTGCAAAATATATAGGTAAAGAAGGAAAAGCATAACATTTTGAAAGTCACAAGCCAAATATAGGTAAAGAAGGAAAAGCATAACAATTCGAAAGTCACAAGCCAAATTAAAGAAGTGGAAGCCCTGATGAAATGTTATAAATTTGTCTTTATTCAAATTTCTTTGAACTGCATGTGCTATAAAAAAGGAAAGAAAACTATCATAATAATGACTGTTATTTCTAATTCTTATCAGATTAGTGGATACAATAGGAATTTCACCACAACCTATTTCTTATAAACATGTCAATGTTTTGTGGTTAAATCTATTGTTATTGAAATGAAAGGTCAGAGAAGGGATCTATTAATCAGGTATAGTGTAGGTGGAACTAATTTTGTTACATTGTAATTTAACCTAATCAATTATTTGCGCATCTTATTTTTTCAATCTTTTCAAAATTATTAATCACCTATAGGGAAAATTTCAAGATATATTCTGACTGAATAGCAAATACAGTGCTGACCATGATCAAACAGCGGTGACGTGCAGGCTGATCTTGGTCAGCACTAAGTTGCTAGGGTAGAATATGTTGCTGTCAGCAGGAAAAGGGTAAATATATAGGACAAATATGAGGAGGTAAAAAAAGGGTCATTGAAGGCCTGTATATTGATTCAGTACAGTATTCATTTCTTTTTTATGTTGCAAGGTCTGATCACACTTTCCACTTTCATTCTTGAATCAAATAGAATACAAGTCTCAATAAAGAAATGCACCCAGTGAGATTCTTAGACTGATATGAGCAAAAAAGTATTGCAACCATTTTCATTTTGAATCATTTTGGTAAAAACATGGTGAGGGAATGTTCTGAAACTTTGGTTCAGACCTACATGAAACGGAACACACAACTGAGGGAAAATATTTCCAGTCCTGTCATGTCAGAAGAGTCCCTTTAATTTAGGATTTCATTATACTACATACTAAAATTCAGCTGCTAGAAGTATAGTGTAATGAAGTAAAGATTAATTAGTTCCTTACTATTATGTAAGATTATTCTTTATAGCTTAAAAGTACCATATTTGATTGAAGAATAACTTGCTTGTTATTTTTTTGTACAGAATTGTTCCAGCATAACACAAATAGATGTTGGTGTCACTATAGAAGAAATAGCAAATAATTACCTGTATAAAGACGTTCCAGTTATTATACAAAATACACAACAGTCTGCAGGCAGAGTTGGTATACATGATATTGTCAAGGTAATTTAAGATTTAAATATCATTTGATGTACGTCTATACCAATAACATACCCATAACATCTTAAACATGTATGTGTGTGTGCATAATATCAGATCATTTACTCGCTCCATTTTCAAGAATTAGCATTTTTAAGGTACAAAATGACCCCTAAAAATGAAAAACATTTTCTCCTTTAATTCAAAACAGGCATCATTTTAATTCTCAGTATACTTCTTTGTTAATTTCTGCATTATAATTTTTCAGTTTTAACAGAGATGTTATCTATTCTATGTCTCTTGTTTTAAGTGTCCCAGTTGGTCTATCTAAGAATTTCATATTTTACTGGGTATGTTTTTAGCAGGGCTATTTGTGCCGCCACTATAGGGGGTGGGGGGCATTAAGATTTACCCTTGTCTGTCTTGAATTATTTCCCTTTGTTTTATTGTCAGTAATTATAGTGAAAGTACAATACACAAAGTTCAGATATTTGACATGTATCATTACTTAATTTAGACAGTTAAGTTATGTGAAAACCTACTTCCTTAGATATAATGATGCTCAGACCTTAGATTAATAATAGCTTTCATATGTTGTGGTTCAGAATATCAGTGCTGAGGAGACCTGCCCATTGGCAGGTTCCCGAGGCAAGCCTTGTTACTGCCTAATGGGCATGTCTTCTCGGGACAAATATTCTGACCTGAGCTGCAACATATGACATATATTGTTAATATTGCACATTCTACAATATATTTTAAACTTTTTACCTTAATAAACCAATTTACCATGGAAATTTATGTCATTACACCCATAACTATTTTCTTACAACAGTATATACGAAATTACAACTTCATTCATAAAGGTAAAATTACATCATCTTAAGCGTGCCATTGTATAGCACAACTCATCTTGCCCCCCCCCATGCCAGATGAAATTTCCAGCGCGGGTAAAACTAACGGAAATACCAGTATGATATGCAAGAAATATATGATATATAAAAGCAATACCATTAGGTCCTTATATAAGTTACACTCTTGGGGTCAACATTTGCTCTGCTATTGGGGTCACTTACATGGAATTGTGTATGAAAACACATTTGAATCTTCTTGCATGAACAACTATGCCGAGTGCTTAGATTTTCTTGCATGTATCATTTCCAGTTTAACATCACTTCAGTTAAAATTGAGATAACCATGTCACCTTACATATCATCAAAATTTAAACAATAATTTCAATTTACATACAGAAACAAAAATTTTCAATTTACATACAGTATTAACTAAATTTAAACAATAATTTCACATAACATTTTAGTCAGCTAAAGTTACAAAATTATTTCACCTTATATTTTAGCTAAATTTAGACAATAGTTTTTCCCAACATTTTAGCTAAATTTAGAAAATAATTTCAACTTACATTTTAGCTGAATTTAGACATTTATGTTCATTTGTATTTAGACTGTGAAATAAGACAGTGATGTCACTTTACATTTCAGCTATATTTAGAAAATGATGTCATGAGACTATATACAAGTTGTAATTTAGAAAGCAATATCCATTTAAAAAGAAAAGATCATAGAAGATTTCTGGATGGAATAAGAAATAAAGAAATATCCCAATTCTATATTCATTGGTAAGCTTTCAGACTTAATTTTTTTTTTTATGTTTATTATAAAAGGAATGAAAACAACAGCAAATGTTGAGAGCTGTATGGCTTACAACAGCAAATATTGAGAGCTGTAAAGCTTGCAGCAGCAAATGTTGAGAGCTGCAGGGCTCAAGCTAGGTTCAAAATTTAGGGAGAAGTCACTTCTCCCTCCAGCTGCTTTAGGGAGAAGTGGGGAGACTTTAGGGAGAAGTGAGGAGATTCATTTATCGATGTTTGTTGTATGTTATCGCAATTATGTTGACTCACTGTACATATCTTATTAAATGAACAACAGAATATTCAATTTTAATTTAAAAGTAGTTTGAAACAAGTAATAAGAATGAGTATCATGTAATGCAACCATTGCATTAAATGAAGATAAAAAAGCCATAGTTGATTCCTATCATGGATCATATCATGGGTGGATTAACAGTTATTCCCTTCTGATTTACTATTAAAAAGCTTGCGCCGGACATTATATTCATATTCACTGATGTTGTAAAGAAAATGAAAGTAGATAACGAAAGAAACGATCTTTAATTTAACTTCATTTGTAATAAATACAGTGTAATACGCCGTCAATTTTATCATATTTAACTCGTCGACAAAAAAGCGTTGATTGAGATGCATGACAGTCCCTTTTTCCGGCGGCGAGGGTAAACAAAGCAAACACACACAACATGTTATTCACAGTTATTGTTATTGTTGGTAATTTTCAATAATGGATCAATAAAATCGGGCGACTTCATCTTCGCTTTTATGTAGGATGTCGGCGAAGTCAGAAGGAATTCGGCGACTATTTCCCCCTAATCGCCCACTAGCTCGAGCCCTGAGCTGTATGGCTTACAACAGTAAATGTTGAGAGCTGTATGGCTTACAACAGCAAATGTTGAGAGCTGTATGGCTTACAACAGCAAATATTGAGAGCTGTATGGCTTACAACAGCAAATGTTAAGTGCTGTATGAGTTACAACAGCAAATGTTGAGAGCTGTATGTCTTGCAACAGCAAATGCTGACAGCTGTATGGCTTACAACAGCAAATGTTGAGTGCTGTATGTGTCACAACAGCAAATGTTGAGAGTTGTATGGCTTACAACAGTAATTGTTGAGAGTTGTATGGCTTGCAACAGTAAATGTTGAAAGCTGTATGGCTAGCAATAGTAAAAGTTAAGAGTTGTATGGCTTACAACAGTAAATGTTGAGAGTTGTATGGCTAACAACAGTAAATGTTGAGAGCTGTAATGGCTTACAACAGCAAGTCTTGAGAGCTGTATGGCTTACAACAGCACATGTTGAGAGCTGTATGGCTACAACAGCAAATGTTGAGAGTTGTATGACTTGCAGCAGCAAATGTTGAGAGTTGTATGGCTTGCAACAGCAAATGTTTGAGAGCTATATGGCTTACAACAGCAAATGTTGCGAACTGTATGGCTTGCAACAGCAAATGTTGAGAGCTGTATGGCTTACAACAGCAAATGTTGAAAGTTGTATGGCTTGCAACAGCAAATGTTGAGAGCTGTATGACTGGCAACAGCAAATGTTGAGAGTTGTATTGCTTGCAGCAGCAAATGTTGAGAGCTATATGGCTTGCAACAGCAAATGTTGAGAGCTGTATGGCTTGCAACAGCAAATGTTGAGAGTTGTATGGCTTACGACAGTAAATGTTGAGAGTTGTATGGCTTGCAACTGCAATGTTGAGAGTTGTATGGCTTACAACAACAAATGTTGAGAGCTGTATGGCTGGCAACAACAGCAAATGTTGAAAGTTGTATGACTTGCAGCAGCAAATGTTGAGAGTTGTATGGCTTGCAACAGCAAATGTTGTGAGCTATATGGCTTTCAACAGCAAATGTTGAGAGTTGTATGGCTTGCAACAGCAAATGTTGAGAGCTGTATGGCTTACAACAGCAAATGTTGAGAGTTGTATGGCTTGCAACAGTAAATGTAGAGAGATGTATGGCTTACAACAGCAAGTGTTGAGAGCTATATGGCTGGCAACAGCAAATGTTGAGAGTTGTATGGCTTGCAACAGCAAATGTTGAGAGCTGTATGGCTTACAAACAGCAAATGTTGAGAGTTGTATGGCTTGCAACAGTAAATGTAGAGAGATGTATGGCTTACAACAGCAAGTGTTGAGAGCTATATGGCTGGCAACAGCAAATGTTGAGAGCTGTATGGCTTGCAACAGCAAATGTTGAGAGCTGTATGGCTTACAACAGCAAATGTTGAGAGTTGTATGTCTTACAACAGTAAATGTAGAGAGATGTATGGCTTACAACAGCAAGTGTTGAGAGCTATATGGCTTGCAGCAGCAAATTTTAGAGCTATATGGCTTGCAGCAGCAAAATGTTATGCGCTGTGTGGATTATTAATCTAGTGGGATGTGATAGGTTTGCTTTTTTTATTGTCTTTTACATTTTATAATATAAATACTTATAATTGTGATGTTTTGATTGACTGTTGATGTTCTTTTGTATAGGGAGAACTGTTTTAAAGAGGCTGCTAAGTTGTTCAGAAGTTTATATGAGAGACCAGAGTTACTGCCTTCCTCTGTGGAATTGACTCCCTCAAGTTGGGTCTTCATTTGCTCAAACTTTACAGAAAGAAAGGACATTAGGGTATGTAGAGGTCTTGATAGCATGATGGAAATTAATCATGTACATGAAGGTTAATCCATCAGTGAAATTCAGAAAAAAAATCTATGGATGATTTTGATTAAAGAATTCTTGTATCATAATGATGCTATCTTATATATTCCCCTGGTGAATCTTAATGTTAGGTTTTCATTAAAAATAGATTGTTTCAAGTACCTATGTATGATTTGTATCAATTATATGGTGATGTTTGTACACTACATTTGTACTTGTGATACATAACCAGTAAATTTAACAGGCACATATGTACAGTCTAATTATATTATACATGCAGCTGCTGGCTGCATTTTTGATTTTGAAATTTCAAAACTAATAAAAAAAACAAGATAAAAAGATAGAAAATAAAGCTAGGCTAATTTCAACAGTTAGCAAGCAATTAACTCAAATTTGATAGGGTACAGGTATTTTTTTTAATATTTTTGATAAAATGCTCTTAAACTTACTAATATTTAACATTTATTTGCATATCCACTTAAGAGTAAATAATTTTGCAGCTTTTAACTTCACAATACTTTGATGCACTATAAAGGAAAGTACTTTATATTTTAGTTACCATATAAGGAACAGGTGATTGTCCTCATTCAGCTATCAGGCAGCCTAGATATCACACTGAATCCAAGAAAGCCTTGCACAGATGTCTGTCAATCTATACATGCAAGAATTCCAGAGGGAGGGACATGTATGTTTTATATTTTTAAGAGTTTTAGAAAAAAATGTTAGTCCCATCCTACATTCCCTAATGTATGTCAGTTTTGATGTATGTTTTTGTTAAAGTGACATCGTGCTCATATTTTCATAGTCAAGTTGAGCTCAATTGACTTTTTATTTTAAAAGATTGACTGTTAAGAATGTGTTTGACCAACAGTTTATTTTGGTAAATGTTTAGGATAAAATTTAAAATCTGTCTAAAATATAAAGACTGCCCCACTCCTTTTATAAACTAAACGTTTCTGGCAAGTGCTAATTGATAATTAAAGAGACTTTGTTATGATCCGGGGGTTATTTATAAATAATATGAAGTAAATTATTAAATTAAAAGGAATTATGGCAATATAAAAACTTATATTGAACTCACTGTATACACTTGAATGGGCATAATGTCCCTTTAAAGTGGAATGCTTCCAGAAAATACCAAAAATTCTACCATTGTACGTATACTAATCTCTCTTTGAATATATGAAGGAGTTGAATGACATCAATGTGTAAATATTTTAACTAATATTTTAAATAATAGTTGTGCTTTGAAAACAGTCTGCTGTATTGCCATCGGGAATATACTTTCTTTCACTTTACAACAGAAATCTTTCATTTCATTCTGGGTTATTGCTAACACCTGTGATAATAGAGAACAAAATCGGGATCCAAGATGGACAGGATCTGGGCTTATATCAAACATATAGTGAAACCTAATAACTGTTTTGGATTTTTGTGTCTTCTACAATCTGTCTTGTCCATCCATCACCACAAAACTTGCTGAACTACACCTCAAATACTTCTTGTGCAATGTCATTCAAACTTTACAGGAATGATCTCTACCAAGTCTAGTTATTCATATCGTCTGCATTTTTAGCTCACCTGTCACAAAGTGACAGGGTGAGCTTTTGTGATCGCTTTTCGTCCGGCGTCTGTCCAGCGTCCGTCCGTAAACTTTTACAATAAATGACATCTCCTCATAAACCACTAAGCCAATTTCATCCAAACTTCACAGGAATGTTCCTTTGGTGTTCACCTTAAAAAACTGTTCAAAAAATTTAATTCCATGCAGAACTCTGGTTGCCATGGCAACTGAAAGAATAAACTTTAAATATCTTCTTTTAAAAAACCCAAAGAGCAAGAGCTTATATATTTGGCATGAAATATCTTTTAGTGAGTGTCTACCAAGTTTGTTCAAATAAAAGCCCTGGGGTCAAAATTGGCCCCGTCCCAGGGGGTCATTGATTTTCCCTATATGCATATTGTAAAAACTTAAAAAATCTTCTTTAAAAGAACTCAAAGAGCTAGAGCTAAGATATTTAGCATGAAATATGTTCTAATGGGTGTCTACCAAGTTTGTTCAAATAAAAGCCCTGGGGTCAAAATTGGCCCCGCCCCAGGGGGTCATTGATATATATATAGCAAAAACTTAAAAAATCTTCTTTGAAAAAACCCAAATAGCTAGAGTTTAGATATTAAGCATGAAACATCTTCTAGCAAGTGTCTACAAAGTTTGTTCAAATAAAAGCCCTGGGGGTCAAAACTGGCCCCGCCCCAGGGGTGCCCTTTTTTTTTTAATTCCCCGTGCATATAGTGATTGAACCGTCCGTCGTCTGTCTGTCTGTACGAGGTTAATCTAGAACGGCAAGTTGGATTTTTCTTAAGTTCTACCTGTACCAATGGCTGCTTAGTTTACACACTTACTAATCAATATAAAGTACATGATCTGGGCAAGTTACATAACTCTGGCTTTCATATTTACCAAGTTATTGCCCTTTTCAGCACTTGTGCTAAAAATAGATTTTTACACTTTTGCCCATACAGCTTTTATTTATTGACAGATGTATTTCATATTTGGTAGGAAGATAACTTGCATGGTATTCTTCCTTTGTATGGAGTAAGGGGTCAGTTGGGTCAAGGTCACTTGTGCTAAAAATAGATTTTTACACTTTTGCCCATACAGCTTTGATTTATTGACAGATGTATTTCATATTTGGTATGAAGATAACTTGCATGGTATTCTTCCCTTGGATGGAGCAAGGGGTCAGTTGGGTCAAGGTCACCAGTGCTGAAAATAGATTTTTTACCTTTAGCCCATACAGCCTTTATTTATTGACAGATGTATTTCATATTTGGTAGGAAGATAACTTACATGGTATTCTTCTTTTGGATAGAGTTAGGGGTCAGTTTGGTTAAGGTCACCAGTGCTAAAAATAGTTTTTTACACTTTTGCCAATACAGCCTTTATTTATTGACAGATGTATTTCATATTTGGTAGGAAGATAACTTGCATGAAATTGAATTATTTTCAACTTCACAAGTCAGAGCAATGACTTAGCAACTTATATTTTTCACAATTACAAAATGTCATGACTTTGTCAAGCTATATAACTTGTGTTTACAATTTTTTGGCAATTTTTCTGTCCATAACTGAGTGAATGGGTTAACATTTTTTGAAATATTGCTACTGACAAGTATCTGAGCCGGGGGCATTTGTGTTTAACAAACACGTTCTTGTTCTATATGTGTACAGTAAAAACTTAAAAAACCTTCTTTTAAAAAAACCCAATGAGCTAGAGCTTAGATGTTTAGCATGAAACATCTTCTTATGGGTGTCTACCAAGTTTGTTCAAATAAAATCCAATGGGTTAAAATTGGCCCCCGAGGGGGGGGGGGAAGATCAGTGTTTTTCATTATATGTGTGTAGTAAAAACTTAACATCATGAAACATCTTTCTAATGGGTGTCTTCCAAGTTTGTTCAAATAAAAGCCCTGGGGTTTATACTGGACCCGCTCCGGGGGGCCTATATACAGGTGAGCGATCTCAGGGCCATCATGTGGCCCTCTTGTTATTTATATGATACACATTATAAAAAGTAATGAGTGGATAAGATTTAAAGCTTGAATACTAGTATTCTAAGCATCACACTTTGGTCAAATTTTTGCATGAAAGTTGATATCTCCAAACTACTGAAAGAAATGAGTTGAAACTTCACACACATGATCTCTGTGGTTATTTAACATATGGGCACAGGTCCCATACCTTACCTTACTTTGTACACAGTAAGGCATTTTCTTATTGTCAGGTGCAGAGAGTAAATGAGCACACTATTTTACTGACAGCTCTTTTTTGTTTCCCTCATGTTTATATTGAGGATAATACTTATTTACAGCCAGGCACGTAGTGTTAACTTTCATGAGTTTAACAAATTTATTAATATGAAATTAATTCTCATATATTTTAATGCCACCGCAGCATCTGCGATGCGGTGGCATATAGCGATTCACCTGTATGTTTGTTTGTGCGTGTGTTATATAGATTATATAGTGAACTTAAAAAATCTTCTTGTGGAAAACCACTTGTCCAATTTCAACAAAACTTGGCAGGATTGATCCGTAGGTGAAGGGCTTCAAAACTTGTTTAAAGAATTTCATTCCATGCAGAAATCTGGTTGCCATGGCAACCAAAAGGAATTATAAGAATAAATTTAAAAAATCTTCTTGTAAAGACCCAAAAGGCCTAGAGCTTAGATATTTTGCATAAGGCATTGTCTGGTAGACCCTTACCAAGATTGTTCAAATTATAGCCCTAGGGTCAAAATCGGCCCTGCCCTGGGGGTCATTGATTTTCACTATATGTACATATAGTAAAACTTAAAATACCTTCTTGTAAAGACCCAAAAGGCTTAGAGCTTAGATATTTTGCATAAGGCATTGTCTAGTAGACCTCTACCCAGATTGTTCAAATTATAGCCCTGGGGTCAAAATCAGCCCTGCCCCGGGGGTCATTGGTTTTCCTTATATGTATATAGTAAGAACTTTAAAAAAATTTCTTCTAGCAATTGACAAATGCTAGAGGTAAGATATTTGGGATGAAACATTGTGAAGTGAACCTTTAGCAAGATTGTTCAAATTATAGCCCTGGGGTCAAAATTGCCCCCGTCCCAGGGTCATTGATTTTCAATAATTACATTTAGTAAAAAATAAAAAAATCTTATTGTCTGAAGATACAAGGTTTAGAGCTTTAATATTTGTTAAATGATATCATCTATAGGTACTTTACCAAAGTTGTTCAAATTTTGCCTCTAGTGTCATAGGTTTACTTATATGATATAGTAAAAGCTTAAAAAATCATCTTCTCTAAATTTACAAAGGCTAGAGTTAAGATATTTTGCATGAAACATTGTGTAGTGAACCTCTAGCAAGATTGTATAAATTATAGCCCTAGGGTCAAAATTGGCCCCACCCCAGGGGTCATTGATTTTCACTATGTACATATAGTAAAAAATTAAAATAAATTCTTGTCTGAAGTTACAAGGCTTAGAGCTTTGATAATTGGTATATAATACCATCTATGGAACCTCTACTAAAGTTGTTTTAATTATGCCCCTAGTGTTAAAATTACCCTGCTCCAGAGGCGATAGTTTTCCTTATATGTAGAAAAATCTTCTTCTCTGAATTGACAAAGGCTAGAGGTTAAATATATGGCATGAGACTTTGCGAAGTGAACCTTTACCAAGATTGTTCAAATTATAGCCCTAGGGTCAAAATTGGTTCCGCCCGGGAGTCATTGATTTTCATTATGTACATATAGTAAAAAAAATAACAAATATTTTTGTCTGAAGGTACAAGGCATACAACTTTGATGTTTGCTATATAATATCATCTATAGGTCCTCTACCAAAGTTGTTCAAATTTTTCCCCGGGTGTCAAAATTGGCCCTGCCTGGGGGCAGTGATTCTCATTGTGTACACATAGTAAAAACAGAAAATAAAACAAATGTTTTCTGAATTGGAGAAAGCTACAACTTAGATATTTGAAATGTTGTTTGGTGGACCTGTATCATATTGTTTTGAATTAAACCCTTGGGTCAAAATTTTGCCTTGCCCAAGGGGACAGTGACCTACTTTCTTGTCCTTTGATGTACAGCAATGAAATTTTGACCAAGTGCACAGTTTTAGTTGTAAAATTGAACTTTGATATCAGGTAACCTAGATTTTGATAATGTGACCTACTTTCTTGTCTTTTGATGTACAGCTATAAAATTTGAACCATGTGCACCGATTAAGATGTAAAGTGAACTTTGATATCAGCTGACCTAGATTTTGATAAAGTGTCTTACTGTGTTGTCCTTTGATGTAGTCATGAAATTTAGGCTGGTGTGAAATATGACCTTCACCACCAAATTCACTAGACTCAACTGCATTGATATATTCCTACTCTGATCTTTTATTTGAATAACAATAGATTTAACCACTAATCTGATAATAATGCATTATGTCAATCTTCAAAAAAAAATATGTTCCTACACTACTATTTAGTGATGTATTAATGCGGTGGCATAGCATTTTTCACAAATGCAGTCTTGTTTTTATTTTATTTTCAGTGATTTTAACAGACTTTTATTATGATGTAGAGTATATAACATGCAACCATGGAAACAGTATTACAGTTGGACTTGGAGGAAAACTGGACATTTAAAATCATTGTCTTTGGAATTAACAAATGATCAAAATAACTTCATGTGATACATGTATTTTAGATCAATATATATTAATGTTTTACTCGAACTGTATTGAACATAATTTATGTCTTTTTGTAAATGGTGCAGTTTTACTTAAGTAATAAAGAATTTGTTGAATATGAACTATTTTTTGATAATACCTGCCAAATGAGTTTTCAATGAAAGGAAAATGGAAGCGGAACTCAAGACATCTAGTTGTATACATAATTATTTTGTTTTAAACACCAAATATACACGAGTTTTAAACACCAAATATACACGTTTTTCTCAGATCAAAGTAAGAAAAAGGTGTTTAACTGAATTTAAAAATGCATTATATGACAAGTTAAACAATTAATTAGGAAATAGATATCAATTCTGAGTGCATTGTTGTAGAATAATGCACGGTTTGAGTTTAAATGCATAGTAATATAATCACGAAGGCCAATAGGCCTAAGTGATTAATTACAAAGCATTTGAACGAAAACCGTGCATTATTATACATTCTAACACGACCCGAATTTTTCCCTATTGAACATAGAAGAACCGAAAGTGTGTGTTATTATGCAATAAAATCACTGTTTGACGTTCTATATTTAGACATGTGACGTAATCATTAAACACGTGACGTAACCACTAAAAATGTGACGCGCTGACAATAAGTACGGAAACAAATCAGACGCAATTTAGCTAATTATCATGTACGGCAGCATTTATTTGTTGATGTCGTGTTAGAATCGAAATAATATATCCAAATCGATGATTTTATTGCTTGATAACATCACTGTTTGTCGTTCGGATGCGCATCATTATATCACTCGGGCTACGCCCTCGTGATATAATTCCCGCATCCGAACTCCAAACAGTGATGTTATTGAGCAATAAAATCACAGTTTGGGATATATTATTTCTTAAATAATGCACGAAGAATTAATATCTATTTCCATTCTAACACGTCAAGAAAAAATATAATTATTATTATAAAGTTGGACTTCATGTTTGGTGGTTAAATTTGTTTTCGACTGAGTGTTTCCCATAGAAACGTTCTTTAAAGGCTGTTCCAGTGGGTTGAAAAAAAATGTCGTTAAATCTACCGTGTGTAGAGAAACATTTTGAGAATAACGAATTTTGAAAACGTTGGTAAAACTTTGTTTGTTTATTTTATTTCACTGTATATTTTTTCAAGCGAAATAAAAATTATTAAAAGTGAAATAAATGTGAAACTTAACTTGTTTGCGACATTAAAATAGCGTACTTGATTTGATTGTTTTGCACGTGCTGTTTGGCGCTACATTGTGACGTCACGTAAACAACACTTTAAACGTCTGTACAGCGTTAATGACTGAATTAAAGATATTAATGTTCGGATTCATTTTCTTAGTTAGACCATTTTCTTTCATTCTAGATAGTTTCAAAACAAAATTCGACAAAAAATTGTTTTAATTTATCAGATATTTTAAACAAAATGGCGCCCTCAATGTGTAAATACACAGGGAGATAATAAGAACGGCGAGTGCATTGTTGTAGAATAATGCACGATTCGGGCCTTCTTTGTTTTATATATAGAAAAAAATCCGATAGTGTTAGAATATTAAATCAATTTTATTGGGCCCTTCGCATTGGGGCCCACTGCACTGCGATTCAATCGAATCATCTGCCATCTGCATTGTAATTATTTTAAGCTCACTTGTCACAAAATGACAAAGTGAGCGTTTGTGATCACAGTGCGTCTGTTGTCCGTAAGTCTGTAAACTTTTACTTAAAACAACATCTCCTCATACACCACTGAGCCTATTTCACCCAAACATCACATAAATGCTCGTTTGGTGGTCATTTTTTAAAAATTGCTAAAAGAAACTTTGGCAACCAAAAGAAAAAGTTTAAAATCCTTCTTTTTAAAAACCCAAAGAGCTAGTGAGTGTCTACCAAGTTTGTTCAAATAAAATCCCTTGGGTCAAAATTGACCCCGACCTGGGGGTCATTGATTATCCTTCCATGTATATAGTAAAAATTTAAAAAATCTTCTTTTGTTTGTTTGCTTCTTTGTTTGTTTGATTGGGTTTTACATCATAACCTACACAGTATTGGTCATATGGCGACGTTCCAGCTTTACTGGTGGAAGAAGACCTCAGGAAAATCTTCTTTTCAAAAAACACAAAAAGCTAGAGCTTAGATTATTAGCAGGAAACATTTTCTAGCGAGTGTCTACCAAGTTTGTTTACACAAAAGCCTGAGGGTCAAAATTGGCCCTACCGGGGGGGGGGGAGCGGGGAGACAGCAGGTCATTCTTGTCCTTACAATAATAATAGTGTTGACTATTGTGTATCAATTAAGGAAGACATTTAAGTTTATAGATAGGAAATCCTAATAAAGAAATAGAATGATTTCATGGACAATGTAAGCTTTTCATTAAACCTAATACACAATGGCCATACTGTAGATTTCGCAAAAGCGTTGGGTACATCACAGCGGCAATAACATTGTTATTGGAAAAAATAGAAAAAAATTTCTGTCAGAAACAACAAAATATAGAAATTAGATATTTGGCGTATAGTATTTTCTAGTAGACCTCTACCCAAATTTAACAAATTGTGACCCTAGAGTCAATATTGACTCGCCCCAGGGTTCACGTTTTAGCTCACCAGAGCCGAAGGCTCAGGGTGAGCTATAAGTATCAAAGGGGGATACTCCGGCGTCCGTTGTCCGTCGTCATGCGTCAACAATCGTCTTCTCTGAATTTACCTAAAATTTGGTCTGTAGCATCCTTGTGACAGTCACACTTAAATTTGGTCATGTCATTTCAATTGGCCCCTTTAAGGGGTCAACAGAGCTAAAAATAGAAAAACCTTAAAACATCTTCTACTACAGAACTAAAAGATAGATGTTCACCAAACTTTGTCTGTAGCATTTGTAGGTAATCTTTTATCAAGTTTGCTCATATTAATTTCATTGGCCCCTTTTAGGGGTCACTAGGGCTAAAATAGAAAAACCTTTAAACATCTTCCACAGAACTAATTGATGGATGATCACCAAACTTTGTCTGTAGCATTATTGGATAGTCTTTTATCAAGTTTGCTCATATTAATTTGATTGGCCCCTTTTAAGGGCCGCTATAGCTATATAAAAAAACCCTTTTTAGGGGTCACAAGGGCTAAAAATAGAAAAAACCTTTAGACATCTTCTACAGAACTAATTGATGGATGATCACCAAACTGTGTCTGTAGCATTCTTGGGTAGTCTTTTATAAAGTTTGCTCATATTAATTTGATTGGCCTCTTTTATGGGTCGCTATAGCTATATATAGAAAAAACCTTTAAACGGCTTCTTCTACAGAACTAATAGATGGATGTTCACCAAACTTTGTAGCATTTTTGGGTAGTCTTTTATCAAGTTTTCTCATATTAATTTGATTGGCCCCATTTTGGGGTCTCTAGGGCTTAAAATAGAAAACATTTAGACATTCTCTTCTAGAGAACTAATTGATGGATGATCACCAAACTTTGTCTGTAGCATCCTTGTGACAGTCACACTTAAATTTGCTCATGTAATTTCAATTAGCCCCTTTTAGGGGTCAACAGAGCTTAAAATAGAAAAACATTTAAACATCTACTACAGAACTAAAAGATAGATGATCACCAAACTTTGTCTCTAGCATTCTTTGGTAGTCTTTTATCAAGTTTGCTCATATTAATTTCATTGGCCCCTTTTAGGGGTCACTAGGGCTAAAATAGAAAAACCTTTAAACATCTTCCACAGAACTAATTGATGGATGATCACCAAACTTTGTCTGTAGCATTATTGGGTAGTCTTTTATCAAGTTTGCTCATATTAATTTGATTGGCCCCTTTTAAGGGCCGCTATATCTATATAAAAAAACCTTTAAACGTCTTCTTCTACATAACTAATTGATGGATGATCACCAAACTTTGTCTGTAGCATTTTTGGGTAGACTTTTATCAAGTTTGCCCATATTAATTTGATTGGCTCCTTTTAGGGCACTCTAGGGCTAAAAATAGAAACTAAACATTTAGGCTAAACATTTAGACATTCTCTTCTAGAGAACTTATTGATGGATGATCACCAAACTTTGTCTGTAGCATTCTTGGGTAGTCTTTTATCAAGTTTGCTGACATTGATTTGATTGGGCTTTTAGGGGTCTCTAGGGCTAAATAGAGAAAAACATTAAAACGTCTCCTTTTACAGAACTAATTGATGGGTGATCACCAAACTTTGTCTGTAGCATTCTTGGGTAGTCTATATCAGGTTTGCTCATATTAATTTCATTGGCCCCTTTTAAGGACCGCTATAGCTAAAAATAGAAATACCTTTAAAAGAACTAATTAATGGATGATCACCAAACTTTGTCTGTAGTATTCTTGGGTAGTCTTTTATCAAGTTTGCTCATATTAATTTGATTGGCCCCTTTTAGGGTTCTCTAGGGCTAAAAATAGAAAACATTTAGACATCTTCTTCTACAGAACTAATTGATGGATGATCACCAAACTTTGTCTGTAGCATTCTTGGGTAGTCTTTTATCAAGTTTGCTCATATTAATTTGATTGGCCCCTTTAAGGGGCCCCCAAAGCTTAAAATAGAAATCCTTTGAACATTATTTCCTACTGAAATCACCAAACTTTGTCTGTAGCATTCTTATGTAGTCTTTTATCAAGTTTGCTCATATTTATTCGATTGGCACCTTTTAGGGGCAGCTAAAGCTAAAAATAGAAATGCCTATAAACGTCAACTTCTACATAAGTAATGGATGGATAATCACCAATTTTGTCTGTAGCATTATTAGACTATTATCTAGATCTGTTTTATTTCTGAATCACCCACACATTTTGCAACAACCTCTTTGTTCGTCTCTTAAATCACAATGCAACTTTGCCATGTTTACAACCAGTATACAAACCACAAATATATTAATGACCTAATAACGGATTTTTACATAAAATTTAATTGTTTGATACACAGTTTCGATTCATGTTTTTAGCTCACCTGAGCATTTGCTCAGGGTGAGCTATTAGGATCACTCTTCGTCCGTCGTCTGTCGTCCGTAGCAAAGTACGTCGTCTGTCGTCGATTGTCCGTTCACACTTTTAAAACGACATCTCCTCTGAAACCATAAGGCAGATCATAATGAA